ATGTGTCGCCTTCTGGTTCCACGCATAGCTCGAGGCCACGCTCGGTGGCTACTGCAGGGCGGGGTACTCGCCGCCCACTTACTCGCCTGTTCTCAGACGTGACACACGCATGATTCGCGAGAGCAGGTAGACCTGCTCAAAGGGCCCATTTGTATGTACATTTGCGACGCGTCGTTCGGAGCTTGGCAATCCTCCCGCTATGCAGAGATCAGCAAAGAGCGAGGGGATCAACGTTCGAGACTTACAAATCGCCCGATGCAGGGGACGCACGCCGCCGACCCTTTTCTGCCAGAGTAAACTATCCTTGAGCTAACTGTCCATTTGGTCGCGCAGCTTCACGAGTTCATTGAACTTCTCGGTGGATGGTTCCTTCGCGTGCTCTTGGCCCTTCGGATTGAGTGCTTCCCTGATGCCGCACATTGACATGAGTGGCAGAGCGGTAAGAACGACAGCAACTCACTGTTGTTGTTCCAAGTCAAATGCCGCCAGAAGCAGGTTGTCCAGGCCCTGCGGGTGAATCGTCGACGCCGCGATCAGACGCATCTTTCTTCTTGTACTCATTCGTGGTCGGTGCTGCCTTGAATTGAGCACATACGCATGCCTTCAACAATGACGCACGTACCTTCATCAGCGGCAGGCTGTTAGAGATTCCTCTACCCCGAGCTACCTCGCCTCCTCTGAGTCCCTCGGACCTCCACTCTTGACCATAGCGGGACTCGTACAAGCGTCGTACAGGACGAAGATCCACGGGCGGCCGTCAGAGTCGTGCAGTTCGCAGTCAGTTGGGATAGTGCTGCTTTACGCGTCTTGATGAAAAGTCGGGCAATCGCAGCGGCTGGAGGTAACGGAGTTGGTGAGCAGCGATCCTGGCCAACATCCGGCTGTGTGGTCGCACGTCCGAGTGACTCGCGACGATGCCCCACTTCGTTCGCGTGCCAATGACCGGATTACATTCGTCTTGAAACGTCGCCCCGTAAGCACAGACGCGGAGCACGCAGCACATACGACTTACCTTACATTCACATCTGGGTGTCTCTCCCGACCTCCAGATTGCACTGGACTACTACTCGGAGGGCACGTAGACCCTAAGTACTACGATCGGCGTAGCGTGGACGCCGTGATTCGTACGTTCGCGGCTGAACAACCGTTCACTGTCTTTCTGGTAGGTTCAGATCTCTTGACGTTGGGCAACACCAGCTCGTATATCATGAGTAGAACGCAGGCCTACGTCGCATGCGCAAATTCTAGAAGTAAGTAACTTGCGGTGCGCAGACCGTTAGACGATACAGCGACGAGAATGCCCGATATGGCAACCCGGCACTTCGCGATTTAGCGCTGCTATAGTACTACTGATGCTGGTCGGCGGGCGCAAGCAGCACATACACAGGCAAAAGAGCTGAGGGCTGGGACATGTCGCAGACAGTACCGCAATAAGGTCTTACACTGTGCGCTGGGCATCGGCCGGAACTAACCCGTCAAGGTCAGAGTTCAAGTTGGCGTCAGCCTCAGCGACGCTCGGTATGGGCGTCGTAGCCTGAGGGCGCAATAATGAGAAAAGGATCGATTCCATGTTGTATGGCGTGGAGTGACGTGCGGCCTTCAAGGAGCGTTCGCAAAACTGAAGTTATCAGTGGCGATATTGGAAGGTGAATCCGCCAATGGTACACGCACCTGCGAACTTTCATACGGCACAAGGGCTCAGAATGGCGACACAGGCGGTCCTCGACTTCTTCCACTGGCGCGATTGGCACACTGGCACGCGTATAGAGGCAAAAATGCATAATAAACAAATACATCGAACTGCAATGTGGAGGAGCGGCGCGTAAAGGCACTATAGTTGTACATGTAGGGTACGTTCAGCACAGTCGAAACTTCACCGAGGTGATCATCGGGTCAAGGTGCGAGTACATCATCAATGTTTCATGACGATCTCGGATTCTGCGCAGTATATGTCAGCAACGGTTTGCAATCGTGGATATTGGCGTACATGCGAAAAACACATCCTAGTAGAGTGCACCTCCATCAACATTCATCAGAACCTCCTCCTGGATGTCAACGCCGTCTTCTATGTCCTGGCCGGGCTGGACGTCGGACGGCTCGCCTTCGAGGTGGGCGGATAGCAGGCCTTCCAATGCCTGGAGTTGTTCGTGCGCCAACCTCAGACCTCCCGCGAACGCCCGAATCAAAGACAGATACTTCGAAACGCTGAAGCTACGAAGCATGAATTGGTAGACCGCCTGGCCATTCGACCATGACAGAATGCCATCGCTCTGTGAAACTATTGTGAGATAAGTTGAATGAATTTGAAGAAACCTACCTGATGGGCGTCCATCGTCCACTTTGCATCAAAGACGGATGATCCGGATCGGCTTCTGTCGAAGCTGTCGACTAAGAAAACGGCATCTGTGATTCGTGTAGGATCGTTAGGAGAAGTCGGATAGCTAAGACAAGACTCGGACTCACATTGGCCTGTCGATAGTTCCTTGATCGTGAATGTCGACGGTCGCCAGCAAGCGTCTGTGATGTCGCCCGAGCACGGCAATTTGACGTAGATACCGGACGTGCGGAAGACTGTACGTTTGACGCGAAGACTGGAGGGTAAAAGCGTCAGCGAGACGATGAAGCCGAATGGTATACACTTACTTAGCGTTCATTTGAGCGAACATTTCTGTGTGCTTCAAGTTGCCGAGGAGTGGTTGCCTTTGTTGCGTGAAGAAAGTCGCGACCTTGCCGTGTTGCGTCTACCCGTCGTCTTTATATACAGACATGCATCGGTGCTCGTGGCCCACACCGACGGCATTGGGGGACTGCTTTGTCTCTCTGTTCCGGAGAGGGAGAAACGGTCGAGTGGAGGGCCATGCGAGAGGACAATCGAGTGACGGGGAGCAGACAACCCGCGTATGGACGGCCGGTGTGCGTGTAGCTGCCTGGAACGCATATAGGCTTCCACTCACGCGGATGCCATGAGAGAAGCGGGCCTGTAATGAAAGGAATCAGAGTCAGCGAACCCACGCCGTGAACATGATGCATCCATATGCGCACCTGAATATTATGCCATCTAGACACGAAGAGCTCAGAGACGGTCCCTGTCAGACTCACCAGTGTCAGTTCAGGCGAACATTTTCGCGCGCTTGGCAAAGTGGTTGGGGGAGAAGATGACGGCAGTGTGGCCTTGCCCACAAATTCGCGAACAGCCATGCGAGTTCCGCCTTGAGTAACACACGAGGACTGACGCACTGCGTCATATCTGGCGGCGTACCATTGTGCCTTCCACATGGGCCCGAATGGCCACGACAGAACTGGTGCTAGGATCGAGTGCTTGGTGATTAGCTGAGATCAACGCCCAATGTTCAACATTGCGGCCATCTTCTCTGCGTACTCCAACGAAGTCTGCGCCAGGCTATGACTGTCCATTGAGACTACCTACAGCAATCAAGGTACATTCGAATGAGTTGCGGGCTTCGGAGACGTGGATATTGACGCACCTAAGAGTATTCGGTAGTCAGGCCGTCCAGGGTATCAGCGACTGAGGGCCCAACGCCGGGGTTGGAGCCGCAAGCAGATCTAGTATGATCAACCGGTGAGCTCAGTATGGAGCGCATGCTGAGCGACAAATTATTTGCGAGCGACTCGCGTCAACTTACTTTGCAGTCTGTTGTATTTAAATCGCCAGCCTGCACCCTCACGTGTACGGAGAGTGCGTAGATGGGTCGCCAACATGGGTGTGTTTTCCCTATGACACTCCGTGACCTTCGGTCGTGTATGCATCCTGCGCTGCCGAGACACTGAGCTATAAGTGCCTACAGAGAACATAGCGTGAGAGGCGTACCTTGCGCTTCATACATCAACCCTCCCTCGCTCAGATACGATATTTGAGGGGCAAGGTACCGCATGCGAGCGCGGCCCTCTGGCTCGAAATACTCGCTCCGAACCTGGGTGTGACGAGAAGATCATGGACTCAAAAAGCCACATACGCGGACGAACAGTATGGCAAGCAGTTTCACCTTGCCCAATTCATATAATCTCTGGTCTCTGAGGCCCGTCTTGAAGCATCGGCAAGAGAAAGTGTTCCAACACAACAAAATGAACTCTTACGTGCGCCCGCACATTGTGCGTTGGGACTTACAGCCTACGCACCTATATCAGGGAACCTCTGTCGAGTGTCGAGTGTAGATGAGTGGCACGTGTACACTGCACGATACACGTAGTTACTGTGGCTAAATGGAATTACCTCCTCGTCCTCCTCCTGTGGCTCAACGGAATTCTCTTCTCCGTCCCGTGCAGATGTGGCCTGATGTGGCGGGAAATCGGTAAAAATCAAATATCTCATCAGTACATATTACCACTCCAGTCGACCCCACGCGTTCTGATTTACCATACCAGTACAGTACCCCGAGCGATCATGTCTACATAGGGCTTCGCCCTAACGCGACAATAAAAGGGATTTACAAACAAACAAACATATTACCACCCAAAGCTGTACGGAAGTTACGGTCGGCTCCTACACAACGTGCGGCGGCACTGACCAGCCGACCCGAAAGGAAAAGTATGCACACAGTTAGGGTGAGATCCGAGTCGAAGAGTGTGAATCCCGGGACGAAGTGAGTGCCCCGATACGTCCGAACGCCTCTGCGACCCGCCTTATACCAAGCTTGGTCTTACATTGTCCCAGACGTGACATACGTGCCCAACGAAGGATTATGAGCACGCTAGGGACTTACCTAGGGCAGTGCATCGTGTAGGCGTCATACAACACCAGAACAGAAGGCATACCAGACGTCACCTTGCTTTCACAGGCGGCTGTCAGCACTTGGCAACAGCCTTCGGTCCCCGGTCACGAGGACTTGTAGACGTGGGCGTTGACATTGCATTTCTGGGCATCACCAAACCTATACATATGTACACAGACGGGTATCGTAACAACGATCAAAGCAAGCCTAACAAAGCGTGAAAGCGACGACGGGGGAATAGCAATGAAAGCGACGACAGGGGAATAGCAATGAAAGCGACGACAGGGGAATAGCAATGAAAGCGACGAGATAGGACAGACAGACCGTGATCATGTATGTACGAGAAACGAAGACAAGACGTAAGCCACCGAAGCACCAGACGACAGGAAGCATCTCGCGTGCGTACGGATGTTACATGTACCCTGTACATGGCCGTCAAGGTACGAGAGAGCCCGAGGACCGCCGCGATCAGTCACAAATTAGAAGCACCCGCCCTGCGCTGGGCCGCCTTCCTCTGGTCCCTGGCCACACCCACAGTGTTCGAGCGCTGGCGGCCCTTCCCAGAGCGTCGGCGCTCGTTGGCAGTGGGTGGTCTCACAGGTGGCGACGGCAGGAGAGGTGCATCCGCCTCGCCCATCTGGACGTCTGCGTCCACGCCAGACCCCGAGCTCGCTGTGTCTCCTTCCGCGCCCTCGGTTTGCTCCTTCGCCTTGGTGGCGCGCGGAAAGCGCTTGTGCAAGCCTCGACGCGACTCCTTCGGATATTCGCACACGAAGTCGCGACGCGCACATTGGCTGCAAAAACAAGCCCAGCATCAGCATCAGCATCGCGCATCGACAGCCACACTGGAACTAGCAGACGAAGACTGTGAGTTGAGACTCACTTGCATCGCTGCTCCGCAGCACCCGTGACAGGCCGGGGCCCGCACCCGATCTTGCGTACGCGGCAGAACAAGCAGGCCAAGATGGGCTTCTTCTTGACGGGATCTTTCGTAGTGCCGGGCGACGTGAGCCTGAACATTTGCTGGCCCGGGTGCTCCGCGCCTTCCGGGAACAGGATCTCGTCGAGCGACATCTGCGGCTGTGCGTTGGCGGGCGCGTCCGAAAGTTCGGGCGGTGTGAGCGAGTCCATCCAGCGCCGCTGCGGTCGAACGTCGTACCCGGGGGCGGGCAGGGGCTGCACGGGCGCGTCAAGCGAGGGGTAAGGGTAGTTGACCGGCGGAGGCGGGGAGGAGCGACTGGGCAGAGGGTGCTTCTTGGGGCGGCCGCGCCCGCGTCGGATCGGCTGTCCGTGTGAGCTCGAGACTTTCGGAGCACCGCCGGCTTTCTGCGACATGGAGTTGGCAGGCTGCACGCTCGGTGTTGCAGTCACAGCTTGGACAGTCTGACTGGCAGGAGTCTGAATTGGGTTCGCACCAACGTCTCCCGGGAAGGGGAGGTGGTCCATGATGGGGCGGCCTCGGTGCGAGGGGACCGTTGGCGCGGGTGGCTCAGGAGACTTCGTGACGGGAGTAACCGGTGTCATGGCGTTCTCGAGTGTGTAGGAGCGATTGTTGTGGATCGGCCTGGGCGGCGTGGCTACGTAGTAGTCTTGCTCGTACGGGTCCTCGTCGGGCGACTGCGGGGGCGAAGCGTAGTACGCATACGGCTGCGTACGTACATGCGATCCGTCCTCAGCCATGTACGGAGTAGGCTATCAGAACATCAGCTGAGTGAGTAGCTGTAGAAACCGAAGAGACCTCACTGCAAAGCCGATAGCCGTGTCACTGGGAACATACTCGTACTCATCCTCGTTAAGCCCGAGGTTATCGTCAGTGTAGTCACAACCACCGGACGCGCCGGCGCCCTGATAAGAGGAATAGGAGTCGTATGCAGGCTCGGTCTTGACAAACGGTACGGCATCCGCCTCCTGGCTAGATGGCCCGTATGTACTCAACGGGTGGCTGTTGTCTTCGTTGTACTCCGGAGTTAGTGGTGCGCGAAAGACGGGCCGCTCACTGGTCGAGCTCCGCCAGTCCATGTCTTTCTCTTTGATCTCCTGCTTGACGTTGGTAGGCACTGACTCAATATGATCGCCATGCGGCGTGGCGTAAGCATGGGAAGCCATCGAGTGCACCTGCCCGCCCGGCGCCATCGTTGAGTGCTCGTGCTGGGTGCCGTGATGATACATCGTCTGAGAAGTCCATATCCACAACGCATTGCATTCATTAGACATGGACGACGTAGTCTATAGGACGGGGAATATCACTCACGTATGGTGCGGGGTAGCTCGTCACAGGCACTGGCCCATGGCCCGCGTCGCCGCTCGCGATGGGCCAGCTAGATGCCGTATCAGGCGGGTGAGCGATCTCCTGCTCCGCAACGCAGCCAGAACGCTTCGCGACGCACCGTTGGATTCCATCCACGCCGCTACCGTGGGACACATACGAAACACCGTGATCAGAATTCTGGATGTGAGGCCAAGACCGAGCGTCCAGCCCTGCGTGGGTGGCAACGTACGTGCCATTTGTATTTCCTGGTCGACGATCGCTCGCTGTGCGCTGTGCAGGTCCTGGTGCTTGCAGGGCGTACAACGGACCTGTGCTACCGGCGATGGGGACGGCGTGCGGGGCGTGGTACATGCTCGGAGTCGGAGTCGGGCGGGCGGCGTACATGGTTGCGATCAAATGTGCGCGCGCGGAAGCAACTCCAGCAGCGACGAGCTCGCACTCTCGCGAGCGGGCAGCGGGGCAGATCAAATAGCGGGCGGTACGTTTGCGGCAGGCTTTGAGGCGAATTCGGGCGGATTGCATGCGCACTTACCGTACCGCTGGGCAGACCCGAAAATCGGCAGACCCTGGCGTATGCGCCCAGGACCCAGGTTGCTATAGACAGCGGATAGCCGGGCGACGCCATCGACCTGACGCATCTGCCTAGCTACCAGGAAAGGTTAGCCTACCAGCAGGCCATCGTACGAAGCGCACTAAATGAAAAGCATTCGCCGGCACATAGCGCGGCATCCCCAGGCGCTCGACCATCGAGCCGACCCTCCCACCTGTGAGTCGTGAACGTGCATTCCGCCCTCCTCCTGTCACCGGTTACGTAGGACAGCCATCTCTAGTGTCGGATCTATTCCGTAGTGTGTGGAGCTCGCGAGCACGGATCCCTCTCCGAACATGAAGACTTTTATGTTCGCGCCTTGGAACATATCGATGGAGGAGGAGGAGGGGGGGTCCATTTAGCCAAGTTGTCGATGAGTCTGCTAAAATTTCTCGGGCGTCTCTCCTGGTCCTCCCGCAGCGACCCGCTCGCTATTACGAAACCGCTTGTGATCTTCTAGCGCACGGGGTCTGGAAGCATCCGCTTCGCCCCAGTGACGAGTAGCACGCCCGTCGCCCAGGCCACAGCTGTGCGGGCGAGCGATGGAAGCCGACGTAAACGTCTGCAGTCGTATCGCACAAGAGCGGGGCTTGGCACGTCAGCACAGCAGCCACAGCTCTCCTCGCCATTCTCCAGCTCGCGCCGGCGCGGCCCAATCCCCGTCGCACGAACAGAGCGGTGCTGCGAGGCTCCGAGGACCGACGGTGCGCGGATTCGAGGGTGACGACCTGCGCCCGTCCAGGGCGCAGTCGGATAGAAGCTCGCGCTGATTGAAGCTGACCTGGGGAGGGATCCGTAAGGCGGAATCACTCAGCAGAACAGAACTGATGAACCTATGTGGAATAACACCTAAGCTTACCTGCGTACACCACTCAGGACGCGCGAATCTCTTCCAAGGGCGCGCCTACCAAAACCCGAGATCACTCGCTCTGGGAGGCGCTCCCACCCGACCCCGCGAAAACCGGACCTTTGGCGGGGCAGCCCGCCGAGGACAGCGCACGCGCACGTACGACGTACGGTCGAAGTTGGGTCGCAGCCCATATGATCTGCCCCCTCGCGCTCGAATACGTCACGGCCGCGAGGCAAACCAACAGCCGTGACATCGCACTGGTGGGCGTGGGCCGCTAGCACTACTTGCGGGCGTTACGAGAATCTAGCAGGGGCTCGCCAGCAGCCTTGACGCCCCGCACGTACGGCATGGCTCTACATTTATGCTCGAGCAGCGCGATGCCTTCGGCAGCCTTTCCGATTCTTGACGCTTCTGGTGTTCGCGATTCCGAAACTACCTCGCAAGGCAAGCGGGAAGCCGAATACAGCGGGTCGATGCCCTGGCGATCGCAGCTATCCGCATTGCGTGGCACCGTAGATCTTACAGCACTGGAGGATGTCCGGTAAGGCAGTCGTAAGGCATGCGAGAGCACTCAAACACAGGCGGGCGCAGCACTCACCGACATGAGCAAGTGTCTTGTCTCATCCACCCGGCGAACATCCAGCTAGCCGTCTGTGCTGGGTCTTTCCGCGGCGGCCAGCTTCCCGCCGACTGGAAGAGCGAGCACGTCACTCTGACGCTGTCAACGGATGCCGTACTCTGCACACACACGCTGACAGTTGCTCTTGCCTCGACGAGCTCGAGCACTCAGCAGTCAGGTGCCTGACACTGCGCGTCCCAACCTTGTAGTGCGGTTTCCTGCAATGCTTCGCGGAGTCGTATCAGCGCGCGTCAAGCTGAGGTTAGTATCATCATCCCAGTCTCCTGGTCAGACCGCCAATGCGTCCGCCGTTCGATACATACAGTCCATATACACGCACACAAATCGTGTCTCGGGGTTCCCAAAGGCAGCGCGCTGGATACGCGGGCCCACATCGAGCCTATTGTCCTTGAGTACTGATCATCTAGACATCACCTGAATACTAGCGGAATACCTGCATCTCCATCTGCTAGAGTCAGTCAAAGCAAGGGGGTGCATATCTGCGCACGTTCAGCAACACACGTCTGTCACAAGAAAGATTGTATTGTATTGCCAACGCACTCAGCACGTCCCAACTGATATCACCCACATTGATCCACCGCACCCTCGCCCAGGGCTCCCGCTTGCTCGCCTCCGGCGATTCCAGCATCGACACCACCTCTCGATTCTGCATCCACCCCACACTGCACCTCGTCACGGAATAGTCCACGATCTCAATGACGCACTGTTGGCGGCTGTCACCATAGTGTGCATTCGCGCAGATTTGCGCTCGCGCGGCGGGGGGTCGATGCCCGGCTCTGCGCCGATGCGCCCCGAGGTCATCGTCGTCGACGCGCGGCGCAACGCCATGACACGATGGACCGTTGCGCGGAAGCGTTTCTTGTGCGCGCCAGGCGGTAGGGACGCGGCAGGTGCGCTCTTCCGAACTGTCGGGGACCTGAGGTTGAAGTTCGCTATGGGCGACCTGAGCGACTTCCTGAGTGACACGGGCGTGTTGATCTTGATACTGGGAAGCCTGGGCTTGAGCTTGGCGTCTTCAGTCGTGATGGACAGTAAGTGCTTGAGAGCATCGGAGGACGACGAAGGCTTGCCTCGTTCGAGCCCAGTGATGTCCTCGGAGCTGCTGGCCCGGAGCTCGTCAAAGAAGGCACATCTAGGTATTAGCAGTCTATACGGATATGCTGTGAGGAAGTCAGTGGGGTTGCCAACGACGATGGAGTACATACGTGAAGGTCGTGCTTGGGGTGGAGCTCATGGGCTGGTCGTCTTGTTCTTTGGGCACAGCAATGGTCAAGCAAAGGTCATATGTCCGTAACACGGTTTCACTATCCCTAGTCGAGACCGTCCTTGATATGAATCGGCAGGTGCAACACATGTAGGTGGCAGGTCTTCTGGGCCTCCGCGTCTCACCATCGCGCAGCGCCAGTTGATATACCGCCGTCGTCTCCTGCCAGCGACGCCCCAGTCGCGCCGCAAAGCGCGCTCCGCGGGACAATCAAACGAAGCGGGCTCGGAGATCGTCCGAGCTGCGAAGTGACATGCCTTAGAGACGAAGGCAGTGACCGCAGTAGAGGCGATCGGGCCGCAGAACGTGGGTGCACGGCAGGGTGGAGTTCTGCTTGAGCGTGTTCCTTGCTCAGCGACTCACCGTGCGGACGCGTACAACACGGACACAGAGGATGTATGATGTCTTTGGCGCGTTGTTCGTGTGGGTGGCCTTAAGGTTGAAGTCGTCGGGCCAGATGAGCGACATCGTCACCGCAATGATGCCGTCCATTCTTGATTGAGGCAAGGTTGCCCGACAGCGGGAACTCGCCCGTTGTGGAAGGCGAGCTCGGGCCGCTGCGCTCGCCGTCGACGCCGGGCAGCGTCGGCTTGCCGTCGGGGTGCGCCGGGGGCCGCTCTGCGGGCAGGTCAGACAGGGCCGCGGCCGCGAGGTCGGGATGCTCGCGCGCGCGACGGACTCGAACCGCCGAGGTCGAGCAAGTGGGGGCGCCGGTGAAGATGGCGTTGGCGGGGTGGGCGCTGCGGACGCGAGGGCGAGGAGGATGCGGAAGTAGGTGGAGAGAGGGGAGATGAGTGCGGAGAAGGAGGGGTAGTAGCGCGTGATGAACTCACGCGTGGTCTCCGCTGTGGACGCGGACAGCGGGTCCGAGAGGTCTGCGGGCGGCGACGTGTTCGCGGAGCTGCGGTACTGCTCATCGAGCTTGTAGAGCTCGATCGGGTCGAGCGTGTGGCGCGCGATGGCGAGGAGGATGTCGGGCTCGACATGCGAAAATTGGTCCAGGAGTAACCGCGCTTATGACGGGATGGGCGCAGCCTCATGCCGCCCCATCCGAACACCGAGGCCGACGCAAGAGTCCACAGCGGAAACAAAGACCGGCTAAGCCAGGTGATTATCCTCCTGAGCTTCGCGCCAGCGGGTCCCGTATAAACAAGGGAGTTTGAGGAATGAGGGCAGAGGCGGCCGCGCTCGAGAAGCGGTAGGGGCGTGGCAGCGAGACGAGCATGGAGACGGCGACGAGTCCTCGATTTGTGGTGATGAAGACCACGTAGACTTACCGGACGCGCGGTCGACGTTAGTACACTGTCGCGGAACGAGCGTGCTATGTGGCCGTGTCGAGGATGTAGGAAGAAGCAGGTGGTAAGTAGAGCTAGTATGGGTCGCTCGCTGACTTGCCACCGCCGCAAGGAAACAAGCGCCCATACGCGTCGGGGAACCTGCCTCTGGCCTCGGCCTAGTAGTAGTAGCATTCGGACGCACGCCTGTCTGCCTACACGTTGCCAATTAATGACATGTACCAATATCTTCGCGAGCTTCGCACGAGGCGGCCGCCAACTGCTGACGTTGATCTAGTGTCCGATTGCTCTAGGCAGGCCGATTAGGCGGCACTTAGTACTAGAATAGAATCTAAAGGACACAGCGCAGGTCTAATCCACATATGAACGTTACGCGAACACGAGTCTCAGACTAGGATTCTCTCCGGTGACGAAATCCCAGCGAAATCCCACCCGAAATGCACTACAGTTACTATCACCCCACGAATACATGCTAGTCTATATATACAGTCGTGTCTCGGATCCAGAGGAGTCAACTGGCTCACCCAGACTTCTTCATGCGTCCAATATAAGTGCGAAAAGTTGTCTTGGTCACCCAGCGAGGTTCTCCATTGTCGAGTAGGCGAAGGACATAGCCGTTGATGGTCGGATGAGGATGCCGCTCGAGGATGGGGACCCACTCCGCCGCCTTCCCACGAAGCCAGACCTGGAGCTCACCATCATTCAGGTGAATGTAGAGGTCTCCGGCATCCGCGATGGTTGCTGCGATCGGCACACCGGGCAACACCGGGCCCGTAGACATGTACCAGACGATCTTCTCCGAGCGTGACCGGATGGCATGCTCATGGCGGAAAGGTCCTCTAGAAAATGTGTGTCAATCGAGCCCAGGGGGATGTGACTGAGAGGACTCACGTTATTCCAGGCGGCGCACCCGTAGTGTAAGATGCAGACGCCTCTCTCGTCACGCGCACAGGTGTTGTATTAGCACGTATGGGAGTGTACTGCAGAGATGGTACAACTGCCTTGTGCGCCGTCGTGCCATGCAGGGTTCCCAGATTGATAGTCGGAATGCTGCGGATCTCGGGAGGAGGGCTTGTCGATGCGCGAGCAACCTTCCGCGAAGTATCAGCCAAGTCAGACGGGGCGAAGACAAGTGGCACTTGGTCACTTCGTCCGTCTACCGGCGGGCTGAACTGAACGGTCATGGACTGGCGAGGCGCTTCGGCTGCACCATGGGCTACCGGAGGAGCAGGAGAGACCCTAGATGCAGCGTCATTGGACTTCAACACCCTCCCGGAAGGATCGTCTAGTACGCGGACGGGAGAGACGTGCTTGGAAAACAGCTGAAAAGCGGACGATTCAGCGATATTCACTCTTTGAAGAGCGCACAACGTACAGGAGGTCGCGGCCCTTGGCTCGGTAGTACTGGCGGAACTTCGGTTCGAAACAGCTCCTGAGGACTACCAGTGTCAGGCATCTGCTGTGATATCTCAGCTAGACGATGACGGTAGCGTGATGAGACATAGCGTACGATATGCGCCTGATTCAGAGGGCGTTCGATTGTTTGACTCTCCCCACTATGAGCAGCGTCAGTGAAATGGTACAACGGTACAAGGACATCCTACTAGGTTTCCCGAAGAAGTCTCAGGTGTCTGTAACGCAGCAAATGGCTTCCGGGCCGTATGACGTCCTCCTAACCCAGGATATGAACTTCAAAGTCGCTTGTAGCAGTGGTGAAGACTCACATCACGTTCCAATGCAAGACCAGGCAAGTGAGGGTCGGTAACGCGGATTGAGATGGGCTTGTCTGGTTCAATCATGGTGGACTTTTCGAGGTAAGGGTCGATGCCGCAGGAGGTCAGGAATAGCGCCTTTTAAACAGATATTGCGACCGACCGTAACACAAAGGCTTGATCGCAGCCACTAGTCCTGCATTGTGCTTCACGCGAGCGGCAGGCAAGAATCCAACACGAATCATCCACGAGGACGGTCGTGCACGCAGGCCCACAATGTTGTGGCTCCCGCTGCTGGTCGGCGCGGATAAGTGTCGAACGTCTGTCTGTATTTCCGCGGTGATCAACAAGATGCAGAGCAGGGGAAACATACAGACCGACGATCATCTCGACGACGAGTCACAGAAGCGAGAGTCAGTGTATACCGTTCGTTAACTTGACAGAGACGGGCGAAGAGTAGCTGAGGCCTAAATTCTGTGGGCGTCGCTGTTCGCATGTAGTCTCGACAGGCGTTGAGTAGCGATCCGTGGGGCTGCGCCGCATGCTAGAGACTTCGCGATAGGGGTCGTCCGTAAGGGTGCAGTTGAGGAGAGCATGTAACGATCCAAAAGCCGTGCACGTCTGTCAGGAGGAAGTACCAAGTCGAAGTAGTGAACGAGCCTGAGGAAGCAAGAGCTCAGCGCTCAGCGTTAGTCGGGTTGTCCGCGTGTTTTCATCCGCAGTGCACGGGCGCGCGTCAGACGCGGATAGCAGAGTTACGCAATGCGGCACCCTTGCGATGCAGCAATCACAACTTATATGGTCTGATCCTGAGACTTCAAGGGCGAAATCCGATACTTCGCAAAACGTACGGTGAGAATCATGACAGATTCACCACTTATACGACACGCAGACAAAGAAGTATCGTACTAAGACGACAACACAGGAGTCCAAAACCCTCCTCCATCCCTCAACGTCTTCCTCCGCTGGTCGACTGTCTTGCTTGAAGTCCTGGAACTGGCATCGGCATCTTCAAATGGTGTGCCTACGTGCGCGCCTGAGCGCCGTGCGCCGGCTCGGCGCTCTTTCCCAACGCTTGCAGTCCCTGCACCACCGCATGTAGACCAGAGCGTCTTCAAAGTTGCAGTCCGTGCACCAGTCAGCACGGATGTTTTGTTCCTCTTCGCCATATATCTTGACCATGAGCATGTCAGATTGACCGATCATCTGTACCGACAGTTATCTGCTGGTTTCTGTATGGAATCATGGGCGCGCGTTGAACCACTCACATCGACCACCCTGATCAGTAAGACCTGCGTCGTCCCTAGGTATTCATCTCCGTACCGGAGCATGTGAGCTGCGTACGTATGTGCATCAATACTGACGGTTGCATGTCATGGAGTGCTGATGCAATACATACATGTCATGGAGTCGTAGAGAGGGCCGTATTTGAACGCAGTGGCCGGTGTTCTGCATGGCCAGAAGTCATTCAGAACATACCGCCGAGAGAATTAGAGGGTACACACAAGTCAGGTTGTTTCGCCTCGGTGGCTACGCTGTCTCTTGTATGGAGATCCCAGTCGAAACCGAAGAGACACCTGCGATCAATACGAGTATCGTCTGAGTCGGCGTCCGTGGTGGGCGCTGGGCACTGCCAGGACATATCATATCGTAAGCCATAGTGCGGGCTGTAAGCGCGGTCCAAGAAACGTACCATGTAGCCTATCACCGAATGCACATCCACTTTCAATTCATTGAGGACGAACTTTCCGTCCGTAGTGATTTGCGATTCGAAGGTTGCGTCGATGTCTTGGTCTGACTGGGTGGCAGCTGGGATGGTAGACATGGCTTTGGGGAAGGATGCGTGCGTGAAGAGCATCGTCGAGACGTTGCTTTTATGCAGCTACAATCCCTTTGTGGCACGTTAATCGAAGTCTGACAATGTAAGATGCATGCCGCTGATCGCGGCGGTATTAGTACTTCAGACGCTCACTGACCATACGAGAGCACGCCTAGCTCCTTGGTACCATTGGAGTCCGTGTATGAGGCGTCCCAATGGGTCGGGCAGCCTTGATGTGTGCTCGGAGAAGGGGTAGGCGTGGCCGATGATCAACGCTGAACGGATATGCACGCTCGTCCCTCCGACGCTTTCGCCTCTCGCGACTTTTTGACTTCCGCCGTTGTGTTTCGATCCGTTCCGTTGATTTGTTGGTGTTGAGGGTTGCTCCGGCGGCGCCTGCATCGCCGCATCTGGGATGTCGGATTTGTCGGAGGGCCCCGTTATCCCAACCGCTACGCTACTCAACGCTATCACTGAAGCCAACTGCGCACAAGGCTCCAACGAGTGCAAAGAGGCGTCGTCCAGGTCGAGGTCCTTGGGTCCAAAAACGGCCACCTCCCGTGCCGCCGCCGCCATGAGGAGCTCGGCGAATGAAGACGGGAATGATCAGCAGCAGTCAACGGCCCCGCTGTGGGGTTCGGTATGAGTGTAGTCATTATGCAAAGCTTGACACCCACGGCCGACCCATCCGCTCTGCTTTGCGGGTGCAGACCCCCAGTGCCGGGCGAGGCTCCGCGTAGTTGCGACCCGCACAGCGTACGCCTCAAGGAAGAACCGCGGTGGTGAAGACGACTCACTTTGGGCGCGCGTATCGGTGGGCAGGTTTCGTGCTTGAGACGGTGGCAGGCGACCATGTAGGGCCCCGCAAGGCCGTTTAATATTGCGGCGCCCGCGCCCGTCACGGACGCGTCGCGGGAGAAGGCAGGGAGGAGGTATCCATTTAGCCACCGGCCGTAGGTGCACGTGCGATCCTCGGCACTAAAGTCTAAAGACTAACGCGCGGCGCCGCCGCGCACCATGCACGTGTTCCCGTCTATGCGACGGCGGCGTCACGACTCACGGCGCTCCGAAGTGGCCTGGGCGGCTGCCTTCCCAACGCGGCAACTCCCCACTTGCCTCATTGAGCGGCGCGTCGCGGGACTGTCAATTTCCCCATCCTCAGCTTTACTTCCTCGTACCACTGTCCTCAAGGCTAGCTAGACGGGTGCCTGTACTACAGTCTTTCCTGTCAGCGCGTCCTGCAGTTTCAAAACTCGCGATGGTCTTGGCTAATGACTTTCGGATTGCACGTAAACATATCGTATACCCTGTCTGCTGACCGCACCCTATCATGCTACCAGTGGCTTACGTGCACATGCAGCGCGTAGACGTCAACACAAGTCGAACCGTCCATCGGTGGTGACACAATGAGTTCGTTCTCTGCATCGCACCTCCCCCCTGTCCTCAAGGCTCCTATACGTCTTCTTGTAGCGACGACACATTTGCCTTTCCGGTGGATACTTACATCGCACCATAGCACCTTGATAGCACCTGATACGAATATGACGGTTGACCGCCGGTCCGGCACTCCGTTCGAATGAATGATAACTTAGGTGCATCAGATTCATATGGTATTCCTGCCCACCCCATGTTTCTCCTTCTACATGCCCACTCTAGAAGCAGGGGTCTCCGGGTCACACTTCGATATGGTGCCAGTGCATCTGTTGCGCTCTCACCACCATCTACCACCATCGACACTGAGCAAAGCGTATCTCGCTCAACAATATCGCCTTCTCCAAGCTCTGGTGTCACGGTGATCCGGATCTAGTCGACAACACCAAGCCTAAAGATAGGATGTTATCGACGCGACCGAATTCCGTCCGTCCGTGCGGTGAGTGGAAGGGAGAGGCGTATATATGTACGGCGAGATCCGGATAATCACCTGTACGTCTCGACCATGTACGCTCCAGATCTTGTGCTTAGCCTCCCCACATGTACATATATGTCTAGATCATCGGTATTCAATCGCTCCGGCGGGCTGTGCACGGGCCGTACTTATACTTAACGTGGCGGAGCATAACAATATGAGGCCCGTATCTCCTCTGAGTCCTCGTTGCCATCTGGGCGTGCGCACCATAGCCATGGATCATCCACTGTGTGCTTGTTGTCGTTCTCGTCTCTATCATTTACATCCCCTCGCTCCGGACGTCAAAGTCAACGTGAAGTGCGGTATGTGATCGGATGTCATGACTCGCTCACCCATGCTCAAGGCTAGGGAACTTAGGGCACCTGTACTGCGAAGATTGTATCAACGCCTATGTAGCTGAACACCCTGGATTGGGTTGTCCTACTTGCGGAGAAGCGGTGGATGTGATCGATCTGACCATTCCAATGTCAAGCAATGGCCAGCCTCAGTTGCATCACACAACCTTCACGAGTGACATCTACGTCAGCACCGGGGCAGATGCATCAGACGCTTGGTGCCAGCGGGCTTTGTGAGTGCTTCATTCCTCTGAGATCTGAGAAAAGGCCGGTCATGTCCAGAACAGAGACACACCGACGTTGTCACGGCGTGAACGGGATGCAAACAACGCGAAAGACCATCTTGAATACGCCAAACAGGAGCTTAGCCTGCTGCAGAGAGAAAACGAGGCCAACGCAATGGCAGTATCTTCATCTCTAGCGCGGTTGACATCTGCCGCCGATGAACGTGTCAATCTGGAGACCTTTTATACGCGACTCGAACAAGAGCTACTGGACCAGCGCCGCCGGCGCGATGACATGGAGTTACGACTCGCCGCACTCAAGCAGGAGGTGAGTTCCAGTCGGTACTTACGCGAAAATCGATATGACGGTACACGTTTCAGCCAAACCAGTGAGATCGACTCCGTCTCAGCCTCCGCCGCGACGCATGCCATGTAATCCCAGAGCGATTCAGAGGTACATATTGTTCGAGTATAGAGCAGGCCGTTGTTGATAAATACATGCAGAACAGTGTTCGTCGCGCATTCCCACCCATCACTAAGGTCCCGCATCGTCGACGTCCATGGGCGCAGAGGGCCCGGACATTCCAGCAGGCGTCTCCACGTCCCCGGAAGCATTCGTACCGGATGCCCCTTGACTACTTGGTCGCTGTGGACCGGGTGTGTTCAGTCTCTCTGGGTCAAAGTGTCCGGTGACCAAGCGTTTATGACCGAGAGTGTACGCCTTTGCTGCCCTATATCGAGTTAATATTGTCATAATCCATGCATTCGCAATCGGACTTACTTCTGGACATCTTCCGAGTGCTGCAGATTGATCAGTCGGGAATTCGGATCGAGCAGTTTCAACTGAAACTCGTTAGATGACTGCAAGAGCCACGGGGCATAACAGTTCCGCGGAAGCTTGATGACGGGCGGACGGTCGCTGTTCTTCCGGCAAGGCACGCGAAAGTGAGGCCAGCCTCCCTGAGAAGCCTTGAATGATCCACGATAGCGCGCCCACAGATGGAGTGAGTCCAGAGTACGCAACCACGTCTGCAGCTCCGGCGAACGCCACGTCTTCGAGCGTATGTAGTAGGTCGCTTCTCCGCCGCCGGTCGGATGGTCAGACTCATCAGTGCTCATACCATGTACGCCAAGAGCGCACATGAGCTGCACCGCCTTGTTGTCCGGCAGCTTGGTTGCTACGCTCGTGCGTCGACTATATAACTAGCATCACCCCAGTCAGTGGACGCTGCGAGGACCGAGGCCGTGACAACCAACCTGTCGCTTTCGCTCGCACTGTCGATGATACGACTGCTCCTTCATGGCTGATTCCTGGTCCCTTTGTTGCTCCTGATATTGCCGTCGGAGTGTCTCAGTGTGCTTCCGCCAAGCCTTGGCAACAGCCTCATTCGATTTTTGAAATCGAGGATAGCGGGCCTGAAAATCAGCCGCGAAGACCCGCGCCACCGAACTGTTCCAGTCAGACGTCTGTTTCCCACTGATATCGTAGCGAAAATCTTCAGCAGAGCAGCACTCTCCACCTCTGGATCGTGGATTGTAGACTTTGACTTCGGCTTCGCTGGCGATATGAAGAAACGGAGAATCGTTCTTCTCTCGTCTCATTAACACTCGCCCATGACAGCGGATGGCCTTCTGGAGGCGAAAGCGTCATCGGTACCATTCAACTTGGGACTTCCTCTCACTGACCTTGAACTGTTTATCCTCCGGACTTGTCTTCTGGCGTGAACGACGATTCATGGGAAGCTGATGTTCATTGTCCGTTTCATCGTCTGCAGAGCCATCATACTCTCCATTTGCGTTCCGTGGATTCGTAGACGTAGACGACCCTGCGTTTGAGTTACTGGGCACTGTCCGGGCATTCTCCGGACGTGGCTGGGCCGCGGGCGGTACGGGGGGTAGTGTTGTACCGCCACCGAAGAACGTGTGCATGGTCGACTGGAACGACGAGGTGAGTGTGCCGGCGAGATTGTCCATCTTGCGATCAAAATTCTGCTCTAAGTTACGCTCCATGATGAGCATGTCGTCCCGCGTGAGTGGCGTCATATCTGTGCGAACTCTAGGAGTCGTCGGGTTGACATTCAGCTAATCACAAATCATCAGACGCGTCCTGAAGATACATCAGGACGTCTGCTTACGCTGCCAGGTGCGTATTGGTTCCCCCCTAAACCTTGATTGACCGGTGGTTGCATAGGCGCAGGATGAAGTAGAGGAAGCGATGGAGATGGAGTGGCACCGCTGTGCTCGGGAGACGCTACTCTGCTGATGGGTGGAGTCGTTGCAGATGGCACGCTCCTGAATGGAACCGATGGTGCTCTGTTGTCCAGGAAGGGAGAGGAACGAATCGGTCCCGTTTCTGCGCCTCCGAGATTCGCTGGTGGCGACTGGGTGCCCGAAGATCTTGGAGAGGTCGGAGCGTCCGATCGAGTCGTTCTCCTGGCCGGACGTATATATCTAGTCTCGTCGAAGCGCTCGAAGGTACGCGCGTCTGCATTGTTCCTCTGAAGCAAGATATAGCTTTGTTGATATGACAAAAGGACACGTGCCGTGCTCACCGACGTCTGTTGGCTTGGAGACTGTGTGATCTGCCCCTGTGTATACGCAAGTCGGTGAGGTGCGTCTCTACAACGTACAAACTTCAAGGTACGCACAACAGTCGGAGGTATATTTGCGGCGCCCAGGGATTCGCGACTTTTTCCCTTATCTACGTTCTGCGGTCGCGCAGTTCCGGTTGAATCCTCGTCGCTGTCGCGTTGAGATTCTTCCATGGGATAATCGTCCTTCTGCTGCTGCACACCACTCTTAGTTACCGGGCACAGCCACGAGATCATTGCTCACGAATTCGTCATTCGGTGGCAAAGGATGAGCCACCGCGTTCTCAACGGACTGCATGTTTCCAGTGTATGGAACGCCAGTCACCGTTTGCGTACCATCTATGCTCTTCATCATGGACGTCAGTGGAATTCTCTCAAGATACAGTATCAAGCTTACATCCCCTGAGGCTTGGGCAGTTCTTGCCGACGGTGACTGCTCGCGGAGGGGGGTTACTGAAGGTTGGAATGCTATCGAGACTCCCAGATGTTGTGTCTCTGTAGACTGCTGCTGTACGGTGTCGTTACTAGCCATGTCCACGTCACGACCCGCCGACTACAACACACTGCTGAGCTTAAGATTTGGTGCAATGATGTATACCACATACCAGAGACTCCGCTGACGCGTGATGATATGCGGCCACAGGTACGCTGTCCCGTTCTACTCCGGTCTGCCCTGTCCGATCAACTGTATTGTCATGCATGGGTACGTCGTCCACACGATCGCGTGCCTAGCGGGGTGAGTTCATGAGCGTGTTGTATGGCGCTAGATAATGGAGGAAACACACGTCATCTTGAGGCTGGTCGTCAGTAATGGCATCGGATAATGGGGCTAATTGACTCTCGTCATGAGCGACAAGATTTGGCTAGATCAAATGCACTGTGTCAATCATGTTCGGTACGGAGAGGCGACTGGCGAGGGACATACAGTTTCCAACAACGATGCGGTCTCCTGGTTTGTCTGCGACACGTCGACAGCGTCTGGTCTAGCCGTTGTAAGCTCATCGCTAGGAAATAAAGTATACGACTCATGACGAGACATCTCGTCTAGCTGCTCTGGTACTTCGACACCTTCCCATCCAGGATCTGGCGGAACACTCCATGACGAGGGCTCAGAAGGTTGCGGAGGAGCCGCAGGAGGATGATGAGTGGGCGTGTGCACTTCAGGATCCACTGACTCAACCGGGCCGAATGCTAACGACGTCAAAGAACTCCAGAAATGTTCATATCCATACGCGCTCCCTGTTGCGACCTGTCACAGATAGATCAGCACAGATCGTAGCCACAGATCGCAGTGTGTGAGTTTTGACAAGATGAAGGATCAAACGACAAAGGTGATCATACGTGCGGTCTCGCACGTCGTTGAGTAACGAAAAGTGCGACGTACCTCTGACTGCGACTGAGAACTTTCGGCTGTTAGCGGTTCAGCATCGGTCGGCCTGGGCGGGTCAATCTGATTGACGGATGAGCCGACGAGCTTGGAGGACAATGTGATCGCGAAGACATGAGCAAGACAACAGAAACTGCCGAAAGATAGACATACTGATTGTTGCGACTCAGATTCCAATGTGTTAGGCAGTTCGACCTGATAGGCGTGTTGAACGCGAGCAGTAGAGACGAACAGCATTGAATACGATACCGGCTGTGGAGGCGTGTCTCCACCTGCACCTAAATTCAGCTGAGAAAGGCGTCAGCGCTGTCATTGATAGCAGTGTGGCATGCTTTAGCATGATACATCGGACTGACCAAGCTATCCACCGCATCCGTGATGGTCGTTCTGGCTTTCTTGAGTTTCACTGACCATAGTGGGGCCTCCGCTGCAGCATCCTGCCTGGCACGAATCTCGACCTTTTTCCGGGTCGGCGACCGCGGACGGATGATTGTGTTACCGTCGTCTTGAACCCGGCGCACTCTACCTTCCTTATGTGCGCGTTTCACACCGGCGACGCGGGGTGGTTCGTCCATAGCGCAGGGGATGGTACACAGAGGTGGCACGTGTTTGCTACGAAGATGTTGTGAAGGTTGGGTCTGAAGACGATGCTTGCGTTGTCTGTCAGAGCGAGGATCTGGGATGACTAGAGGGGGAGGTTGCGCGGACGCGTAGTATCAGTCATTGTTGAGTCGCGACAAAGACAAAGGTGCCAGCGGTACGGATTAAATGAAATGCGACGCAACCAGGCGATCGCCGTTACAGATCTATCAACCTCGAGTCCGACCGTGCACAGGAGACCAGCGGCACCTGAAAGCGTGTTCACCGCATTGGAACACGCGGTCCTCGCGATGTCGGATTGCGTCTCGGCCTTGATCATGGATTTGAACAAAATTCATTCTGCAGGCTGCCTGGCTGCAGCCGTGCGACAATGCGGATGAGGGCAACGTTGTGTCATGTTCGTATCGTACCGATGTACAATCTCTCCTGCATGGATCGGCGCACTCAGTAAGTCGTGTCCAGAGGCGAAAAATTGTCAGGGCTTACTAGTAGTGTCCACCAGTGGCACGCCACATGTTTCGGACACTAGAGTCGACCCGCCGTAGTATGTCGTCTATGCTACAAGCTTACTGATGGGCGTAGACTTTTACCGTCATCTTGCGCGCCCTTGGTACATACATAGTGCTGACTCGTGCGTCGTCATGATCGAGTGAACAAATAAATGCAAGCAGCCTGTTACCCGTCCACTCTTACGGGCGCGTCGCGCCACCGTGACTGGCAGCTCACGCCACATGGTCACGATCGCGATATCGCGCTGCGCGGTGTTCAACGTCAACGTTCGAAACGTCTTCTGTCTCATTGGCTAGCCTGTCCTCAGCGCTCGGTATATTTCCGTGAGTCGCGTAGAACTGACGACGTCTTCAAGACGATGTCTTAAGACACTGAGGACGCGGTCGGTGCCAGCGAGCCCCGTCCAGGACGTCCTGAATTTTTGTCACGCGTCGATGACAATGTCGAAACATCTCCAGTGCGTGTAACTGTATGATCGATCCCTGCAGCAAGATGAACTTGCCGTATTGAAACCATAGCAGTGGATATTCGTCGCGGTCGCATGATGTACGCGGCCGCGATTCGGGCTCATGGTACGGTACAGTAGCCCATGGATAATCATCAATGTACAATAAAAGGTGGAAAGAACCCGTCCCAGAAACCTTCCTCCTCATGGACGCTCCCGGTGTTAGGGTTCTCTTCACCCAGTGAGTGCGCGACGCTCGATACAATACTCCTCAGCGCAATCTCTCCCGTTGGCTTGGTCTTCAGAATCTGTCGACAAATGGGACACGTGTAGCTAGGGCGAGGATGAAACTTGAGAACCATCGTAGCCTCTGCGATAGCACGTTCTCGAATCGTTTCGTCCAAGCTGGGATCGCGGATGGCATCGTAGTATGGTTGCATGTTGGGCAAATCAGCGTGCGGGTGCCTCTCCAAGTGTTGCACAAGTAACTCGCTGAACCATCCTTCAAGACAAGCTCGGCATGCCGTATGCCCGCATGACAGTCTATCGTATCGGAGGGTCGATGCGTGTCATAGCGAAACTGGGAGGAGAGGAACTCACACATAAGGTAGCGAAATAATCTGCGTACAGATCGTACAAGTGATATCATTCTTCATGCTTGCAGCCAAATTCTGGGAACTAGGGTCAACCAAGCCGCCGATGGAATCAAGAAGAGCTATATGCGTACGCGTGCGGTTGACAACTTATCCTCTCGATCTTCCGCTTCCAGTTTCATGCATTCAATTTGCTTGTCCCATAAGCGACTGGATGTACCACTGGAACGCAGAAGGTGTGCGTACCTTCTACATAACGTCGGTCAAAAAGGTCACAGGAGGTGTACAAAGTAATTACCTCTAGTTCATTTGCACGCCGGTCTGACTCTTGAGCCGCACATTGGAGTGATTGGAGTTCCTTCAATTGCAGGATGGCGTCGACATCAGTATGCAGACCAAATCTCGGAGCGGATCGAACGGTACCTCTGTAGTCTCGACGAATCGTTGCAACAGCTCCGCATATGTATTCGAGGCTGTCTCTACTTCGCCACGCAACGTCTCAAGTTCGTAAGTGAGCTTCTTCTGTGTGGCGTAAGCAGCCACAAGTGCGTCCTGGAGGGCCGCGTTTTTGTCTTGCTGTATCTTGAGATCGCGCGCGATGGACGCCTGCGCAGATCCATTTCCTCCCCGCTTCTCCGTCGTTTCCTCACGGCAACGTTTGACCGGATGATCCGTGCCGTCGTCAGACGAAATATCAATGACGTCGCCGCAAGGAATAGGTTCCTTCTTCTTGCGTTTGCCTTGCTGGGTGCCGCGGGCGTCGTCGTAGGAATCACCCCTAGTCTGATTCTCGTGGCCGTCACCTAGTGCGCTGGTCCCAGTAGAGGCACGTTCGGCCGGCAAAACGACTTCAGCCTTGGATCTCGAGGTTTCTCGCGACATGAGCGTAACAGCAGGGCGTCCGACACAGTTTGCGTCAGTTCAATAGGATACACTCGAGGAGAGAGAGAGAGGAGTGGAACGTACCCCTCAGTAGGTTCTCCGGTTAGATGTAATAGATGACCATAATGCAGGCTTACTTTGACGGAGAAAAGGCAGGCGAACAATATAGCAACGGCGCTCGTTCTGGTGTCGCGTCACAGTGCACCGGCGTTCAAACGTTCACGTGTTCATCTAAAGGCCAAGACACTGACAGATCTATGGCCCTTCGTGTTCGACATCGTTCGACTCTCGCACCGACCCTCTAACTTAGCAGCCACCTGAGCCTCCATCCCTGAGCTTCTCGCGCCGCTACGATCCGTCGACACGTCAAGTTCCGCCGTCATGCAATCGTTAAGTCGACAGCAAGATAGCACGACTCGCAGCCACCCGGTCTCCCTTGGCGCGATCAGCGAAGACTGCCGCTCTTGCGCCCACATTCAAGGACGAGCACGCAGTGACGCAAGACGTCGACACGGGTTCAGTGAGTAGTACAGGGAGGTCAGAGGAGGCGCAAACCGGGGCAGCCCCGGTAAGCATTCCCGTTCAACCGCTTTCAGCGCCCCTTCCCTCAGCTGCACCCTCTCATGCTCGACACACCTACGCCTCCTAAACGAGTCTGCGCTCCGCCGCCCTGCTATTCCTGAACATTCGACTGACACACACATCTTTCGCCACTGTCCCTCCCGCGCCTTCGTGCGACGGAATCGGCACTTAGTATGGGAACGCAGGAAACACTGTTTGGGCGGACGGTCACCCCGCCGAGCGGCTGCGGCAACACCAACGTGACATCGCGAAGGCGCAGCGCGAGCTCGACAGGGAGAGGGCGAAGCTCGAGCAGCAGGAGAAGAAGCTCATCATGGACATCACGAAGAGTGCGAAGGCGGGGTAGATGGTGCGCGCTGTCGCGTCGTACATGCTGAGCATCCTCATTCACTGCGCAACCTAGAATACGTGCAAGGTCATGGCGAAGGATACCGTACGGACGCAGCGATACGTCCAGAAGTTCTATCAGATGCGGACACAGCTGCAGGCCGTCGGGCTCCGGATACAGACACTCAGGAGCAACCAGCAGATGGCGGACGCGATGCGCGGCGCGACTCGTGTACGTCCTCTGCGTCGCTCTAAGGATCTTTTCGTGGCTCGAGGACCACCTCTAATCAATCTACTCAATACCAGGCAATGGGCATGATGAATCACGGCGTGAATCTCCCGCAAATACAACGGATCATGAACGAGGTTGAGCGAGAGAGCACGACGATGGTCATGAAGGAAGAGATGATGTCCGACGCGGTCGACGACGAGCTCGAGGACGAGGACGCAGAGAGCAACACGATCCTCAAGCAGGTGCTCGACGAGATCGGTGTCGACCTCTTGCAGCAGGTGCGTCCTGTTTCCGCTTCACCTGTCGGCCCTTCAACGTGTTTCCCGCCGCAGCATGGGGCCCTCAAGTCGAACGTGAGGTAGCACAATCACAATCCCGCCCGCACCTGCCCACCGATTTACCCGTTCTCTCCCATTTGCGCACATGATTACCTAGGTACGTCCTCCGCGTGCCAGGATGAATGTGCCTGGCCAACTTCGACAAAGCAGTGACAGTGTCGACACCAAGGTAGACGTACACAACGCACCCGCCAAGCCCGCGAAACCTGGGCGCTGTCCGACAATCCCGCAAGCCCTCACGGCGGGCACCCACCCAACGATCCTGCCTTTAGCTCCCCCGAATGTGAGTAAGCACTGCACCTTGCCCGTGCGTGCGACGGTTCGCTGACCCTCGCGTCCCCTGCCCTGGTTTGGCCTGGAGGTCGCGAGGATATGCCCGTTGCACCTGCGGTAAGTCAAGTCACGCTAACGTAGATATCCAGGTTGCTGCCGCTTGTACTATCGACTGTATTGTACATTCAATCAAGCTGTTCGAATATACGCACCCTACACGCAAAGAGACCCGGAGTTGGCCTATCTTCGTTTCCATTACAGAAGTCTCAGACCGAGCGCATGACGGCCAGCACTGGAACCGCGATTATCGGTCTGTAGCACTGCGGTGAGCCATGAGGCGCATTCAGAATACAGCCGATGCAGCCAATCCTCATTTGGACGCTCAACGAAAGCGGCGTGGGGCAAGATCGTGCCGTCGTCGATGAGTTGGCCACGTTTCCGAACCCGTGGTCCTCAGACTGAAGGGGCAGTTCCGCGTCGTGAACATTAGGCTGGGGCGATTGTCAGATCCTGCTTGCGCGCGGTTAGGATGGGAATGACCGGTACTGTATCAAGGCGTGCAGCGCGCCGCCGCATAGCATTCGGATCTCTGATCAGGACTGGCTCAAAGGTCTCCCGCGCCGGCGCGGTAATTGCCATTGACTTGTCGAAGAGAGTGCAATCTCGATCGATCGTGAATCGCTACACAAAACCGGAATCTCAGATATACTTCCGAGCCACCCGCGCCGCAGGCCGTGCTCGTCGCCATTGGGCTGCACAAGTCGTGGTACATCGAACTGTATGTTACCAATCCATTCTTCAGGTTGCTGTCCCAGATAGTCCACGCCTTCGTCCCACCGGCCTCACTTCTCGTCGAAGGACCGTAGCTCATCTGCGACAGAAGCCATCTTGGCTAATTCCCGTCTTATCTCCAAATGTATCCGGGCTACTTCCGAGTGAAGAGCGGCGTTGCGATGCGTCATCGTCAGCAACGATTCTTGTTGTGCCCGTATTCTGTCGCACTGCACTTGAATCCTCCGGTGCAGAATGTGCTTCTCCGCCGTCAACTTGAGACGCTCTCCGTTGGCAGTGTCTTGTTCTGCTTGGAGTTCGTCCATCCTTCTGACGATCACGACGATCACGAAGTCAGACTCGTGCGGACATGCATGGAGGAGCCGACTCTCACCTACGAACAAGGTTTTGGAACAGTCCTGGGGCGTACGACACATCGGGCGCAAAGATCAACTTTACGTGGATCAAATCATGGGCGAATCGAAAGGGCCTTCGACAGAAAGGGCAACCAGTGATGTCGCTACGGCTGCCTGCGAGCATCTGCTGTAAACAATCGAGACAAAGGCTATGTCCTAGTGTGCGGACCGTTTCAGCAAGCCCATATGGTCGACGCCACGAGTTGAACGTACCGCAATGCTTGATGGCAATCAGCGACGGTCCATCCTTGGTGAAGGTGGAGAAGCATACAGGGCATGAGACGTGCATCGCACCGCGATGTGAAGAGGCGTCCGGTGAGTCAACTTGAGCTGGCTGCCCATTGCGACAGAGACTTGCGGCTCTTGTACGAGACCGAGTGGCTCAGTACAAAGGATGTGCGCTGGACAATGCAAGTGAGCGTAGTGAGCGCCACGCCCCAACGCTGCAATATTGAACGAGCGTAGACGTACCCAATGTTGTGAAGCGTTCCCCGTAGCATACCAATGTTCTCGCCCGCAATGCTACCATCAAGATTACCTTCACAGGCGGACGGAGAGCGCACGAGAGTCTGAGCTCGAGTACTACCCTGTGTGGAATTATCGTTACAGACATCCGACGATCTCATGGCGGTTACCTCGCGGCGCAGGTTCAGGCCATTCAAATGCTTGGCAGCTTCGCAATTGACTGCTTCAACCAATTGCAAGCCTTCCTCGTCAATGCGAAAGCAATGAGGCAACCTCATTGCGCCCGGAAGGAGACGACGAACACACAGACGCGACCTCATTGTCTCCTCATTCATCCTCATTGAGAGGCTGGACCCACCAAGGCGACTTCGCTGTCCCTAAATAGGGAAGGTGGACCCACCCAGCGCGTCACATCCGCTCCATTAAAGGCTTCTGGAAGTCGAGATGACGCCGCGCCTCATTCATTGGTCGGAAATGACTTCGGAGATTGAGGGCTGCTTCGGATGGACGCCGCCATGCGCGTGCTCACAATGCTGGTGCTGCAAGCGTGCGTGGTACACAGTTGCACTGGCCCAGCGGTCCCTCCCACTTGCGTATCTTCCCGCCGCGGGCTGCATTATACTGAGCGCAGTACAGCATTACATACACATGTCTCGTCGCGGATTATCGTATGCGTGCACGCTCGAATCGGGCCCGGGTCGAGAAGCAAGCTGCAATCCATCGGTGAGCTCAGGAATGAAGCGCGCTTTGAAGTCATGTAACCAGTGAGCAGGTAGAGGGCGGCGAAGGGTGACGGAAGTGTGAAAGTGTGGAGTCGAGTTCGACGAAGGGCGTATGCAATGAACAGCGCGAGGGGCGGCGACAGCGCTGGCGGGTTGGCGGTGAACAACGGCGGAAGGTCGGGGCGCGCAAATGAACGCGGCACGAACCGTCCGCACAGCTTTGCCGTTTCTTCGTCTCCGTAATACGGGCCGGGCTGTAGAGAAATTACATGAGTTGGTTGGATTGTTGCTCCGCCAGAGGAGGTACTCACGAAGCCGTGGTGCGCACTGTGCCCACTACTACCACTCGACAGCGCCGGGGGCGGTCTTGAGGAGAATGTCATCGCTTTCCAGAAAGCTGCCAAGGAATGACGGGCCGTAGGGGACCACAAAAAGCGGCCATCATGGAGTAGCAGAGTGAGCGCGGTGGCGATGGGCGACAGATAGTGGCGGCGAAGAAGAGACTGGTGCGGTATAGGTCAGCGCGCCCGGGGCATAGCGATGTATAATAACGGGAGGTCCGGGAATGCAGACAATGTGTCATGAACCTAGCGCAGGGCTTCGCAATCTCTTCGGGGCCTGCATGGATACTTCTTCTCTGAATATAACCCCTGGGGCTGTAAGCTCGCGGAGGTCTTCGATGTCGTCGATCTTTTCCAGCTGGCCATCGGTCAGGTTTGTGAAGTACGCGTCTGGACAAACGTCGGTTATGCGCATCATGGACGTAGGATGGACGGGGGACACACCAATATGCCACTTCGTTGGTCCTTTTGACCTCCCCCATCCGGCGACGGTTGCGCGTTGGCGGAATGGTTGTAGTAGACAGAGTAGGTCTGCTTGATGAAGTGGTCGCGTTTGCCCTGGCTGACGATACGGTCTCCTAAGAACCTGATAAGCGTATAGACAAAATGCGCTCAAGCGGCTAGAAGGGACATACTCGGTTCTCTGTGCGGTACCTCCCCGTCCCTTCGTCTTGTCCGGGGAGTGCTGTCGACGGGATGAGCGTGGGTGCAAGGGAGATTCGCGTTACGTTACGATCTCATACACGCGAGGCTGTCCAGGACTCGCCTTCGGTGAAGCACTCCATGTGAGGGCTGTATGCATCGCCGGCGAGGCTCTGGGGTACCCAGACATAGACGTCGCCTTCCTTGGGGGCCGCGCACTCCTCCGCGTTGAGGTGCTTTGTGACGGACTGCAGCTTGTTCTGCATCACGGCGTGGAAGATCTTGCGGGCGTCGTCTGCGTAGTGGATGTGGACGCCCTCGAGGGCGGGCTTCTGCTTCTGCTGGGCCATGACGGTCGACGCAGGGAGGTGGGAACGAGGCGTACGCGGGGACACGGGCAGTGGGAGGGGAGAGAGAAATGGAGCGATTGAGGTACTGATAGTGAGCGGGCGATTGATCCCGACATTGCTATATGGGCACGAATTGCAGTAGTGCGGCGAGCAGACGTGTCTCAATGAGTTCGGACGGTAGTAGGCACTTGACCGTCGCGGGCGATCCTGGAGGTCCAGGCGCAATGGTGGCATGGTACGGCAAGACATAGCATGCCCGTTGCAGCGTGTGGTACACCGCCGAGCGCACGTCAACGTGCACGTACGCTCTCGCAGATCCAAGTGGTGCTGCCATGGCGACCGTAATGTGCGAAGGCGGTGAGAAGGAGTGACTGCAGGGGCTCTTGGGCCGATGGATCCGGCATGTTCTTCTGCGCATGTGTCTCGTGTAGAATCGTCGAGTGCTCGATGCAATGTAGGTCGAATGCACGCAGACTAGTGTCTGCACTGACGGACACGAAGGTGTTTGTCGATCCTGGTAACCAGGCGACGTCGTGATACTCCCGGTCGTGCGCGATGAGCTGCGTGCTCGCGCTGGAGGTGTGGATGTTCTACACCGTGCACGTCCGCATTGCCCGTAGTCGCCAGCAGCTCCGAAATGTGTTGCCTTCTGGTTCCACGCATAGCTCGAGGCCACGCTCGGTGGCTACTGCAGGGCGGGGTACTCGCCGCCCACTTACTCGCCTGTTCTCAGACGTGACACACGCATGATTCGCGAGAGCAGGTAGACCTGCTCAAAGGGCCCATTTGTATGTACATTTGCGACGCGTCGTTCGGAGCTTGGCAATCCTCCCGCTATGCAGAGATCAGCAAAGAGCGAGGGGATCAACGTTCGAGACTTACAAATCGCCCGATGCAGGGGACGCACGCCGCCGACCCTTTTCTGCCAGAGTAAACTATCCTTGAGCTAACTGTCCATTTGGTCGCGCAGCTTCACGAGTTCATTGAACTTCTCGGTGGATGGTTCCTTCGCGTGCTCTTGGCCCTTCGGATTGAGTGCTTCCCTGATGCCGCACATTGACATGAGTGGCAGAGCGGTAAGAACGACAGCAACTCACTGTTGTTGTTCCAAGTCAAATGCCGCCAGAAGCAGGTTGTCCAGGCCCTGCGGGTGAATCGTCGACGCCGCGATCAGACGCATCTTTCTTCTTGTACTCATTCGTGGTCGGTGCTGCCTTGAATTGAGCACATACGCATGCCTTCAACAATGACGCACGTACCTTCATCAGCGGCAGGCTGTTAGAGATTCCTCTACCCCGAGCTACCTCGCCTCCTCTGAGTCCCTCGGACCTCCACTCTTGACCATAGCGGGACTCGTACAAGCGTCGTACAGGACGAAGATCCACGGGCGGCCGTCAGAGTCGTGCAGTTCGCAGTCAGTTGGGATAGTGCTGCTTTACGCGTCTTGATGAAAAGTCGGGCAATCGCAGCGGCTGGAGGTAACGGAGTTGGTGAGCAGCGATCCTGGCCAACATCCGGCTGTGTGGTCGCACGTCCGAGTGACTCGCGACGATGCCCCACTTCGTTCGCGTGCCAATGACCGGATTACATTCGTCTTGAAACGTCGCCCCGTAAGCACAGACGCGGAGCACGCAGCACATACGACTTACCTTACATTCACATCTGGGTGTCTCTCCCGACCTCCAGATTGCACTGGACTACTACTCGGAGGGCACGTAGACCCTAAGTACTACGATCGGCGTAGCGTGGACGCCGTGATTCGTACGTTCGCGGCTGAACAACCGTTCACTGTCTTTCTGGTAGGTTCAGATCTCTTGACGTTGGGCAACACCAGCTCGTATATCATGAGTAGAACGCAGGCCTACGTCGCATGCGCAAATTCTAGAAGTAAGTAACTTGCGGTGCGCAGACCGTTAGACGATACAGCGACGAGAATGCCCGATATGGCAACCCGGCACTTCGCGATTTAGCGCTTCTCCTCCTCCTGCTGTGATGCATATTAGCGGTAGACAGTACGCTACGACTTGCTCGGCACTGGCACAAGCAGTACATACACGAACAAAATAGCTGTGGGCTGGGACATGTCGCAGACGGTGCCGTACTAACGTCCTACACTGCGCGCTGGGCATCAATCGGAACTAACCCGTCAAGGTCAGAGTTCAAGTTGGCGTCAGCTTCAGCGACGCTCGACGAGTCCGACGATAAGGTATACATATCCTGTGACAGATATGAGGGCCTCCATGTTTTGATCAAGTTACTCAGCGTACCTTTATAATCGGAAATACATGAATTCTTCCAGTCTTCTGGTAGGTCGTAGCTTCTGGCGTCTCCGTAGCACGGTTGGGAGCCGGCACACTGGGATGATATGGTGTATACGCGAAGGGGCATACGACGTCTTCAGCGGAGACGACTTCTGCCGGCAGGAGATCTTCACGATATAAGCAGCCAGACACCGCGAACCCGAAGGCGCGATACGGATCATCGGCGCGTTCATTCTCGTCCAGGGGTATGTACCGGCGAACAGTGAGGAACACTCGGTTAGACGGCCTTTGAGCTGAGCCAGGAACAGGTTGCTTATCCCATAGTATCTGTGATATTCTGGCAGGAGCAATCTCCAATTCTTCAATGACCGGCAGCGTAGGATTGGTGATATCAATAGGATTTTGAGATGTCCGCACAAGTATGTTGGCGTCCCGGTGACTTCTGAAGGAAGGCCGGAAGTTGAACCCGTTCACCCGCATCACAGAGCACGATACCAACCCTGTTTTAAGTCAGACATCTCTTTTGTACTTTTCACCCAATGTACTCGCCTTTCAAATCGCGCCTGCCAATATAACCAGTGATCAGGAGTTTCTCGTGAGCGCTTGTTAGGCGGACCATGGTCGAAAATTCCTTGAGTTGCATTCTAGCTGCGTCACCCAGGCCTAGGATATCATTGAGTCTTGTTCCCCTAGATTCGAGCTCGAAGGCCTTGTCGAACGATGGCTGCAGCGCTGACAACTCTGCGGGCAGGGCTCCGTTGGTGAGCAAAGGCCGAACGTTCGCTGCACGATTTGCGTGATACATCATTGTCATCTCCAATTCGCCTACAGTGAATGTCAAAACTGAGCGTGCATATTGGGGTAGCATCAGATACCTGATTTCATGTTCGTGGGCACTTCCTGTAAGCTATGGTTGAAACGTTCGGGACCAAAGGCTCGCGTAGAGTGCGAAGGTCCCAGGTCTTCGAGGTTTTCGTTGTAATGCTGAGCGAGATGATTGCTTGGTTGGAGGGGCACCTCGGGGTACAGAGAGAGAAATCCTCGAAGATATGTCGAGTAGTGGTGATCATATGCGTCGATGTGCTTCTGCGACGTTGATCGAAGGCAGGAGATGAAGACTGCCGTCACGAGATGCATATAATTGTGCAGCATCGCTTCTGTTCGGCCACGATCGGATCCCCAGATGCGTATAAGAGTGATCACTAGATGCATAAGCCCCAGCGATCTCCATTCGTCCGCCTTGAGCTTTCCAGGCCTGCTAGCAACCTTACGAGGCGCGGGAGCAACGGAGGAAGGGAGAAGCATCCGATCCATATCGTCCCATATCTCCTGCAACACTTCTATTCCAAGAACGACTTTCTTCCGATCTGGATCAATCATGCTCGCACTTTCCGGTTGTCTGGAGGACTGCAAATATAAAACAGTTACTTATGTCCGTACTGAGTCGTCAATTGCTCCTCTTACCCATGACAGTAATCGCCCCCACAACTCTTTCTTCGTCCCTTCACTTGCTAAGCCACGTCTTCGACACAGCTCCTGCAGTGTTGGCGCCCGTACATTCGGATTCTTGTTTCGTTTTGCAAGCCCTAACTCGGCCTTCGCAATGTCATCTTCTGTCCAGATCTTACTGGACCGTGATGCAGCGGATGTCTCGGAGTTCCCAATTGCAGAGACACTGTGAGGCTCGTCCAAACTTTGATTGTCCAGAGACGAACCCGGTGAGTTGGCAACACCGTGATCGGTGGGACCATACGTAGATCCATATCCACCACTTTCGCTGCGCCTGCTCCGGTCAAACACCTCCGTCCCCGATGATTCTGCCTCGCCATATAGGTGGGCTGTGTCTCTGACCGAGACAGCGTTTGTCTCCTCTGTCGTTGAGTACTCTGCAGCTGGCATATCTTCGTCGCGCACCGAAAACTGGGTATCATGCACGGGAGGGAAGTAGAGGGCACCAGCGCGAGCGGTATCGTCACGGTCATGTTCCGCATCTACTTCCAAATGAGTAGGCGCAGGGCTTCTTTGGTTGCGCTGTAGAATACATGGGCTTGCTCAGATCTGCTGAACAAGGGAGGACCATTGCACGTACCCATTCAATCAGACGGCGTGCAAGCATGCGTGAAGGCCCAGCTCGCCGAAGGCCTCGATCGTAGCATAGATGCCACAAAACCGCATACCGCTCATCCTCCAGAACTTGTTGCGTCGCAGTATCCGCTAGTTTCTCCTTGATCCTCCACTCCGCGACTCGTGTTCTTGCCGCGCACGGCGGGACAGTCATCTTGTAGCAGAGCTTCCCGTCGCCGGAATGTTTCGAGCTGTCCATTCCCCAGGCATATGAAGCGTGGTGCATCAGGTTCCGCAGGAAATGAAGATGCACGGGCTCGAGGACTGTGAAGCGGATCGGATCCCAGTACGGAAGACGTAGGAATTCACTCCACCGCACCCCACCTTCCCTGATGTGTGCGACTCGCTCATACTTGGTGGTAAGAGTGCGCCACGTCTCAGCGCTCTCCCGATGCGTATTGACGTCGCGGTAGATCCAATCGGACTTGCAAATCTGTTCGATGTCGTCTTTTTCCAGCAGGCATACTGAGCAGAAGTATGTGGCAGAGTGGCTCGCAAAGCCAGATATCTGGCGAGCGGCGAGGAGGTCACATATCATCGGGATGAGCGCGCCTAGAGCGAAACGGCCACCCAGATGGGTAGCTGTTCTAGAGAAGTAGACACCAGGTTTCCAAAAGGCAAGAAGATCATCGACGAGTAGTCGCGCGTAATGATTGATCTCATCCAGGGAGGGTTTACCGGGCCCTGGGATCATGCCAACCAAGAACATATTCTCTTCGCGATAGCGGAGATCTGGAGGCAAATTCATGAGAATGAGGTAGATCGCGGTTGAAGAGATGCCTCGGCGACCGGGTTTCATGTGATGAGGATCGAAGCTATCAAAAGCGAAGCCCCAGACAAGGCGCAGCTCCTCGTCTGGACCGTCCAAGAAGCGGGAACCGTCGGGTCCGACGAAGTCGTGAACGAGCTTGCTCTCCATGATGTCATGTACTCTGTCACACTGGCCGTGCGACGCTTTCCGGGACTGCCTCGTAAACTTGTCCAACGCTGCCTCAATATCCCTCCTCGCCAGTAGACGTGCGTGCCAAGCCTTGAAGTCCTGGTGGAGATACTTTCGTACGGCCATCGTATGGGACCCTCCCTTGAGCGCTCTAGTCTCGAATAGCTCCGCGTGGCACAAAGGCGCATCCTCGTAAGCCTTATGTGTGCAGCGATCCGGACACTTCTTATTGTCTGGGTAGAGACAAAAGCATTCGGGGCAGCATATGTACGCCTTGACTTCGGGGTCGAGATCGAAACGGCGAAGCAAGGTGCGTATGTCATTGGGAATCTGGGTGACAAGGCCTAGCTTGGCTTGCAGGAGGTCGAAGGCGAAACGAATAATGTCCAAGACCCAATTGCAGTGTCTTCTGGATACGCCACAGAGTAGCATGAGCGTCAAAACCATATAGCACAAGGCGGCGGCGGCGGGATCAAACCCAGGAAAAACTCTGCGATGGTAGCGATCTGCAACACATCATCGTACAACTATCATGGATAGACTTTTGCGTATACGCACCACAGTTATAGTATATGGGTGTAGCGCCTTTGTACTCGACGCGAACCTGGGGGCCCGGAGGTCCCTGCTCGCGCTGCGCGTCCCATTCCTTCCCTCGTATATCGCCGATCCGCCGAATCTCCCTGAGAATACTCTCTCGGATGCGCAAACGGATGTGTTCAATGGCTTCGAACCCGGGTGAGGGTGAGGCATATCGAGCATTGAGATCCAAGTAGTCGTACATCTGCGCCTCGTGCGCCAACAGAGTTGAATTGAGCGAAGACGAAGACAACGCGAGCAGGCCGGAATTTGGCACATCCGGTATCTCGTCGGAATACGTGTAGGAAGGAGAAGTAGGCGTAGGAGGGTTGTTAAAGGCTAGTGGAGCCATCGCTGAGAAGCCCAGGATTGCCTGATTGACGGAGGTGAACATGGCGTCTAACTCGCGCAAAGAGACTTCGACGAGCATAGGTGTATGCTCTTCTAGGTCTTCCTCTTTGTTAGTTTTAGACGCAGGACGAGAACTTAAACCGTACCTCGCGGAGACGCTGCTGATTGATCAACAGTAGCCTCCAAACTCTGAGCCGAAGTCCGTAGCTCAGCTGATGTCCCGAAACCGTCCAGCGGGGGGCTGACGGGAGAAGGGATCCGTGCCAGAACTTGCGTTAGATACTCGGTCTCCGCGTGAGTCCCAAGGTCGATCCTCTTTCGCAAGGCATCCGACTGCTCATCAGCGATGGCATGGGCTTTCAACTCACGGTAGGTCACCCATTGTCCAGGGGTCTGACTACCTTTAAGAGGATCCGTCGCCTCGCCGCCGCGGCATCCGTATATATCGCAGAGGCAAAGGTACCTCTGTTGCCCATCCACGAAAGCGCTTGTGTACTCGGACCACTGATTGCTTCGTGACGGTGGTTCCATAGTGTGACTCCGAATGATCAGTGGGGAAGGGTGATGTCCTTGCGATAAAGTCAGTGCCCAATCTTGATGAGAGGGCGTCATGGCGCACCTTGAAGGTGGTACCGCAGTCCAAGACTTATGCCAATGTGGGTCTGTCCTCGTCGTGAATAGGGGTTAGATGCAGTGCACCATGACTGGTATGTACCTGATGCCGAGCACTGGAGCGTCGGACTACTAGCTAGCTTCACGTCCTCTGGACCTATAGATTTGCGTCATTGTTAGGAAAGACGTAGAGCGTGATCTATGGATAGTACTTACCTTCGGCTTTACGTCCTCCTCAATGGGACTAACCCGAGGCACCTGGCGCGGGAGGACCTGTAAATACATGCTCCGTCGCGGTGCTCCTCCTTTTTCGCACGTCCGAGCCCGCGCTTCGGTGGCTGAAGCGATGAACGGTGTTCGAACGGGCCGTCCTACTTAGCTGCCTCCTCCCTCAATACATCAAGACCCCACCAGATTCTCGTTATACTATGTGTACACCGCGTGAAGCGCTTCCTTGAGCAGTACATGACGGGGCAGAAAACGTGACCGAATCCAAACATCCAAAACTATCGTTATACTATGTGCCCTGGGCCTCGCGCAACGGAGAACAATGAACAAATCGAGAAGATACATTAGATGAGCCTACGAGTTGCGAGAGGGTGCTCATAGTCACCTTGTGCGGTGATCTAGAGAGATAGGCACGCGGCAGAACTTGCCATTGAGTGCGACAAATCGAAGCGCAGGCCCTCCTGACCCTTTCGCGGATTCCACAGAGGTATGCATGCATGATAGAGGATGGATTGAACAATAGCTTGAAACAACGGGAAGTTATGTTTGATTCCTACACAACGTGCAGCGGCACTGACCAGCCGACCCGAAAGGAAAAGTATGCACACGGTATATAGGGTGAGATCGAAGAGTGGATACGGCGACGAGCAGCTTTCGAGTAGCGAAGAGACGGAGGTTCATAACTTGATTGGCGGGTGCATTGGGACTGCGCAAGACATATGCCAAACATCGACAACAGCAGGTGCCAATAGATCCAATAAGAGCTAGACAAGAGGGTGATCAGACGAGACCTTCAAGGTTCACATGTTCAGCACTTACCTACTAATGCATCACCGCCCTAGTCGTATACATAGCAAGGGGAGGGTTCGTGATATAAATCTTCGTAGAGCCGCTCACTTTCCGTTTGACGTAGAAACGGATGGACCAGTGACCAGCAATCTATGGTATGATTAGGCAAGGCGCGTACAGAGATTCTTCAGCAGCGATCTTACCCAGTACGGAACCCGCACGACATAGACCTCCTTCGCTCCCTCGAACTTTTCAGCATAGTCAAATAAGTAACCTGTGCGTGGTCAAGACTTTACGTTGGAAGATGTGTTGTAGCGTACGTACAGACAATGGCAGGGCGCAGTTCATCCCACAGGTCTTCATCGCAGCCTACGTCCTGAAGATCCGTGAAAGGCGTGGTAGCGTCGTCCGTCGTGGCGCCAGCGTACACATGAGCCCTTCCTTCGGAAGTCCCCGCGCTGCCACCGTCTTCGTGGGTGCCACTCTGTTGGCTTGCTGCGGTCTGCGAATCATCCCCGCCGGATTGTACATTACCATCAGAGCGTGTTGGATTCGCGGCCTGAGGGCCTTCCTCGTCGTGTGTCCCGGTAGTATCGCCCACACCGTCATCCGTTTCATCGTCGGCGTCGGCATCGGCGTCCGATTCATCGTCGGCGTCAGTGTCGGCATCCGTTTCATCGTCAGCGTCGGCGTCGGCATCCGAATCACGCGCATCGAACGGTAGCCTGCTGAATTCGCGCGACGGGTCCGTCGACTCAATGATGATGGTTGCCGCACCGTCCAGCTTCAAGCAACGCTACGCGGCTTGTGAGACTTACTTCGCATATATAGAACGCCACTCACCAAACGACCGATAACTTCGAGATAGAGGTCATCTCCAAGCAAGGCGGAGGGATCCAACACCGCATTGGTGAGTATGACCCTCTCGTCGGATAAGTCTAAGTCGTTGCGTGCAGTGAACATAGTGAATCCCGGGACGAAGTGAATGCCCCGATACGTCACGCCTCTGCGACCCGCCTTCAAATACCAAGCTTGGTCTTGCATTGTCCGAGACGTGACAGCGTGACAGACGTGCCCAACGAAGGAACTGCGTCCGGATAAGTATGTTAGCTATGGCCGGTCTAGGTGCGACGACGAACTGACATAAGTACACCGTTCGAGCACCGAGGATCGTGGTCGACGCGAAGCCGCATAGTGCGAGCAACGGACTGATTTCGCCGCAGACCAGGGTAGAAGCGATGACCGTCTATGGGAGGACTAGCGGACGTTTGCGCGAATCATGCTGCGAATCACTGGAGGTATGAACCACTAGTGCAACAGCTGCAGGTAGCTCGCAACGCTCACCTATTGAATACACGACCCGTTCGAGCGTAGGCAGTCTCGACGTACCCTCGTCCAGTGAAGATGAACCAACTCGGCACTATGCTCGTATCGCGCGCATCGACCTCCATGATCCAGTCCGCGAGTTGCGAGTCCCACGGGCTTGCAGCAGGACCTCTACTTCTACTTGATGGCACGGGGCATGGCCGTTCCTCCATGAGCTCGCATTGACTTACTCCAGTTACGTTCGACATACATCCGCATCAGGCCGTCCAGCTGCCTACACCAATCATGACTTGACCCAGAATCCGTTGGTCTAACATAGGTTCTTAGCAGGCGTACACTCTTGAGATCGCTGTTGGGACGTGACGTACCTGCCAATGGCATGCTCCAAGTGAGTGTTGAGCGTTGAATGTTGAGTGCTGAATGCCGGACGTTGAACGTGTGGTAATGAGTTAGATGGGCAACGAGGAGGAGGACGTCCGATTGGTATGGCCGTGGCTACAAGACGGATTAAGCGCTGCATCATCGAGATAGAGCCGTACGCTGGCCATACGCAGCGTCCGGCTGACAATGACCTTTTCATCGCCGCTTGCGGAGTGCGAGGGCGGCGAGGGTTGCGTGAGGCAAATGGGGCATAGTAGGCATGAGACGGTCCAGGCGTATACAGTATCGTGACAAAGATCGAGATGATAGGAGCGAATGCTGCGCTTAAGCGCTCGCCAGATCTAGCCGTTGAGTTCTTCTAGGTTCTTCTCGCGCTGTCACCGTGTCAGGAAGTCGAGACGCGCGTGCGCTATCGGCCGGTGGCTAAATGGACCCCTCCTCCTCCTCCTCCTCTCGCGTCTGTGGGGCGATAAAGCGTGCCTCATTGTTCAATGCCCTGAGCCCCAAGCCTCGAATCAGTAATCGTGACTGCTATACACGGCGGCCTCATTGCCATGGCCCCGGCCCATGAGCTTCGATTCGGTGCTCGACTGCATGCCTGTTAGTGCATGTACGAGCAATGAATCGGGCATCCCAAATCGGGACAGGCACGCCTGGCCTGATATGTGCAATTGGGACCACGCCTGCAGCGGCAATACGACCTATATATGCCACGAGTCTCAACACAACTGCCCCCGGCTCCTACCTGCCTCCAAGTCTCCCATCGGTATGTGTTCTGTTGCAGATAGTAATTCTACTGACCTGAACATGTACAGATGGCACCGAACAACGAACCAAGTAGCCACGAACTCAGGCAACGCCGTCTCGATGACCACGAACTCAGGCAACGCCGTCTCGATGATTTAAATCGTGCGTCAGTTACATCCGAAGCATACTCTGATGCTCATGGCGTGGCTTGTCCTTCCAAAGGCATACCACGAGCCACGCTCAACGAGCGTTTCATCGAGACGGAGGACCGCCTTTCTCAAAAGGAGACAGATGTCATTGAGGTGAAGAACCACCTTCGGGCGAAGGAGGTGGAGTGCCTACACCTATTCCATATTGTAGTCCAGTTAAGCCAGCAAAGCCGCAAGCTCGGCCTTACTGGGGCGCTGAGTGCGTCGGAGTAGCCATTGCCAGGCTATCGCCAGACTCACTCTAGATCTCTTGTTTTCCTGTTGTTACTCGAACTGCTCTGATATCTGCTTTCGTTTGGCTTGTTTGGCTTGTACACGTATATAGAATGATCTCAGGCTGCTGCTCGTTGGATATGAACGTGTGACTCAGTCGATCAGCACTCAGGAGTCAATAACTCCAATTTTGTCAGACAGGACCAGCAGAGAGCTGGGCAGTGTCGAGTTCGTGCCACTTGCCATGTTGATCTGTAATCTATTAGCCATTAAAGACGACCCTAATCCCCTCGTAATTCCACCTCGGACAACCCTTGAATCCACTCGTAGATCCATCTCAAACCTCCTAATCCACACGTAAATCCACCTCGAACAACCCCTAATCCATTCGTAAATCCGCATCAAACAACCCCCAAATTCGCTCTGCAATGCAGTACAATACAAACTGTTGATCGCAGACGAACATATGCGTCGACCTGGGGCTGCCAGACCATTACTTGGCGAGCTGTTGTGCTCCGCGCTATCAACAGTCGGCCTTGGATCGGGCGTTGTTGCCGTGTTGGTGGATGTCATGCTCAACGGCAAGGGGGTGCATATCTGCGCACGTTCAGCAACACACGTCTGTCACAAGAAAGATTGTATTGTATTGCCAACGCACTCAGCACGTCCCAACTGATATCACCCACATTGATCCACCGCACCCTCGCCCAGGGCTCCCGCTTGCTCGCCTCCGGCGATTCCAGCATCGACACCACCTCTCGATTCTGCATCCACCCCACACTGCACCTCGTCACGGAATAGTCCACGATCTCAATGACGCACTGTTGGCGGCTGTCACCATAGTGTGCATTCGCGCAGATTTGCGCTCGCGCGGCGGGGGGTCGATGCCCGGCTCTGCGCCGATGCGCCCCGAGGTCATCGTCGTCGACGCGCGGCGCAACGCCATGACACGATGGACCGTTGCGCGGAAGCGTTTCTTGTGCGCGCCAGGCGGTAGGGACGCGGCAGGTGCGCTCTTCCGAACTGTCGGGGACCTGAGGTTGAAGTTCGCTATGGGCGACCTGAGCGACTTCCTGAGTGACACGGGCGTGTTGATCTTGATACTGGGAAGCCTGGGCTTGAGCTTGGCGTCTTCAGTCGTGATGGACAGTAAGTGCTTGAGAGCATCGGAGGACGACGAAGGCTTGCCTCGTTCGAGCCCAGTGATGTCCTCGGAGCTGCTGGCCCGGAGCTCGTCAAAGAAGGCACATCTAGGTATTAGCAGTCTATACGGATATGCTGTGAGGAAGTCAGTGGGGTTGCCAACGACGATGGAGTACATACGTGAAGGTCGTGCTTGGGGTGGAGCTCATGGGCTGGTCGTCTTGTTCTTTGGGCACAGCAATGGTCAAGCAAAGGTCATATGTCCGTAACACGGTTTCACTATCCCTAGTCGAGACCGTCCTTGATATGAATCGGCAGGTGCAACACATGTAGGTGGCAGGTCTTCTGGGCCTCCGCGTCTCACCATCGCGCAGCGCCAGTTGATATACCGCCGTCGTCTCCTGCCAGCGACGCCCCAGTCGCGCCGCAAAGCGCGCTCCGCGGGACAATCAAACGAAGCGGGCTCGGAGATCGTCCGAGCTGCGAAGTGACATGCCTTAGAGACGAAGGCAGTGACCGCAGTAGAGGCGATCGGGCCGCAGAACGTGGGTGCACGGCAGGGTGGAGTTCTGCTTGAGCGTGTTCCTTGCTCAGCGACTCACCGTGCGGACGCGTACAACACGGACACAGAGGATGTATGATGTCTTTGGCGCGTTGTTCGTGTGGGTGGCCTTAAGGTTGAAGTCGTCGGGCCAGATGAGCGACATCGTCACCGCAATGATGCCGTCCATTCTTGATTGAGGCAAGGTTGCCCGACAGCGGGAACTCGCCCGTTGTGGAAGGCGAGCTCGGGCCGCTGCGCTCGCCGTCGACGCCGGGCAGCGTCGGCTTGCCGTCGGGGTGCGCCGGGGGCCGCTCTGCGGGCAGGTCAGACAGGGCCGCGGCCGCGAGGTCGGGATGCTCGCGCGCGCGACGGACTCGAACCGCCGAGGTCGAGCAAGTGGGGGCGCCGGTGAAGATGGCGTTGGCGGGGTGGGCGCTGCGGACGCGAGGGCGAGGAGGATGCGGAAGTAGGTGGAGAGAGGGGAGATGAGTGCGGAGAAGGAGGGGTAGTAGCGCGTGATGAACTCACGCGTGGTCTCCGCTGTGGACGCGGACAGCGGGTCCGAGAGGTCTGCGGGCGGCGACGTGTTCGCGGAGCTGCGGTACTGCTCATCGAGCTTGTAGAGCTCGATCGGGTCGAGCGTGTGGCGCGCGATGGCGAGGAGGATGTCGGGCTCGACATGCGAAAATTGGTCCAGGAGTAACCGCGCTTATGACGGGATGGGCGCAGCCTCATGCCGCCCCATCCGAACACCGAGGCCGACGCAAGAGTCCACAGCGGAAACAAAGACCGGCTAAGCCAGGTGATTATCCTCCTGAGCTTCGCGCCAGCGGGTCCCGTATAAACAAGGGAGTTTGAGGAATGAGGGCAGAGGCGGCCGCGCTCGAGAAGCGGTAGGGGCGTGGCAGCGAGACGAGCATGGAGACGGCGACGAGTCCTCGATTTGTGGTGATGAAGACCACGTAGACTTACCGGACGCGCGGTCGACGTTAGTACACTGTCGCGGAACGAGCGTGCTATGTGGCCGTGTCGAGGATGTAGGAAGAAGCAGGTGGTAAGTAGAGCTAGTATGGGTCGCTCGCTGACTTGCCACCGCCGCAAGGAAACAAGCGCCCATACGCGTCGGGGAACCTGCCTCTGGCCTCGGCCTAGTAGTAGTAGCATTCGGACGCACGCCTGTCTGCCTACACGTTGCCAATTAATGACATGTACCAATATCTTCGCGAGCTTCGCACGAGGCGGCCGCCAACTGCTGACGTTGATCTAGTGTCCGATTGCTCTAGGCAGGCCGATTAGGCGGCACTTAGTACTAGAATAGAATCTAAAGGACACAGCGCAGGTCTAATCCACATATGAACGTTACGCGAACACGAGTCTCAGACTAGGATTCTCTCCGGTGACGAAATCCCAGCGAAATCCCACCCGAAATGCACTACAGTTACTATCACCCCACGAATACATGCTAGTCTATATATACAGTCGTGTCTCGGATCCAGAGGAGTCAACTGGCTCACCCAGACTTCTTCATGCGTCCAATATAAGTGCGAAAAGTTGTCTTGGTCACCCAGCGAGGTTCTCCATTGTCGAGTAGGCGAAGGACATAGCCGTTGATGGTCGGATGAGGATGCCGCTCGAGGATGGGGACCCACTCCGCCGCCTTCCCACGAAGCCAGACCTGGAGCTCACCATCATTCAGGTGAATGTAGAGGTCTCCGGCATCCGCGATGGTTGCTGCGATCGGCACACCGGGCAACACCGGGCCCGTAGACATGTACCAGACGATCTTCTCCGAGCGTGACCGGATGGCATGCTCATGGCGGAAAGGTCCTCTAGAAAATGTGTGTCAATCGAGCCCAGGGGGATGTGACTGAGAGGACTCACGTTATTCCAGGCGGCGCACCCGTAGTGTAAGATGCAGACGCCTCTCTCGTCACGCGCACAGGTGTTGTATTAGCACGTATGGGAGTGTACTGCAGAGATGGTACAACTGCCTTGTGCGCCGTCGTGCCATGCAGGGTTCCCAGATTGATAGTCGGAATGCTGCGGATCTCGGGAGGAGGGCTTGTCGATGCGCGAGCAACCTTCCGCGAAGTATCAGCCAAGTCAGACGGGGCGAAGACAAGTGGCACTTGGTCACTTCGTCCGTCTACCGGCGGGCTGAACTGAACGGTCATGGACTGGCGAGGCGCTTCGGCTGCACCATGGGCTACCGGAGGAGCAGGAGAGACCCTAGATGCAGCGTCATTGGACTTCAACACCCTCCCGGAAGGATCGTCTAGTACGCGGACGGGAGAGACGTGCTTGGAAAACAGCTGAAAAGCGGACGATTCAGCGATATTCACTCTTTGAAGAGCGCACAACGTACAGGAGGTCGCGGCCCTTGGCTCGGTAGTACTGGCGGAACTTCGGTTCGAAACAGCTCCTGAGGACTACCAGTGTCAGGCATCTGCTGTGATATCTCAGCTAGACGATGACGGTAGCGTGATGAGACATAGCGTACGATATGCGCCTGATTCAGAGGGCGTTCGATTGTTTGACTCTCCCCACTATGAGCAGCGTCAGTGAAATGGTACAACGGTACAAGGACATCCTACTAGGTTTCCCGAAGAAGTCTCAGGTGTCTGTAACGCAGCAAATGGCTTCCGGGCCGTATGACGTCCTCCTAACCCAGGATATGAACTTCAAAGTCGCTTGTAGCAGTGGTGAAGACTCACATCACGTTCCAATGCAAGACCAGGCAAGTGAGGGTCGGTAACGCGGATTGAGATGGGCTTGTCTGGTTCAATCATGGTGGACTTTTCGAGGTAAGGGTCGATGCCGCAGGAGGTCAGGAATAGCGCCTTTTAAACAGATATTGCGACCGACCGTAACACAAAGGCTTGATCGCAGCCACTAGTCCTGCATTGTGCTTCACGCGAGCGGCAGGCAAGAATCCAACACGAATCATCCACGAGGACGGTCGTGCACGCAGGCCCACAATGTTGTGGCTCCCGCTGCTGGTCGGCGCGGATAAGTGTCGAACGTCTGTCTGTATTTCCGCGGTGATCAACAAGATGCAGAGCAGGGGAAACATACAGACCGACGATCATCTCGACGACGAGTCACAGAAGCGAGAGTCAGTGTATACCGTTCGTTAACTTGACAGAGACGGGCGAAGAGTAGCTGAGGCCTAAATTCTGTGGGCGTCGCTGTTCGCATGTAGTCTCGACAGGCGTTGAGTAGCGATCCGTGGGGCTGCGCCGCATGCTAGAGACTTCGCGATAGGGGTCGTCCGTAAGGGTGCAGTTGAGGAGAGCATGTAACGATCCAAAAGCCGTGCACGTCTGTCAGGAGGAAGTACCAAGTCGAAGTAGTGAACGAGCCTGAGGAAGCAAGAGCTCAGCGCTCAGCGTTAGTCGGGTTGTCCGCGTGTTTTCATCCGCAGTGCACGGGCGCGCGTCAGACGCGGATAGCAGAGTTACGCAATGCGGCACCCTTGCGATGCAGCAATCACAACTTATATGGTCTGATCCTGAGACTTCAAGGGCGAAATCCGATACTTCGCAAAACGTACGGTGAGAATCATGACAGATTCACCACTTATACGACACGCAGACAAAGAAGTATCGTACTAAGACGACAACACAGGAGTCCAAAACCCTCCTCCATCCCTCAACGTCTTCCTCCGCTGGTCGACTGTCTTGCTTGAAGTCCTGGAACTGGCATCGGCATCTTCAAATGGTGTGCCTACGTGCGCGCCTGAGCGCCGTGCGCCGGCTCGGCGCTCTTTCCCAACGCTTGCAGTCCCTGCACCACCGCATGTAGACCAGAGCGTCTTCAAAGTTGCAGTCCGTGCACCAGTCAGCACGGATGTTTTGTTCCTCTTCGCCATATATCTTGACCATGAGCATGTCAGATTGACCGATCATCTGTACCGACAGTTATCTGCTGGTTTCTGTATGGAATCATGGGCGCGCGTTGAACCACTCACATCGACCACCCTGATCAGTAAGACCTGCGTCGTCCCTAGGTATTCATCTCCGTACCGGAGCATGTGAGCTGCGTACGTATGTGCATCAATACTGACGGTTGCATGTCATGGAGTGCTGATGCAATACATACATGTCATGGAGTCGTAGAGAGGGCCGTATTTGAACGCAGTGGCCGGTGTTCTGCATGGCCAGAAGTCATTCAGAACATACCGCCGAGAGAATTAGAGGGTACACACAAGTCAGGTTGTTTCGCCTCGGTGGCTACGCTGTCTCTTGTATGGAGATCCCAGTCGAAACCGAAGAGACACCTGCGATCAATACGAGTATCGTCTGAGTCGGCGTCCGTGGTGGGCGCTGGGCACTGCCAGGACATATCATATCGTAAGCCATAGTGCGGGCTGTAAGCGCGGTCCAAGAAACGTACCATGTAGCCTATCACCGAATGCACATCCACTTTCAATTCATTGAGGACGAACTTTCCGTCCGTAGTGATTTGCGATTCGAAGGTTGCGTCGATGTCTTGGTCTGACTGGGTGGCAGCTGGGATGGTAGACATGGCTTTGGGGAAGGATGCGTGCGTGAAGAGCATCGTCGAGACGTTGCTTTTATGCAGCTACAATCCCTTTGTGGCACGTTAATCGAAGTCTGACAATGTAAGATGCATGCCGCTGATCGCGGCGGTATTAGTACTTCAGACGCTCACTGACCATACGAGAGCACGCCTAGCTCCTTGGTACCATTGGAGTCCGTGTATGAGGCGTCCCAATGGGTCGGGCAGCCTTGATGTGTGCTCGGAGAAGGGGTAGGCGTGGCCGATGATCAACGCTGAACGGATATGCACGCTCGTCCCTCCGACGCTTTCGCCTCTCGCGACTTTTTGACTTCCGCCGTTGTGTTTCGATCCGTTCCGTTGATTTGTTGGTGTTGAGGGTTGCTCCGGCGGCGCCTGCATCGCCGCATCTGGGATGTCGGATTTGTCGGAGGGCCCCGTTATCCCAACCGCTACGCTACTCAACGCTATCACTGAAGCCAACTGCGCACAAGGCTCCAACGAGTGCAAAGAGGCGTCGTCCAGGTCGAGGTCCTTGGGTCCAAAAACGGCCACCTCCCGTGCCGCCGCCGCCATGAGGAGCTCGGCGAATGAAGACGGGAATGATCAGCAGCAGTCAACGGCCCCGCTGTGGGGTTCGGTATGAGTGTAGTCATTATGCAAAGCTTGACACCCACGGCCGACCCATCCGCTCTGCTTTGCGGGTGCAGACCCCCAGTGCCGGGCGAGGCTCCGCGTAGTTGCGACCCGCACAGCGTACGCCTCAAGGAAGAACCGCGGTGGTGAAGACGACTCACTTTGGGCGCGCGTATCGGTGGGCAGGTTTCGTGCTTGAGACGGTGGCAGGCGACCATGTAGGGCCCCGCAAGGCCGTTTAATATTGCGGCGCCCGCGCCCGTCACGGACGCGTCGCGGGAGAAGGCAGGGAGGAGGTATCCATTTAGCCACCGGCCGTAGGTGCACGTGCGATCCTCGGTATGGTGACGGTCCTGGTCCATGGCCCGCCACTGTGGGAGGTGGCAATGTGCCATGTCGTCAGACTTACGACTACACACTGCAGGCTCGGCAATGATCATATTAAAGAATCACATCACGTAAATACAATCATGTGCGCTCACTGCGCAAGAGTTGTGAGGCATACAACAAAATAATGCACGGCCATTGCGCAGACAAAGCCTCTCCAGTAGGCCACACGGACATGACCCCAGGTCGTCTCGTCCTCAAAAGAGCCCCAGTTAATACAGGCGTCGAAGGCGTTGTAAACGCAGGCCATTTCATGCTCGACAACTGCAATGTCGATGTCGACATCGTCCGCTGCAGCATCTGCGCTCATCCGTCGAAAGCAGCCGGCGAACTCTTCAAAAGGCTCGACATCGCGAATCGTCACTTCGTACAAAGTCTGCTCGCCGCCGTCGGTGTGCGCCCAACACAGTACTCCTGTTGACTGGTGGTGATCCGACAAGATCAGTCGAATCCGCCGACTTACGGTGCGTTGATACGAGCTTACCTCTGAGACAATGAACGCGGGCGTGTCCCTCGATAGCACCATGCATGGCGGAGTGAAGAGAACCGTGTACGGCGAGACCTGCGAGAATAGCATGGCGTCTGAAGGACCAGACTGTGAATTCACTGACAGCCGTTCGACAGCGAGAGGCTTACACTTTCCGCTGGTCAGCCGCACAATGATTATGTTCATAGGTACTTCTCTGGCAATGATGATCGGGCTATCCGCAAGGGAGACCTTCCTGAGGTCGTCAACCATTCCAGCAAAGCGAATCTTCACCCCACTGCCATGAGTACATACGTCAGTTTTGTGGCTTCAATGAGACGTGAAATACAGAACTCACGCAGGGACCGGAGGGCCCTCTGGAAGATCATTAACGAAGCCCTGAACAAGAACATACAAAAAAATCGTGAACAACAAGGAGGACCCCATCCGGAGGGAAGGATGCGACACAGTCGTGTCCGGGAGCGACCTTCTTATGCTCTCCGCCTCGCGCTCGGGACATCGCACCTGCATTGTGTATTGTGTGCGCCTTCGGCAGTGGCTAGTCCGCGGCTGCGACGCTCGTGCAAACAGAACAAGATACGCATCCTGCCATGCTTGCAATACTCAGGCTGCTGGTCGCTAATATTTGATACAATCTCCTGTCTGTACAAGGAGACAAGGTGCGATGAAGTCAGTGCAACGCGCATTGGACTGAGCATAGGAATGCCGTGAATGGCAGTAGCTCGCGATCAGACAAAGCAGCCTAGATCACCGAGACTGAACGACGATGGTGGTACGACTCCTCCGCTTCGATCCACTGCTCGGATCCTCGCGTGGGCACGCACGAAACGCATGGCACGTGTGAAGCGACACAATCATGCGACCGAATTCAGGTTGAGCCTATTCAGCGGACTTACACATCAGTAACGGTACAGCCGAGATGCATTTCCACCGTCGTTAACGGAAACCCGATGCCGGCCGGAGGAACGTGTTCGGAGGTCACAAATCCACCGGCCGGACATTGGGATGCGCCATGTTTCGCGAACCGGCCGGTAGAGTACTTCACGGACCGGCCGATGATGGGGAACACTCACAAGTGTCATTAACAAGGGGCCGGAGCTTACCTAGTTGGTTGTCAACGGACCGGCCGGGGATACAACACACATTCATAGCACACCGGCCGGAGATCACATACGTACGTTTATAAAACAACCGCCGGAAATGATTTCCAACCCAACACATGGGTGGGCCGGTCATGACAGACACTTTGGCAACCCGCATGCAAGAACACATATATGTTACGTTGATGATTATGTGCCGACCGGCCGGTGATGTGTCCCGACGTTGTCAATGCACCGGCCGATCATAGGAAATTTATATACATACCAGGCAGGCCAGTTGACATATGCCTGTAAGAAGGGCATTGCCCTATGAGTGTTGAAAAGATTTATCACCACCCGGTCGGTGAGGTTACGTTCAATACATAATGTGTCGGCCGCCGAGACAAAGCAAGGTCTGAAACAGTCCGGCCGGCCCCAGCAATGCACATTTAAAACAGGCCGATCACTGATCATCCGATATCGTTGCTGAGGCATCGGCCGGTCCAAAGACCCACGCGTAATCAATGGAATAGCCGATGAGTGAATTGTCATTGCACCCGCACCGGCCGAACGTGCCATGCGCCGTTCAACAAAGGACGGCCGACACGTAACCATCGAAGCGGCCGAGCGGTCTGTAACCATCCGGCCGGGAAAGGTACCCTGCCATCAGGAACCGGTCGGCCGACCATCCGTTACCACATCCTTAGCTTGTTGTCCGGTAGTTTTGCATTGGTCCATTTATACCGTCAAAAGCCAAGCAGCTGGGTGGTCATGCAGACAACGGAACGGGCCGACCTTACTGAAAGAACTGTCATTGACTTTTTATCATTCTATATCTCGGACAATATCAAGCACTAGGAGCCCCAGAAGCCATCACATACCAATTGCTCATTGCAGGAATGATATAAATCTCTCATATAAACATGAATATTCACAGACAGAACTTCATTCAGCTAAAAGGGATGTGAACATTCAATACCTATAGATCATCCAAGCTCACGAAACAGAGTAAATTTAGCATGGCAAGCATTTCAGTAAAGATTCAGCCCATAATAGAGTACGAGATAGGTATGTTGGTTCAATCTGAAAATCATTATGAAGGAATATTGGCAAACACTAGTGCGAGGATATACACAATGAAGATCATCAGAAGAACTGGCACCCAATTGGAACTACTACATTCACATCACTACTGTGGCTGCAACTCAATAAGAATATATATACAACCTATGTGTATACACATAATAGTTCTTTCAATCTGGAGGCCATTAACTGCTCCAAACAATATTCCATTCCTTAGGTGTGTCATATACACATATATTCCATGAAAACAGAGTGATATTGCAGAGAAATGTAAGTTCAGTATTATTGCATGGTGTCCTCATTTCCAGCAAATGATTGCCACAACATGTCATTATGCTCTGCAGGAGTCTCACTTATCCAATTCTCACAAATTTGCCATTACTGCACCTGGACCCTACCTAGCCTCTATGGAATACATCCATATAGAGGGTTCATGGACATACATAGAGCAGATAGTATTATACGTGCATCATACAAATGGAGTATTAAGGACATTGTCACTGCTGAGGTGGCTGAGGCCACTGAGCACAGTTGTAATATGACAGAACCCATCCTACAGTTGCTATATTGAGGGCGTTGGACCGCCTGACCTGCTCCAAGGATTCGATTCGCGATTCCAGTATCGTCCGCTGATGGAGCAGTTCCGACAAGGCCGTGGGAGCTCGGCCGCTGTAAGAAGGGCCGACTACTGCAATGACCATCCAATGTCATGAGGCTGAGAAAGCTAAGACCAATCAAGTTTGCATACCATTACGAGGCCATTGGAGAGGCTGCCCACTGTCCCTGGTCCAGAGATTATGAAAAGGATCAAGAGGAGCGGTGGCCTCAGCCGGGGATGTATACATCCTCCCCATCGGTGCGGACTCCATGGTCGAGACAACCCGGTCCGCAAAATCTGCAGAACGGACCAAATGTCAGCCAACACGGTTGTGCCCACGGCAATGAAACCGAGTCTACACCCCCAGCATTCCAACGAACTCATTCTTCGGCGCCGCACACTGATCTATCCTCGGCGCCGCACACTGGTCAACCCTCGGCGCCGCAGACCCGTCAGCCCTCGGCGCCGCACATTGGTCAACCCTCGGCGCCGCACACTGGTCATTCCTCGGCGCCGCACACTGATCTATCCTCGGCGCCGCACACTGGTCAACCCTCGGCGCCGCAGACCCGTCAGCCCTCGGCGCCGCACATTGGTCAACCCTCGGCGCCGCACACTGGGCATTCCTCGGCGCCGCACATTGGTCATTCCTCGGCGCCGCACACTGATCTATCCTCGGCGCCGCACACTGGTGATTCCTCGGCGCCGCAGACTGATCTATCCTCGGCGCCGCACACTGGTCAACCCTCGGCGCCGCAGACCCGTCAGCCCTCGGCGCCGCACATTGGTCAACCCTCGGCGCCGCACACTGGTGATTCCTCGGCGCCGCAGACCCGTCAACCCTCGGCGCCGCACACTGGTCATTCCTCGGCGCCGGGACCCTGCCAGTGCTCGGCGCCGAATACTGCCCAACCCTCGGCGCCGCACATTGGTCAACCCTCGGCGCCGCACACTGGTGATTCCTCCGCGCCACAGACCCGTCAGCCATCGGCGCCAAGGAATTGTGAATACCTGGCACTGACTACAGTGCGGAACTTGACGGCGAAGCCTTCTGCAGGCCCGTCAACAAGTAAATGTGCAGGCTTACCGTTTTGCAAATACCGGATGCCATTCTCTTCCAAAGTATGTTCAGCAACGTGATTGGAATCATTTCCCGCCAATGTAATGTCCTCGGGCTGTAGAGCATATGAGAATAGGGTTTGTAGAAGGACAAAGGTCACGGACTATAGCAACCAGTCCACCTCCCCTAACCAATGGGTCCCAGTCCTCTGGCCGAGCTGCCAGCGGAGCCCCAGGAGGTATAAGGTCCTCAGGGTGTTCACCTTCCTGAAACAGATACGGCAACCGGGTCCAGTTTTGTTGGCCATCGGAGACTATAACACGCTGAAGGGTAGGCTGCACTCCCTCGGAAAAGTCGGAAATGGGTTGGCCGCTGTCGTCACAGGTGCCACGGGCGGGGTGCAATTCAGGGGATGGGTCAAAGAGCAATCCAGTCTCGCTGGATGCTGTCCTGTCAGGCTCCGAGTCCGATATGATGATCGGCGAGGGGGGCGGGGAGTGGTGCCGTGGCTTGCGATGGATTAGCTTGTCCATTGGGGACTCAATGACTTCGATGTCAGAATCGCTGGATGGATCCGCTTCCGTGTGGAGTATTTCCGAGAAGGATGACTTGTTGTTGTCCACTGGTCCTGAGTTCGGGGAACCCATGGTTACATCCTCTTCGTTTGGCTCGGCTTGTGGCGGACTGGAAGCTGAAGTCCTGGGTTCTACGGGTGTGATAGGGTACCCTGGGACCTCGACACGTTGGGATATCCCGGGGATAATGGATGAGGGAGAAGCAAGGTGGGTAGGATGTTTCGCTTCCGCAGGCATCTTTGCCGAGATATGCCCGGATTCATTGACTGAAATGCGGTGTCTCTATGGGCTGGTGTGTGAGAACCAACCAGCTTACAGGCACACTGCTTACCGATTCCACCCCAGGTGGGTGGACAAGTGGTAGCCTGAAGTTACGGGGATTCCATTTTCGGCCGATTACTTTGGGCTGAGTCGGGGCAACCGAAATCAAGTGATCCTTCAACAATTGGATGGCATTCGATATTTCATCAGTGTTTATGTGCTGCACGGAACGTACCTGAGTAGTCGATGGCTCAGCTTGTTCACGTTCCGTATCCTCCGGAATTCCACAAGCCGCTCCAGCTGTTTCCGGAGGGAAATAAACGTCACTATTTGGGCGGCCCCTTGGCTTGACCGCTTCCCGGGCCTTCTTATTTACCGTGCATGGAAATGAGTTGGTCAAGGGGTTGATCACAGGCAACCGGACTACACGCGCACCATCAAATCTAAGTAAGAAGCTGCGTCCAAATCTCGGTCGGAGCCTGGATGCGCCGGTGACTGCACCCGAATGGTGAGTCTCTGTAGATGGCAGCAGAAGCATGATGATATGCCCTACTTTCGCTGATGCATCGGTTCCGGGCGCGTCGGAGGGTAGACAGAACTTGCGAGAAGTTTTACGTGGCTGTTCGCCGGCAGGAATTGAATTACCGGCATTGTCAGCTACGGGATGTCGACAGGTTAGACCCACAGCCATGCAGCTGCAGTAGATATCGCACTTACGTTGCCACGTCATGACGTTAGACTTTAGAAATTAAGGTTTGAGGAAGAAGCGCGGCGATCGTGCCTTCGCAATGTCAGCAATGATCGTGGCTCGGCTCCCGCGCGCGCTCCGTTGGGTCACATGCTTAGACGCGTCGCGTAACGGGCGGCGCGCACAACACCAACGTCTTCGGTCCCCATCACCAGAGCTCCCCTCGCAAAGCCCTGCTGCTCGACTCACCTCACCGAAAGCCTGCTCGACATGTCCGCCGCCCGTGCCACGTCACCAATCCCGCCCACGCGAAATGCACAGGAGGCCGGCGCCGAAGAGGAAGACGAGCGCGAATTGGTTCCGGTCGAGTGGGACGACATGCCGGCGTACGTGGAGAAGATGGAGAAGGAGATTGTGGAGTTGATGGGTGGTCAATACCTCACTGAGGAGGACGACGAAAAAATTGGCCCTGCCAAGCGGGTGAGTGACCAAGGGCACAAGTATGTACGTCGCTAACAGGCATGGCATCCAGAAACAAATAATGCAGACGGTGGTAAGTACCCATTTATCAACGCCGTATCGTCCCCTGACATCATACAGGCAACGGTGGGGGAAGTCATTGTGTCCCACACCACTCAAAACAGGTACTTTCCGGCGTCCCGGTTCCTTGTGTCAGCCATGCACGAGGTGGCCGTTGCCAACCAATACAACACGCCCATCATCTTGTCGAGGGTTAACCAGGAAGATGAGCGCATTCTACACCACTGGATGCTCTTCCCGCCGAGCCATCCCAGGTACAAATACCATCTCGAGATGCGCGAGAAGCAAGAAGCCGCAGAAAAGGCGGCAATAGAGGCGCACGGAGAGAAGATTCGGGCGGAGAGTACAGCACGGAAGGAGCGGGCTGCGGTGGAAAAGAGGGGAGCTCTCAAGGGCCCAAAAGGTGCGCCGCCCGGAAAGCGGTTCCAGGACCTTAACGGTGACTCGGACGTAGAGGACGGGGGTGAGGTTGACCAGCTCGCGGAAGACCGCGATGAGGAGGTGGTGGCAGACACTCTGCAGCTGACGAAGCGTAAGGGTAAGGGGCGCGAGGTCCCACAGCGGCCGCAAGCGGACGAAGAGGAGGCACCGAGTGCTGAGAACCCTCCGGCAAGTGAGCAAGGTGGCGGGGATGTGGACGCCGAAGAAGAGGAAGACGAAGGTGAGGATCTGAAATTATGGAACTTGCATCTCATATCTGACATTTCTCGCGTAGGAAAATCGAAGGGAATCCTCAAGAACAAGCCGAACCCCGCGCAGCCGAAGAAAAAGGCGAAGCTCACCCGGAATATACGCGACGGCTGGGTTATGCCCACCAACATCAACTCCCGCAGGCCGGAACTCACTAGACCGAGCGTAAGTGTTTGATTGGGATAGGGCTTGGCTCATCTGACTGTGCTTGCAGGAGTGGCCGTGCACAACGTGCAAGGGGAACATCGTCTGCACCATGTCGGTGGCGAAGGGCAGTTCGGCCAAGGGCAAAGGGGGCAAGGTCAAGCGGTCAGCTTGCGACTACTGCTTCTTCAAGAAGCGAAGATGTGTGCCCATCGACCCCGATGCACCGGCTCTCGTGGCAGACGCTGAAGATGGGGACTCCGAACGTGCGGACGAGGAGGAAGAGCGTGGACGGCGCCGGGGCAGGTCGCCGCCCGGAGAACGACGCCAACGCAACGAGGGCGGAGCCGCGGGCCCGTCCGGTACTCGCAAAAGCAGCCGCGCGCGCCGCACCCCAAGCCGAGGCCCGGAGACTATCACGAAGCAGCCGGAACCGTCGCGCGCGCGGTCAAGGTCTCGCGGTCCGGTGCCTCCCCCAAAGCGAGCACGCTCGAAGTCCGTCTCTCGGGCACCATCGCCTCCAACGAAGCGACCCCGCGCAAGGTCCAAAACCCCAGCTGCAGGTCCCAGCGCGGGTGCACAGTCGAAGCAGGACAGCCGCCCCCCGAACGCACAGGCGCAGTCTCCGGCTCCAGAAATCCGTACGTTCATCCATGTTGTGGGTGGGATATTTGCACTGAAACGGTTCCCAGAGAGGTTCTGGGCGGTCGCGCCTGGCACAGGCGAGCTGCAAGATCGCCCGGTGATGCTGACCACTCCTGGGCAGCTTGCAGCTCAGGTGGACGCGCTGGTGACCAGCAACCGTGCGCTGACAAACCAGTTGGCGGCGATGGAGCGGGGCAACCAGCGCCTCCTGGAGCGAATCGAGACGATGGAAAACGTCTGTGACTCCCTCAAGGCCATGATGGTCGTTCACGGTGAGCACACCTTTTAATGCACAGGTCCTGCTTCTGACTTGAACTTAGGTTTGTATGTGGCACCCCCGCACCTTTCCCAATTACGACATGAGCGTGCACCGTCGTCGCAGGTCCCACCTCAAGCTGGCCCTTCGCAGCAACCCGGGCTGCAAAGCCTTGCGGTGCAGCACTCAGAGGTTGGCCCATCGGCGGTGAGTTCCCCTTCACGCAGAAGATAACGGGAGTATCTTACCATCAAGTACATTGCTTCTCACATCCGGGCACAGGCAAGCGTCGTCGGAGAGGAAAGCATAGCTGGCGCGCAGCCCGCGGGTCAGGCGCCAATGGAGCTGCTGCCGGACAGTATCCCTGCTGCAACTGAGCAGGAACAACCCGCCGAGGGAGAGGGTACTGGAGCGGAGCCGACCGCCGCGCCGAGGGGAAGGGAAACCGAACGGGAGGAGTCGACCTCCCAGGGGTTTTGTGAGCCACAGACAGATATCACCATGGGGAATGTACAGCCAGATTGCACCCCCGCAGCAGACCTGTCGACCCCGCGGAATGAAGTGGCCCCGCCGCAGACGGAGTCCGGAGAAGATGTCACCATGGAGGACTCCTCACATTCGGCGATCCAACACGCCCCGGACACCCAGCAAGCCGCCCAAGCTGGTGAGTCCTCCGCGCCGCCCACTGCGTTGAACCCTGCCTCTCCTGCAATTGGAGGCTCCCCTGCCTTGGCTGCGCCACATACCGCAACCCCGGCTGGTCTGGGAGACGGGCCGAGCGATGGGTCAAACACATCGGTGAGTTGTAGACTTCTTAGCAGGCACTTGCCAAATGGACCAAGCTCACAGGCCGTACAGGGAGAGCCCCAAGACCAAGTGGCACCCTCGGTCGACGGTGCTGGTGCGCCCAGCGTCATGAACGGCGAAGATCCAGTGGCCACACCATCAACAGATGGAACCGGAGGGGCCAATCTGTTGATCGAAGAGGGCACGTCGCAACAGGGTGCAGAGACGCAACCCGCATTGCAGGCTGAGAACGGCGCTGGAGCCATGGACACATCGTCGTAATGTAGTTTGTCATATTTCAAATGTCTTAGCACGTACTTCTTGTGTAGCAACAACGCACCAAGCTTTATCCCCGCTGTATTGATGTGCGAGCCATTCTCCTGCCCCTCATACGCGTTGGATTGAGCACCAGGTCCCCAACACTGTGCGGCGCGGAGCATTTGTAGGTGTGCGGCGCCGAGGGTTGAATCTGGTGCGGCGCCGAGCATTTGCAGATGTGCGGCGCCGAGCATTCGCAGGTGTGCGGCGCCGAGGGTTGAATCTGGTGCGGCGCCGAGCATTTGCAGATGTGCGGCGCCGAGCATTCGCAGATGTGCGGCGCCGAGGGTTGAATCTGGTGCGGCGCCGAGCATTTGCAGATGTGCGGCGCCGAGCATTCGCCGATGTGCGGCGCCGAGGGTTGAATCTGGTGCGGCGCCGAGCATTTGCAGATGTGCGGCGCCGAGCATTCGCAGATGTGCGGCGCCGAGGGTTGAATTTGGTGCGGCGCCGAGCATTCGCAGATGTGCGGCGCCGAGCATTCGCAGATGTGCGGCGCCGAGGGTTGAATTTGGTGCGGCGCCCAGGGCTACTAAGCGCTCGGGACAGGTATGGAGAGGCCGGAGCCTCAATGAGGTTCCGAGCGCTTCATTCACCCTGTGCATCATGTGACGTAATCCGATATGCTCGATGAGCCGATATTCGAGCCTGTGAAGCCTGCTCATTTCGCAAAAGTGGGACTGTGAAGAACGTCTCACTTTTCAGAATCTGGTCTTTTGCAACCGACAATGAACGAAGTATCGCCTGCTGTCTTCATTGAAGCATACGAAAGGATCTTCGGGCCACAAATCACAGCTGCTATCCACGAACTCACGGATGAGCAGTCAAAGAATTCTGGAGGGGAGCGGCTGATAATGGCAATGGTCAGACATTCCAAAGCTCTTTCCGGCCACCGTCCAACTGACAGTGCTGAAGTCAATGTATGCAATGATGCTCGGCTTTAGTCAGCTTTGCGATCCGGCAGTGGGCATCGTACACGGCCTGGCGAATGCCCTGCCACAGTTTTGGCGGGTCCTATTGGCTGATACCGATGATCCCCGTAATGCCGTACTACGGCTTTCAATGCGTGTGCAAACACCGCCCGCACATGACTTGTGCAATGTCGACATCAAGGATTTGCTTGCAAGCACGGGTTCCATGGCTCGGACTGGACCACAGGATCCACCCTCCACAGGTAGGAGCATCTACGCCGTCTGTTTCCTATTGATATATCAGACGCCGGAGCAGCAACAATGAAAGCGGAGGTAGAGGTCCCTCATTCGTCCGGCAACATCCAAGATAGGCTTCGGCTCATGGTCATTCAGAATATTGCAACGAAGGAAACAATCACGGAGCAGATCAAGGAAGCCGAGGCACAGCTGCGGCGCGTGAATGAGGAGATTCCCGAAGCCCAGGCCAGGGTGCGTTCACTGGCTACGATCCATGAACTGTCCTGTTTCATATGATATAATTGTTTTAGGTTCACGCTCAGGCAGCCGCCGCAAACATTAATCTCGGACTGCTTCCGCAAATCCCAGAGCCGCGATTCATTCATCCCTCCGTCATGCCACCACATCTCAACCACGCAATGCTCCTCCTTCTCAACCGTTTGTTGCTCTCATTCGAGGCGATGGACAAATATCTCGAAGCGGAGCTCAATTTCTGGAAAGGCGCATTGGACGTAAATGCGACGGAGCTGGATGCATGGTATCGGTCAGCTGCGCAACATCCGGTGGTAACGAACACAAAGAATTTCCGCGACGGGTGGGGCGCCGAGGAGGACAGCCGGCAACACGAGGCAGTATCTTCGTCTAATGCTACACTGAACTACCACAACAGCTGATAACTGTATGTAATATCGGTACACGTTTTTGGCGACCTCTGTAGGACAAGGAACGTCTTCTCCAAATCCAAAATCCTGAGCCGAATAGTGGACGTGCCTGAGAGAGCTCTTGTGCGCTTGCCACCGCGTGTTCGAACCTTCGCAATAGTACGTATATTTTCAAGGTTGATAGAAACAAATGTGCGGGAGCACCTGGCGCATACCCATCCCCCGGAACTGTTGTCCTCCCCAGTCCCAACATAACGCCACAGACCATGTTTTTTGTGAGTCGAATTGGGTCCATAAAATTCTGTTGATTCTGACGTGAGATGGCCGGTGCAGCGTGGAAAACGCGGTACACTTTCAAGACTTCTGGCGTTCATCGGAATCCGGCGACAGGCAATCTCGTGGGTATAATCTGGTTTACACGCTGCACAGGGGCTCACCAATAACTGTCATGCATATAGCTCCATAGAGGTCCTCATTACTCAAGCGGATACGTGCGGCATGGGCTTCGGCGTGGGACGCACAAAGGTGGTGAACATCAAGGAACTAAGACGAGAGGAGTGGGCGCCGTTGTCAATGGCGGAGCGTTTTGCGAACATCATGGCGCTGTTTGACGAAGTCGAAGCGCGTATGGAAGAGCGTTCGGCAAAGACAGGAGACTGGCGTTGCAGACAGTGAACAGTAGTTACGTAGCCGCTGGGCATGTCCAAAATGCTTAATGAACATCATTCAATGCCTCAACATTTTGGTTGCCCAACCGGGAGCATCCCGTCCTGGATATTAGCTCCCGGTGCCGAACACGTTCCAGTACTCCGTGCTGGAGTTCTGGATGGGTGCGCTGACCGCGTGTGAGCTGGTGGCACCTAGACTTCCGGAACAGGTCAACGCTAATATGCGTGGCACTGACAATGCGGCTTAAGGAACACATCCTATGAAATCAGAGACGCCGGCAACACCTTTCACGTACTCCGATTGCCTCATGTCTGTATAAATGGCTCCACAATGGTTAGATGGGCTGCATTGCTTCCACAATGTCTCGGGAGGATTCGGACAGCTGGCCATACAATCTCGAAACGCCCACCGAGCCTTGGCCATGGCACCAAGTGGTACTCAAGTTGGGCCCTCTGTCCGCCCACTTTCCGCTCCTAGAGCTCACACCCGACCCTAACCCCTCCAATACCGCTGACATTGTGGTCGCGGCGCGTCCATGGAAGAGTCTAGGACATGGGCCAATTTGGGTTGCAACTGAACGGCCGGCGGTCCAGATAGGAAGCGGACAGCTTATCACGCTAAACTCCGATGGCAGAAAATCCGGGGTCGGGCGACTCACAGTTGTGACAGACCTTCGGCGACACTGGATCACATGGGCGATAGAAGGCGGACCCACCAGATGCAACCTGCGTCTCCCCATCCCATGGGCCAGACTGTCTGCGGATGAAGCGGAGAGACATACCACCGGATACCACAAACTCAATGCTATCCCCCCGCCTCAATCCTCCTTCATTCTGGACCCGTACATCCTCTACCCCCACACCAGCCCGTACGAATTCGAGATTGCCGAGGCTACGTCATCAACCCCGGCACCCAGAAAGAAGGGTGTACCGGGTAAGCCGGTAGTGACAGGCGCACAAGGAAGTGGCTGAAGGTATGTTCCCCCTCAGTGAATGATCTATTCCGTTTTCATAACCTTGACTCCAGGGTTCTTGTGCTTCCGGCGCCGCACATAAAGAAATGGTCAGCGCCGGAGACAAGGCTGCATGCGACGTTGCATTCGTCCCCGGCATTTGGGGCTGGGCATGCGTCACCGCTGGACGCCCTAGGTATTCCACCCTCCTGATGGTAGTCTCCCCCTGGATGTATATTGTCCCTGTCCCGATATCGCGGTATAACGCTTGTGCTAGTGTAAAATCTCAGTTCAATCAGTGTTGCTCATTCGGATGTGCAGCCGTGGCGACCGAAGCTTGCCCCCATAATATGACTCCATTGCGGGTCCCTGAATATTCGCCGGTGGACGAATACTAAGCTTCGGCGCCGGACAGAGTACATCCCTCAGCGCCGGGAACTGACCAACCCTCGGCGCCGCACACCCTCGGCGCCGCACATCACCAACCCTCGGCGCCGAGCACTGGTCAGCCCTCGGCGCCAGAGAGAAGCGAAGAGCCAGCGTCTCATTCAATGCATTGCATCAGCGCGTAAGGGGGGCCATATATGTATCTCCAAAATCCCTTTACCAAGAAACTGGCAATCTTAGGTTTGCGGAGATCGCATGTCACTGGGATTCCATCGCTGTAGCGTGCCATGAATGTCCAAACTCATAAACCTTATTTTCCTACATTCTCAACAAGCATCCAACAGCCCAGGATGTCCTTCGAGTTCGCCACACGCTTTCGCCATGACGACCTTGAGTGTGTACTGCACCACATTACATATATGGTGCACAAGCTTCAGCCCTGGTTGAAAGGAGTTGTTGATGGCGGTAAATACGTACCCGAAGACCCGAATAATCGGATGTCAGTATTTCGGCTTCCTTATATCCACTAGCTAACATATCACCATAGCCTCAAACACAAAGTCACCATCTTCCATTCGGTGTTAGAGCACGTGCTCACAAAGGAGGTGCACACCGAGGACGGCAAGTCGCAAATCTGGGCCTTCCACGTGCAGACAACACCTGCGCAAGATGACATTGCGGCAGCCTGGCTTGTCAAGCTGGTCAACAAAAACTATTGCAAGTATCATGGGCTGTCCAACAGCGACAGCAGTTCCAGTGGGAGTGAGAGTGACGGCTACGAGGCTGGCAGCACAGACTCAGATGAGGCTGAGACGGGATCAGGTATTGGGGAGGATAATGGCGCAATGGTCGACGCCTGAGAGGTTGCGCATGTATCACAATTGCATCCTAGCTACGTAGACAGAGTAACATCTGGACCGTGCCGTCTGATGTTAAGCATGCAGGAAGCACTCTCAACAAAGCATACCGGTGACGCAGACAAGGGATCTGGGCAGTCCGCATGTACCACAAGAGTTAGTACCATGTTGTCCGATATGTAAACTGGATGCCCAGCCCGATTGAACACTCGGCGCCGAGGGTTGGCGATGTGCGGCGCCGAGGGTTGGCGATGTGCGGCGCCGAGGGTTGGTGATGTGCGGCGCCGAGGGTTGGTGATGTGCGGCGCCGAGGGTTGGTGGTGTGCGGCGCCGAGGGTTGGTGGTGTGCGGCGCCGAGGATTCGAATGAGTGCGGCGCCGAGGGTTGGTGATGTGCGGCGCCGAGCAATGGCAAGTGTGCGGCGCCGAGGGTTGGTGGTGTGCGGCGCCGAGGATTCGAATGAGTGCGGCGCCGAGGGTTGAGTTGGGTGCGGCGCCGCGGATTCGAATGAGTGCGGCGCCGAGGGTTGGGTTGGGTGCGGCGCCGGGGATTCGAATGAGTGCGGCGCCGAGGGTTGGGTTGAGTGCGGCGCCGAGGTGCGAATGTACAGACAGTGTGGGCACTGGCTTGTCTTTGTTGACAATTTATCATGGCTGTCTTCGTATGACGCTCGCAGGGTCATCGCCTCCCTGATGCCCTGATCATGCACTGATGGTAAGCCCTGTGCAGCCGGCCAGCCTCCAAAGTTTAGGCACAAAATGTGTGGAAATCATTAATTGCGCGGGAGGTGCGAACTTCAATTCGTGCGGTGTCAATAGTACATGTATCAACATCTAGCCCCTCTTCTTGCCACGATGAGATCCCTTCGGCACCCTCTTTACCGGCTTCTTAACCTCCCTGGTCTCGGCGCCCGTATTCTCGGTGTTCAATTTCCGGCGCTGCGAGCCGGTCGCTGGTGCATTCTCCATTGCTGTCTCGGTCCGCGTTCGTTTTCCGTTTTCATTCATAGCGGCCACGTCCTGCCACCGCTGGAGTATGTCGGCACACCGTGGGATGAGGTCCGTCTCGACAAAGGTTTCCGGCAGCTTCGTGGTCTTCACGTGGTCTGCTTCGTATCTGAGCTGTACCCTCGCGTCGTAGTGCTCCTCAACATCTCTAGCTAGCATCCCAATCGCCAACGCCATGGCCTGTGCGTCTTCCCGGCCCATGGTGTTGGTATCGAGATTTGTCCGGTGTCTTGTGAGCCACCCCCGAAAGACCTTCAGCAGCACCTTCTCTTGATGAATGGCCCTGTTGCAGTAAGCCTCTGGGTATGACCACGTTGCCCATTCGAACTTCGGCGCCGACTTCCAGGATCCAACTTCCGGCTGGCATTGAAAGCAAATTAGAGTTGAAACGAGAGATGGATCAGGACGTACCAAGTTCGGGATTGCAGCAACCATCTGTTTGAAAGTTGGATGTCTGCTTAGCTCGAGCAGAAACGCCTGTCGCGCCTCGAAAGTCGCTCCCACCTCTGCCGGGCTCCAATTATCCGGTGTTCTGGGCCTGCGTTGATTCGAGCGGTTGGATGTTCCCGCGACAGACCTCTGTTCCTGTCCTGTTTTATGAAGTCAGAACGGCCAGGCAAAGCTACACTGGAGACGAGATACGTACGATTGCTCCGGCCTACAGCCCTAGATTGACCGTCTGAGGTGCCAGTCATCGCGCTACCAGTCTCCTTGCGGCGCACGATACCAGCCGGACCCGGCTTCTCCCTGGTGGCGTAGGTACGAAGAGGAGGTGCGTCGGCGGCCTTCCCTTTTCCGCGCTTCTTCGCCGAAGTTCGACCAGAGGACGACTGGGCATCCTCATCGTCATCTTCCTCTTCCTCAGCCCTGCCCTTCCCCTTCTTCCGCGCGTTGATGCGCCGACTGGAAGCCGGAGGATCCTGCTCCCCATCATCCTCTTCCTCGTCCCTGTGTTTGCTCCTCTTCTTAGCAGGAATCTGACGGCGGGGCGATGAATCGTTCTCCTCCTCCTCATCCTCGTCCTTGGCCTTACCCTTACCCTTTTTTCGGGCAGGAATCAGAGAACGTGACGACAGACGATCCTCATCTTCATCATCCCCGTCCTCAGGCCCGGTCGTGTCTCCATTGTCATCGTCGTCCTCGTCGTCATCATTTGACGTGCTGGTATCACTGCTCGATTCGGATCCATTGCTGGTGCGTGATTCACTGCTACTCGAACTGCTGGACTGGTCCCGTTTTCGGAGTCGAGTCATTTGGACAGCGTGCCGGGGCTCGGAAGATTCACTCCCAGAGGTTGACGATTCCAACCGCTGCCCGGATGGACCCGCTTTGGACTGGCGCTGCTGTCTCGGGAGTCGGGAGGGGCCGGCGACAGGTTGGCTGGACTCTGCTCGTTCCCGGCGCCGCTGAGGCCGTGGCGGACTTGGAGGCGGAGGAGGGAGGATGATGCGCTCCTGAGCGATGCCCTCGCCGTTTCGGTACGCCTTAAAGCGAAGCACCGGTGTTCCCTCCTGCTGCCGCGTGCGCCAATGACGGATGAGGGCCCCAATCTCGTCCTGCCGTAGCTTCTCGGGATCACGAAGGATGATGTCTTCGGGGAGATATACTGGGTCGATGTAGTCGTTGGAGTTGGTAGCGAGCGCAAGCCACGGAACCCTGGCCGAGCGGCCAACGTAACGTTCTGTAAATACTCCGTGGTAAGAGGGTGAAGACTGTTGAGAGACTGGTGACCCTACCGTACGTAACCCGAACAAACTGCTTGATAAACATGCGCCGTTGTTGCAACTTCGCAAAGCACGCGTCGTCAGGCGGCGGGAGCAGTGGGTAATCGTCGTCATCGAAGGTCAGTTCGGGCTCGACTGCAGGTGCTTCTTCTTCTGATTCCTGGTCGTCCGCCTCAATTGGGCTTGTGTCTGTGATAGGAATACAATACGGACATTGGCATCCAGATAGTGGTATTGAAATGAAACACTTACCAAAGGCGTACTCGGCGTACTCCAAAAAGTATTCGTAGGTGTGACCCTCCCTGAACCTCGGATGGCGTTCGACAAAGCGAACGCATGGCTGGCCGGTTCTTCGTCTGGTTCCGATTTTGTCATTGTGATCAAAGCTGAGGCTAGTCAGCAAGTGTCCACAGTAAAGTTGCACAGCAACGCACAACGTGACATTAGGTTTCTCTTTGCCTTGGAAAGCAGCAAGAATGAACAGCCTCGCCCCCGTGAGTTTCCATATTTGTGCCTCAATTTCCTCGATCCAACGGTCGAGTTTGTTTTGAATGTTCTTCAGCTGAACATCCCGGGGACAGCCTTTCATCATCCACTTGTCTGCCGTTGCCTTGTATCGCGCGCGGTCCGCCGCCGATACGTCCCGGGCAAGGGCCGCCAATGCTTTCTGATAGATGGCGGGATACTTCTTACGGTCCTGTTCCTCTCCGTCCCCAATCTCGGCGATGCGCTCATCTAGGCTCTCCTTCTCCTCGCGAGCGAGCACCATCTGCCATGTCACCTTCCTGCCAACCTTGAACATAGGCTTCTTCCGCTTCTCGCCGTCTGGCCGGCGCTCGTGGTACCATTTGTCCACCCGCTGCACAATTGAGGTCAGAAATCAGAGCTCCAAGAAAAATGGTGCACACCTCTTTCCATGACTCATCGAACCTGTATCCCCGCTCCTGCTCGAGCTCCCCTACAGCGGCTGCGATCTCCCGTTCTCTCTTCTCCGGGTCATCCACTGCTGCCTGCCACGCCTCCAGATGTGATTTAAGAATCTTCGTGTCCGCTTTCTTCCAGCGATCCTTCTTGGGTCTTGCCATATTGTCCAGCAGCAGCAAAGCAAATCGTACGGGATACAGAGTGTGTGCAAAGGCAGTCTTTGGTGCGCAGTGCACGACGTGGCAAGTGCCTTCGATGACTTCCGATTTGGAAGCCCCGCCAGAGTTCACAATATCCCGCCGCCCATTGATTCACAACCGCTGATGTTCTTCCACTCGCCAAAATGTGATTAAACGAGCGGATCGACGGGCATTCCAATGAGGAGGCATGATTCTTCGGCGTGATCGACCGGCAATCTCGCCACGAGCTGTTTGAGGCCTCAAAATGATCGGCCGCACTCGCGTGTATGTCCACGAGACATCGAGCCGGAGCTGCGAGCAAAATCTGGAACCGGATCATTTGTCTCCGGGAGATTGTCGAGCGGTGCTATTGTAATTCTTGGCAGTTCGGAAAGGTGGTACCGAAACACCTTCAACGTGGTGTGCTCTGCCTTGCGTGACCGTACACTCGTTCGGGTGGTGAGGTAGCTCCAAACCAAGCTGCTGCCCTGTGTACGGCCCTCAGAAACTTCAATGGCGCGCATCAAACTTCAAGAAAGCTCATCGCGAGTGCAAGAGGTCATCATCAAACGTTCTATTACAGGGAGGGGAATGAGGGGACGCTTGGTATCCGTGAAGCGGGACAGAGTTCATACACCTCCCCGTACTGAAGGGCGCGGATCGACGCAGTCCTCAAGAACGAGCCACGGAACACATATTGCTGAAGATGCCCCACATCCGCTTGAGCGTGCTCCAATTGACATGCTGGCCCCAATGAATATGCCCGCCCCAAAGGTACTGTTGATGCCAACTTTGAACATTGTACGCCACTTACAGTGTGGCAGGCACAAGCGGATATGCTCCGAGAATGGCTCCCATATGAGGCTGAATACCTCAGGGGCATCTATTCCTCCTCGGCGCCGCCGACCCCCATGGCCGATGGCTCATACAAGTGCTTGGATTGCAACAAGGCCGGAGCTCGGTGGAAGTGCGTGAGCTGTGTCGGCGCACCAATTCTCTGCAGTTCTTGCTGCTTGGACGAGCATCGCCGGGACCCGTTTCATCGAATTGAGGTCTGGGACGAGAAGGGCTGCTGGACACCTTCCTGGCTACGCAGCGTTGGCACCTGTATTCAGCTGGGACATCGGGGTGGCGCGTGTCCGGCTTCATCTGCGCGCCCGGGGACAGAAGTCCATGACTGCGAAGATGAAGACAGTGACGCGGAGGACGATGAGGATAGCGCAAACGACGATGAGGGCGAAGGACAGGATGCAGCGGCTGCCGAAGATCCCCTTGCGGCTGCGGACCGTCCGGCTAAGCCTCCGTCTTCTCAAATGACGATTGTCGACACAACGGGTGTGCATTTTCTGCCCATTAAGTGGTGTGGATGCCCGTCCGCGCCGGGCTGGAGATCACAGCTTTTAGCTAGCGGTCTTTTCCCCGCAAGCCAACGGTCTCCACGCTCGTGCTTCACGTTTCGTGTTCTCGACGACTACTTGATCACCAATGTGGAATGCAATACTAGCGCCATGAACTATTATCGGCGGCTCCGGCGAGTGACGAATCCAGCATTTCCTCACGAGGTTCCGGTGGGTTGTCACAGGCAGTGCTGCTCGAGAATACTGGTCTCAATATTGCTTGTGGCAGGATCGGTACCGGGAATTCATGCGCGTGACACGGGAGTGGGCTCTCTTGCAAGCTAAGAAGACGTTCGGGTATGGTCCGGAGTCACGCGGAAAGCCCGCTGACGGCGAGCTGGGGCACTTCTGCGTTGCCTGCCCGCAGCCCGGAGTCAATATTCCCGAGCAATGGCAAGACGAGCCAAAACGGTATGTTCAGTATTTGTAGGCTAGTGATGTTCGTGCTCACGGCGATCAGGTATCTATATGCCCGGAGCTATGTTATGGACGGTAATTTCTCGGCGGAGCAAATGAAGATGCGGCGTCCTGAGAACGATGTGCCCATCATGCCCGGGAAGATGTTTCTTGTCCACGATGGCCCATACCAAGAGCATCTTAAGGTGGCGAAAGACGTCAAAATGGTAAGAACCGATTTGGCTCGCGAGACTATCTTAGCCCACTAGCTGTATCTCATTGCCGGGCCGTGACAGACATCGACATGTAATGACCACAAGGCTGTTTCGCAAGCGAATGCGGATCGCCACAAGCTCGCGGTTACCGGCATTGGCGCAACGGCGTGCTCGCGTCACGGATGCTTTGTGCCTCATTCGGTTGTCAACTTTCAGAAGGGTGAACGTCAAATGAACATGGACTACTCATTGTCCAACGCAATACAGTACCGGGCACACGAGAAGCAGCCGGTCGTCGTGCTATACGACATTATGTGTCAATACGGTGTCCACCTTCGGAAGCGATTTGCCGACAATCCTCATCTGTCTATGCCACAAGACCTGACACTCTGGAAGGGTATAGGTCTGTTCCATGTCCATGGTCACCAGGACAGCTGTGAGGTCCGGTACTCGCCCACGTTCATGGCCGGTGCTGGGAATGTTGACGGCGAGATTTTGGAGACGATGTGGGCATCTCTCAATCGGATTTCAGGGACTACAAGGTCAATGTCCTCATCCCATCGGCAAGAGACGTTAGATCGGCACATGAATGACTGGAACTACAAGAAGATGATAACAATCGGTGCGCTCTCAGTCATCGCGACAAGCTTTGGAGACAGCTAACGATCGGATATAGTTGCTCTGCTACGGAAGCGCATACAGGCGAATCGCCCCCTGTTGTTGAAGATGCGAATGGCTTTGGAAGCCCAGGAATCCGGGGTAAACGCTAATGTCCTCGGGGAATGGCGTCGGACATTAGAAACAGCGCAGCAGAGGAGGTTGAATGATGTTGCCGCCATGGATATCTTTATGCTTCCGGAGCAAAGTGGTTAGTCTGGACAGTAGGATAACGCAGTGTTCTGGCTGATGGTTGTGTAGTGCCATCAAAAGCTAGTCTGCAACTGAGACTGACAACTGAAGAAGGAAACGACGGCATTCCAATTGGCACAGCGGATTGGCTCGCTGACGGCCTCAAGATCGAGGAAGCACAGTACGTACAAATATGTTTCCTACATTGGGGAAGGCGTTCATTGTGCCATTTAGGATAATGCTCCGCCAGGACATCAAGCGATGTGGCACAAATGCGACGAGTGCTGCTAGGATGAAACTGGCGAAGCGTCGCAAGGGGCTTGCAAAAAGTATCAGCCAGTTCCAGAGCCGTGCAAACCGCATTGCTCACGCGCTCAATTGGGATGTTGTCCGCGATGAAACACCGGAAGATGAATGGGAGAATGTGGATGACGATGATGGGTCGTCCCGGGCAACTCCAGTGGGCGAGCGTCATAATCCAATTGCACCGCGGAGACTACGAGGTCCATTGGCGCAGGACACTCCGGAAAATGTCGTTCTAAGCCTTCCGTCAAGAGCGTCACCTGAGATGATGATGAATGACCGGAGCCTACGGCGGTTGGCCCGTCGCGAGCGAACGCTACGCAAAGGGCAAGCCAATGATGCTCTACATCGACTGAGGATTTTGCTCAGCGAGAAGGCCTTCCATTTTCGCCACCGCATCCGTCCTTCCCGTGGATCACAGCAGCGCAAGACAAGGGCCTATGCCGGACTAGAGAAGATTACGAGGGAAATCCAAAGGTGCAGTGCTGTATATCGAGCTGCAAGAGCAGGCCTTGTGCGGCTCAAAATGAACCGGCAAGATCAGAAAGTATACAAACGTCTTAGACCGACGGACCTCAAAGTCAGCACCGCCATTGCCGAGCCAAATGCTCGCGGCCAACGACATGCGACACTGCCCTGGATCTGGACAGTCAACATCCAACAGGATATGGATGATCATCAGCACATGCATTTGGGTGCGTTCCCTGATAATTGGCACGACACTCACTGATCAATGCCATATGGTAGTGCACCGAGTACATTGGTTCCGCGCTCGGTCACAGCTTGACCGGGCTTTGGAGGAGTCAGCAATTCTCAAACGGGAGTTACAATCGACGACAATGTACTTTCAGCACGAGCGAAGGCGGTGGCTGCGCATGGCTAGCGACATCGTTGACGAAGGGTGGCCCGGATATGCCGAACACTGTCGGCAAACCGCTGGCATTTACCAATTGCTTGCCGGAGATGCAGAATTAGCATATACGCAGCTGTATGTTGAGCAGAACCCCCTGGGGTAATTTATTGTGTCCAAGGTTTGGGATGCCAATTTGTATCGCCCTAGGCCTCTTGTTTTCGATGTAATCCAGCTTGCAACATTTCAATGTTGGCCCATGGGGCAGTTAGTGGCCGCCTTTTCTGCGAGGGCATTGCCATGAAAAACAGACGTGCAAAAGGTGTAATCTGAGCACCGACCATAGGTCCCCACTCCGTGTGCAGCACAGATGGATCATCAGCGCCGCACACCACCAACCCTCGGCGCCGCACACCCTCGGCGCCGCACATCACCAACCCTCGGCGCCGCACACCCTCGGCGCCGCACATCGCCAACCCTCGGCGCCGCACATCGCCAACCCTCGGCGCCGCACATCGCCAACCCTCGGCGCCGCACATCGCCAACCCTCGGCGCCGCACACCCTCGGCGCCGCACATCACCAACCCTCGGCGCCGCACACCCTCGGCGCCGCACATCGCCAACCCTCGGCGCCGCACACCCTCGGCGCCGCACATCACCAACCCTCGGCGCCGCACACCCTCGGCGCCGCACACCACCAACCCTCGGCGCCGCACATCACCAAACCTCGGCGCCGCACATCACCAGCCCTCGGCGCCGCACACTTGCCATTGCTCGGCGCCGCACATCGCCAACCCTCGGCGCCGCACATCACCAACCCTCGGCGCCGCAGACTCACCTATGCGCGGCCCCGAGGATTGGGCTACCCTCGGCACCCGAGCACTGGGTAATCCTCGGCGGTGACCACCTCTTGACACCGGGCGCCCAGTATGAATGTGTACTCAGTGTTCAGTCAACCTTTCTATTTCAGTGCTAAAAGGCATGGAAATTGCTACATACACGGATTATAGTATACGCCAGGTAAACGGCGGAGCATCTGCCCACTTCTGGACGTCCCGGCGAACATAGTACACCACGCACACACGCTCGCTAGTACTAAGTGGAACCTCGTGATGAAGTACCGCCCCGGAAAACGCAAGCATCGTCCCACTCGTGTACTGGAATGACATGCCCAGCGTTGGAATGTTCAGCAATTGGTTCGCGTCACCGTGGAGGGTAAGAAGCACATCGTATGCATCCTTCGGGGACCGCGAGTCGCGATGGAAGGGGGTTTCCCGGTTCGCGATTACTGAGAGCGCATTGAACGGGTTATTCCAGTTTCTGACCACCCTGGAGCACTCGTCGATAGTATTAAGTTTCTGCAACGTGATGCGGCCACTTTCGCATTGTGACGGATTCATGATGCGTGTCATGGCGCCGATAACCAGGTGGGGCTCACGCAGCGAGCGGAGCCACCGGTGCCCGGTCGAGGACATCGGCTTCAGCGTGGCCGACACCTCGGGTGTCTTTCCCGGACCCTGCAGAGGCTTAGGACACATCGCTCACTGCATAAAATGCAGCATACATACCGTCTGACCACGTTGAAACCACCCCGGTGACATTGAGATACATCCCGGAGAGAGAGCATGGTGAGGCTCAGGCGGCAGGAAGCAGCTGGTATGGTTTCTCCAGGGTGTTCCGAGGGTGCTTTTGGGTGGCATGGCCCTGAATAGCTCATTGATACCTATCGTCTCGTTCCACATAAGGTCCTAGCAAGACATGAGTATGAACGGCGGAGGTAAACACAAAAGCGTACCTCGTACTCGGTAACGAGGACGTTCGGCAGGTACCACAAAACTATTTTGCCCGCTCCATCTACTACAATCGCCGGCTTGGTTTGCAATCTTTTGGGAGCGCTCAGGTCGACGTTATAACCAGACGGCGGCTGCGTGGCATCCCAGGAGACCGTAACTTGTGCATAGTCAGTGGGCAAGATTTATTGCAATTCTTAGTCTTTCAACTCACTCTGGTTGGATTGGGCCTCGGCCAATCGCTTCCCCGCAACTCTGGCTTGATGTAACGTCACCCGGGGCATGTGGACATTGATAAGCGGCATTCCGAGCTCGCCTTGGAATCCAGTAGGGTCCTCGAGCATGGCTAGGTTGTGACGATACGATTTATAGACGAAGTCATCAACATCATCTTGATGGGACATGATTGCGGCTGCGAGGCGTTTCGGCATGTACAGTGTTTTAAAGGTTTGGAAGCCTCATGTAGGACTGTACAGTTCCACAAACATTATCAAATATGACCATGAGGATACCTGCAGGAACCCATGTGGTCTCTTGGCGATGGGTTATGGTCAGACTCTATGGTTATGGTTTGACTGCTGGCTAGGTGCCGGCCGTCCCATTGCACACCTATGGCTATCAGCGCCGGCCCCCTGTATCCTCATGGGATGGCACGGTTCCGGCCAATGGCATTTCATTAGCATGTAGGGAGACCGGCCGCTTCATTGCTGGTGACGTTTCCGCAGCTCGGCCGATGGGTATGCAGTGTCGGACATGGCATGTTGCTGCAGGACTTTCAAAGTGGGGTTTCATGCTCAGTCGGATCATTTGTGTACGGTACATTGACCACCGGCCGACATGTAGGAAGAGTGATGTTCCCTGGCGGCCAATGGCTATGCAATGGGGTGAGTGCACATCAGCCGGTACTATGCTGTAGAACACAGAGATCACCGGCCACCTGGAATCAAGTGCCTGTGATAGCATGATATTTCTCGCTATCAAAGCCGTGTCAAGGATCGCCCGGCTGATCCTTGACGACTCAGTCACGCACCGGCCGATGCATTTTTAACGGCTAATGTCATTACCGGCCGCAGTGCGTATTATGAGTACCATTAATGGCGTCCGACAGGTGGATAAGAATGAATTAACCTGAGGTTGCTGCTTCCTGAGGGTCCACTTGTATCACCGACCGAAGGGCTCACAATTGGTCGGGCTTGCGCCGGCCGCCGGGGCAACAATATGCGTGAGCACGGCCGGATGCTCTGTGAATAGCGAGGGGTTTGCAAATCGGCCGGTGAGTGGTGTTGACTAAGCTTTAACAACCCTCGTCGGCTGTAGCACTGTACGCCAGCCCCCTGTACCCGGCCGTTTGGCTGGCAATGTATTGACTGCCCAGCGGCCGCTGGGTTGAACCTGACAGGATTTGATATCTAGAGCTGCATCGCCGTGGTTGCTTTGCACGGGTTGTTGCCGGGCGACACGCTTCAGAAGACGTACAAGCACCATCGGCCATTAGGGTAGGAATGGATTCCCTGGGGCCCGGCTGCCACGCCTGTGACGGCAAAACACCTTCCGCCGGCCGACGTCGGGTTTCCGTTAACGACGGCGGAAATGCATCTCGGCTGTACCGTTACTGACGTGTGAGTCCTCTGATTTATGTGTCAGGTTGACCATCGCGTGCCGATCGCGAGAGGCACGAGTGCCACCGAGACGTGAGGGAACAATGTGCTCGGGTGGCACTGTCTGCGATGGCTCGCAGCCGCAACACAAAGAAAGGGACGGCGTACCGTTTGACGCGCCCGCGTCCTATATAGTTCTTTCTACTTCTCCCTCGACGATATCCCGTCCTCTCCGCTTCTTCTCCCCTGCAAACATGCCGCGCGCCGGCCTGTTGAGGCGCATCTCCCCCCTCCTCGTCACTGCTTACCTTTTATTCCATGGGTTGACCTGGATGTGGGTGGGCATGCAATTTCTTTGTGGATCTTCTTTGGTCTCGTCCTTCATTCCATTTTGCGGCGTCGTCAAGCCCAACCTGACCGTCTGGGCTGCTCTACCACTTCTGCTTGGGTCCCAGTCAAACGGCATGGAGCAGGTGCTCAACCAAACCAACGCCCACTCCGACATCGTCGTCGACCTTCTCGACGCGCGCGTAGCATCCGTCGATTTGTCCATCCTCGTACACTCGAGCAGTCTGGAGTACCGCATCGAAATCTCCAGCCTCATTGAGCAACTCGCGCACGATGCTCTCGATCTCAATCGGGGCCTACAGCATCTCTCGGCGAAGATCGCAGCTGGTTTCGACAGGTATGTGTCGAATCTGCAGATGGAAGATGCGTACTCACGCGTCAGCACGCCTTAGAATCACTTTGACAAACGAGCACCTATATCGTTTGCTACGCAGCTCTTCTGGCCACGACTCCAGTGTTCGTCCTTGCGACCCTCCTCCCCTCTCCGGCGGAACACAGGCCTGCCTCCTCCAACGCTCCTACCCTGACGTCACGCGTGCATACGAACGGGCCCTACAGACCTACGAGTTCGTGCTGCGGGAGCTCATGCAAACGAGCGCGGTCGCTTTGTCGAAAGCTGCCATCTTTGACGCGGACCTCGTTGCAACCATGAATGTCATAGCGCTGGAGAAGTTTAGCGTCGAGGGAGCACGCAAGGACCTGGGGCTAGGCTGGCTGTGGAGCCTCCTTGGCGGTAGTAGGCACGAATTTGTGAATTTGGCTCGGAACGAACACGTTCTGCAGCGCGTTGGAGACTACAGCGCCAGGTCTCTGCGTTACGTCAGGACGATCCAAGATATCCTCGAGGGTATGGAACGTCACCTAGAGGAACTACGCCTTGTCGCAGCCGGTGCTTTGGTCGCCGAGCCCGCTTCCCCGGAGGTCGTCCTGCAGATGCTCGCCAGAGGCTTCGAGCGTTTGGGTAGTGCTCGCGCTGGCGTTACGGAGCGTCGTATTCCAACGCCTATGGTCGAAGGGTCCTGAAGTGGTAGTCAGCCTGGTGGGTGGTCAGCCCAACAGTTCCCTTTCTTCGCTCACATCGATGATCATCAGAGAGTCGTTGATTCAAACCCCACGAGTCGGGAACTCGAGCTCGTACCGCCTATGCGCTGGCTCGCATGAATTGTTCCTTCTTTCCTGTTCTCTTGTCGCATCCCCAAAGCTGCATAAACGCGCCTCAGCCGTAGTCAGCGATGTTTCATGGACTTTTCACGATAGGCTTGTTCTTACCTTGACCAATGTCAGTTGTGACGTATGATGTTCAGGCTTTCGGGCGGAACGACCAGCACAGTCCGTGACGGATGATGATAAGGTGTTCGCCTCAGCTCATTGTTGGCGACTCTGGGCGCCGATCAGGAAATGGTGTTGCGATTAGCTGGACTATCGCCGGGTTAGGGGACGTACACGGCACCGCGCAGAGCACAAGTCCACGCAAGACGCGTCGCGTTCGGTGCGCGAAGGGTGGGCGGGACGGGATCTGGGATCGCTGACTCAGCGTCGGGCTGCCGAGATCGCACGATCGTGGCATCCCGGCGATTTACTGGATTTACCGGCACATGTAAAGTTCCTGGATAAAAAGAACTTAAATATAGCCGGTAGTACGTGGCCCATCAGCAATAGATCACCTAAGCCTTGATCGAAACAGCCCTGACGACACTGACGTCAGACGATTCAGGTCGCCAGACGTCTGAGAGCAGTAGATTCGTTTTCGACATCAGTACAAATCACTGACCTCAGACTAGACTCAGACTACATTCAGCAAAACACAGGCTTTTGTCAGACGAGCTCCGGCCGTTGTCAGACCACTACAGGGTGACCCGCAGACGCTAGAAATCTGCGACTACTAATGTACTATACATGACTAGAAGGCGCACGAGTCAGCGTGGCTCTAGCGAGGTGGGAGGCGGAGACGCGTATGAACGGTCTGTACGAGTGAGAAATGGTGCCACGGGTAACATGTTGGGCACGGCGGGCTCTGTCAGGGTGAGTGGACTGACGGTGGATTCTTCGGGCACGGGTAGCTGCAATGCAGTGGTACTGGAAATGGGATTCGTGTCCATCGGCGAGCCCGACATCTGCCAATTCCGCACTTACCTATTGTATGTGTGACATGCTGCCAATCGAAAACTGGCTGGCGGTGGTCAATGCGGTGCATGGGAAGCTGCTGGTGTCCTTTCTGCGCAATGCCCGATTACCACTGCTGGACGCGTCATCTCCACCACCTCCGGTGGATCGATACCGCCTCCATGCATAAGAGTAAGACTTGAGGTTCGAGCCGGTGCGGAAGCCCGCCGCGTCACTATCACGAGCTGCGGAAGCGTGCACGAGCGACGGCGAATCGTGCAGTTCTGGTGGACGTGTCAGCTCTATACCAGGCCTGGTGCTCCGTGACAACGCAACTCACATTTTGAGCGAACTCACACTCGCCTACCGCGCCGCGTAAGGGCGCGCGAATCTAGCGTGTAGGGGCGGTGCGGGTCGGCAAGGCATGGCGAGGTTTGCTGGATAGTGAGTTAAGCAGACTAATTGCGAGGATGACTCACCTATTCTGTCTCATTTCTGCCTCCTCCGCTCGCTGTCCACCTCTAGATCGCAGGCGGCACTGGCTGGCCGGGCCATGTCACTATGACGCGGTCTCTCCCCGCGATATTCTGCTCGTCCATATGCATTTTATTACAGTGGTGCGCTGCGAGGTTGTGGGCTTTCCGAGGGTCCGGACATGCAGCCAAGCTCAGAGGGAGGAAGAAGGGAGGCGAGGGGGCATGGCAGTGACGAGAGTTGAGGTGGGAGGCGTGGCGCGCACGTCCATCGCGACGGTGCCCACTCGCTGTGCATCGTAGCCGCACATCGCAGCCGTGGGCAAGCCGGTGCTTGTGCGCTCTTCTATACGCCTCGCGTCGCGACGGGCTTCTGCAGTCGCTGTGTGCGGCAAGTGAAACGTGGGGAAGGTGAGTAACACGACAGAGAGCTTGTTGAACTGGGGGCTACGGTATGGGTTGCTGGAGAGCGAAGCGCCGTGTCTGACGGGTCCGATAGGTCTGCAGGACGGGTCTGGCTGCACTGAGTTCGCTCTGAGTGAGCGGACGGAGAGGGACTCTGAGGGAGGAACGGCTGAACGGTGCGTGCGCCCATATATGGCGCCCGATTGGAGGAGGAGGAGGAGGAGCAGGGCTCGAGCTCAAGCGCTCAAGTCTCAGATGCGGCAGAGCTCTTCGCCGTCAAGAAGTCGAGACGCACGTGCGTTATCGGCCGGTGGCTAAATGGATTCCTCCTCCTCCTCCTCCTCCTCCTCCTCTACCATAGACTACAAACCGACAACGACCCATTACTATATAGCCCTCCAGACGTTACTCTTACCAGTACAGCCCCGAACTGGACGTCGACCTGGGTGGCGCGTTTTAACGCCCACTACTGTACAGGCCGGCGTCCGCCGCGTCTTAGCACATGTTTGCTTGTAGCGGTTAATAAATGCAGAGGTCATCATCATCACCTCCTCCTCCTCCTCCTCCGCATCCTCCTGCGCCCCGTTTTGCTGATGGAAAAATCACGAAGCGATTTTTCTCGTCCTCGGGGCGGGGCAGGGGCGGGGATGTAAACGCGCGAAGAGTGAATATAGGCAAATGTGAGTGAATGACAGCTGTATACTACCTAAAGGTTACGTTGGACGCGGGTATCTACAGGATTATCGCGCAGTGTTCGAACAATCGGGCGAGTATTACGTGCCGAATCACCGACCCGCCGCGCTGCGGCGTTCATCGTCAGTCCCAGGTCAGTCCCACCGCGAATTATTACGAGCTCCTGATTCGTACTCTCGAAGACATGGTACGCATCATATCATTTTCGCTATTCACGAGTCTCCGAGCTAAGGGACAGGGCGGAAACAGCCTACTCATGTTTTCGAGAATGATCCAGTAACAATTGTCGCTCACAGCGGCCCACCATCGCAACGACAGGCTAACATGCGACATATGCGACCGGAAAGGCTAAGCACATAGGCCCACAGCTCCGCGTGCCACCCGTTCGGCTCCGACCTGATTAGAGGAAACTATGTACCCATCCTCTGTCTTTCACTGTGGACTGCAGGCCACATCATCGTCTCCCGCATGGCAAACACCGTGCACTTATACCGCTGATGCGCTCCTTGTCTCGATTAAGTTGCTGCACTCTGAGATACGGCGGGCATGTTCTTCTACTTAGAGAGGTTTCGGTGCGTTCCTCGCGTAATTCACCGCGTTAGTCATCGCAAAGTCAATGGCCAGTCGCTCATTTATGGTTTACAGCCACGCTGTCTATGATGTTCTCCGGCCAATTGGATTCCACACGGCATACATTTGACATGGGATCGGTACAGAGATATGTCATAACTGCAGTACAATCAATGTATGCGGAGCCAACAACGCGACTTACACAGACACCAAAACACAAATCATGCAGACCAGGAAGAGTACAAAGAGAGCAACCCAAGAGAGCTTCATTCTCTGTGGCTTCGGGTGAACGACGTTGTCCTGATGTTCAAAGCAGGTGCGCACGATAGACCGGAAAGTCGTGACTGTATAAAACTTGACCTGGAACACCTTGTTCGAAGTTTCGTCGATCCAGACAACCGTGGTTTCCGGCTGGATCATGACATCTCAGTAGTTGATCTATGAAGACTGTTGCGCACGCACCTCATAAGCCACTAGTCTGACGGCCCATGACCTCACAACCTGCATGGCATGAACAGGCTGCATAACATGAACAGGGTCATTCGTTGCGGTAAGGTAGAGGCAATCTAACGAGGGGGTGGCATCAGGTTCTGAGGGACGCAGGACGTCAGAGGATCATACTCACATTTCCCGTCAGGCAAAGGAATGAATATGAGGAGTCCGGAGGCCGTGCGCGACGCGTTGAGCGGGTGAGGGCCGCCGGCAGGAGTGCGACCCAGATGGACCGTACGGTAACACTCTACAGCGAAGATCTGAGTCCCCCGTCTGTCCAGTTACTTTCAGTACTCGGTTGCGAAGCGACCGTTGACGAAAGAAAACATACTCCACTTCAGGCGCTCCCCTAAGGGCCCCAAGGACGTGCCGGATCGCATCGGTGAGGAAAGCAGGGATGGGCATGACGTTGGCTTTCCTGCAGGTCAGCCTGTTCTGCTGTCCTTTTATATATGCATGTGGTCCGGATTGCATTGTCCACCAGCAGTGGCGCGTGGGCCCGACGGAGACTCGATGTCGATCTGAGAGAGTTTGCTGTTTGATTACCGTGACGCCGACTCGGAGGGAGAGGGTATTGTCAAGTTCAATCGCTTTCACAATGAAAACACGAACGTGGCAAGGCATGCATTTACCCCCGATGTATAGGACGCTTACTTCAGTCTTCTCCGGGTCTATGCAGGCTTCTGCTATACGGCGTAAAGCAGCTACACAAGGACGGGTAGGTGAAGGTTCATTTAGCCCTACGGATTCCATGGTTCAGAGCGCCCCGCGTCGACTGAATACCTCGAGAGTTAGTACTTACGGCCCCAAGCACTTGTCGTAATGCGCCTCAGGCCTCATAAATAATCTGACCAGCTCCACTTATCGCTCCTCCGAGTCAGATATAGACGTGACGCGTGACGCGTGACGGCTGGAGGACAGGACCGACGACCGACTCGAGACGGCACAAGCAGCGTTATAAGAATCATGATATATATACTCAGCGCCCGCGGGCGACACGATCATCGCAAGTAGGTGAGGCATTCAGTGCCTGATTCCATGCATCCGGCAGTGCCCAAATGACAGAATCAAGCAGAAAGCGAAGGAGGATTGGAGAAACTCACCACGCGCAACAAAGATGGACGGAACCGAGTCACGGACGAGGACATGCTCTCGAACGCATACCGCAGACTCGCCGAGCGATCCCGCGACGACATGCGAATATCCTGATCCAACTGCGAACAGAGCACGTCCCATTCACTGGCAGGTGCCACCTCCAGCAGCCCGCCGCTATGGTCGTGTCAAGATCTGTAAAAACGATAGTGTCTGGTGTAGCCGGGACAACCGTTGCTTCGAAGGTAAAAGATACACGGCATAGATAAACGAGACATAATCTATCAACGGGTCGTTCGTATGTATCACAGACGCATACAGACGCATACAGAAGGATATATAATACAGGCATGACATGAACAGCCTGAGGTGAATCGAACATACTGGAACGCATGGATCGTGACAGCAAACAGAGAGAAACACGGTGAGCTACTAACCAGAGACGAGGGCTCGGAGTAGCTGCATAACCTTCGGGTCCGTCTTCGCTGAGCCCACACGTCGCATGTGCCATGGGATCCCAGCGACGATCCAACCCGTTTCTTGTGTATCAGGAGCGGCAGGTTCCTGTGTCGCAATCCTTTCCTCCAAGGCGGATAGTTGGCGGGAGCTTTCAATCGTCGCCGTGTATATCTTGCGCGCCGAGGTCAACAACCCTTCGACGTCGAAGCGCGCCAGTTCGAGGCCAAGCGTTAGATCGCGGCACCGGATGTCGTCGAGACCCTGAGGTTGCAGGATCTTGCGAAAAGATCCTGCTCTGCCCAAAGGCCTGGGCCAACAGAGCCTCGACGCATGCTCTTCGAGGGGCGGAAGGTGGTCGAGATGGAGAAGGAGCGCGTCTGTCGTTCCCATCGAGGCTATCGCAACATGAAAAAGGGATCCCCGTAGTTCAGCCATAACGGATTGGAACAGTCGCGCGGCAAGCCAGCGTTCAGACGGGTACAACACGCCGCCTACGGAGGAGCTCGCGAGCGTACGCAAACCATGCATCAACTTCAACGAAACATGATGCGTATATTCGACACTGCACAAACGATGTAATGAGGTCCTAATCCAGTGTAGATGTGCGTGTACTTACGTGCTTGCCACTGTCGACATCTCTTGGACGAGGTCCAGGACGTGCAACGTAGCGTTGCCATTGACATCGAGTAGACCCATCGAGTCGTTCGTCGGATAGAAGTGTGTCGTACTAGAGTTGAGGTACTGAGATGCGGTATGAATTTTCCGCATGACGGAATGGAGGCGCAAGACGGTTTCCGTGTCCTCTGACGTCTGGTCCAACGCTCCGGTGGCCCATGAGCACTGTATATCGACAAGCTCGGCGAACTCCTCCCAGCCGACTTTACGCAGCGGTTCCGGAACCGCTCTGCAGGTAGCAAACGCCAAATTCGCGCCAGGGAGGATACAGAGCGTTGTTTGTATCATCGATCGGGCGAGGGGGTCTTCGTCGGAAAATAGGACAAAGAATGGACGGAGGAGCCGGAACACAAGACATCCTACATGGCTACGAGCGGCAGGCACACAAGCCAAGAGTAAGATGATCAACGAGGCGAAACAAAGAGCGATCTAAGCACTCCGGTAAGCATCGTTGTGGGGAGTAGCACGCTTAAAACTACTCACGAAACGTTTTGAGGTGGATGGAGTGGACCCCGTAGCAAGTTTCCGTGCCATGACAGTATTCAACGCCATGATGCGCATTCTGGACAGAAAGCCTAGGGAATAACGTGCAGTCATGAATCAGTCTCGGCATTGCGCCATACGCTCATCGACATTACCAGCATCCCTGGCATTTCCACGTCTAGAACGAAACCTTGGTGCTTCATTGTGAGGTTGGTCGACTCGGTACTCGTTGTGAGGACGCGCAGACCGCCTACGGAGCCCAGAGGGAGATGCTTGACTGCTGTCCGACATGGAGGAGAGCGACACTAGAGATGGAACGAGTGATTGGCGGTGCGGTCTGTCCAGTATGTCGCTCTCCTTGTATCAGCGACGCCGCTAGTCTGTGAAGCGACAAACTAACGTGTCGCACACGCTCGACTTCATAATGGGAGGCGCATGGAGAATGGATCATACGGTCTCATGGTAGGCGTGAGAGCTCGAAGCACTCCAGATGGCACTAGACTCCAGTCGGATGAACGAAAACAAAAGAAAAACGCATTCCATTCACCCAAGAGAGAAAGAACGAACCTTCGATTCCTAAGATGCCAGGACCACGAGGCGCTCTCAATGAAAGCCGCGAGGCGTGATGAACCGTACTCCCCTCGCGCAGTACGTGAGATTCGGTGTCGGCGGGGGTAACCTTGTGACGCATAGGCTGGCCATGAGCAAAGATCTGCCGCACTGCAAGAACACGATATGCCCGCTGGACGGCTGGACGGTGTATCAAAGTCACTTCAACAGCGCACGATGGGTTCCGCCAATGAAAGAGCCCTTGCACTCTAAATCTGGGCCGGTGGCAGAGTGGCAGAACAGAGCTAGAACAGAGCGCTCCGAACCGTGAGGAACAGAAGGCAGACAGAAGGTTCGACGGTTGAGCGCTGAGCCTTGAGGCAAATCTCAGATACAGTGTTGGCGGTGAGTCCACGCTTAGCATTTCCGCTTATGGAAGAGGATGCCTCATTTAGCATGTAGGGAGGAGGGAACCGGACCGCTGCCAGACCGTTTACCCTCGTCGTCCTCATGATCAGTCCTCGCTGCTTCCGCATTTCTGATTGTGTCAGGCAACCCATCAATATTAATGAGTGCGCGAACGTCTCCTTGAATGAATCCCCTCTTCTGGTGAGCCAACCGAGCGTTTGCAACTTGAATATTGTCTCCGGTGGAGAACGCTCTCCGAGTCCGACTTTTCACACTCCGGTTCTTTTCGCTGTACGGCCTGAGCGGCCTCAACCATCTTAAATCCATCCGCCAACAGTCACTCGATAAGGTGATCGTCTCGGCCATTCAGTAACTTAGAAACTGTCCTTGAGCCGCCGGACCGCCGCTGTCGTTGGCCCCCGCGCTTGCAAACTCACCATCAGCTTGCCGCACCATTTTTGGATGCGCGCCATCAACAGATTGATTGCCGTGCAGTAAAAACAAACGCCCTACAGAACGACGGGAGATAGCTAAGTATAATAGTGATGCTCTCGCGGACCTGCGGCACTATTTGAATGCAAGGCTGTACGATATCGTATAACGCTGGTGCACGACACTCCGAGTCTTGAGCAATCTGTACACTGCCAATATTCATCGTCTGCGCGACTGTAGAGTTCACCGCCCGCGACGACGCTAGCAGTGACAAATGTCCATTGACGGTGTATCAGGCTCGTGATTTGAACAGTGCACTGGGTATCTAGTAAAGGAGACGGAGAGCAAGATGGCGTCGGCAAAACGAACGCAAGCTGCGTCCCGGCGCGATCATGATGTGGCCAACAAGTAGTATCATACATACTGCAACGTTACGCGATACGATGGAAAGCCGAGTGTCTACTGGACGGGGGGGAGTAGCCTATTCGCAATGTCCACCGGCAACCCGAGAGCGTGGAAAATCAAGCGTCTCATGTACTCGGTCGCATGGGCGACCGCATAAGCTACTGACTGTCTGCTTGCGGTGTAAAGGCGAGCAGCAGTTTGATAGCTCCAACCGATCGCTTGGAGCGCTAGCTGCGATAGAAACAGACCCTGAGTACGTATTAGCAGACTGAGACTGTGTTTAACATCGCTGTTCAGAGCACTCACAGCGAGCTTGATGAAGTGGCCGATGTATCGCCATGGAGTAGCACGCATCACTTCGCTTGCTCCCAACATAATCACGATGATCACCGCGCCCCGAAGTGGGCTCCGAACAAATTGCTGAATGTCTCCTGCATTCGCTGAATGCCATCCCGACTTGGGCAGTATCGGCAACTGTCACCGCATCTGGGAATATGCTCACATACCTTGAAGCCTTCTACGAAAGACGACAGGGGCGACTTTGGCCCTGAAGCTTGCTCATGGCTCGACCCGCCTATGTCAGTAAGGTCAGCGCTGCGCTGCAGTTGAGATCAATATGACGCACTGATCCTTGCCCTCCAGAGTCTTATACAGCCCGTATTCGAGCTCCTTGATGCTGATCCTGTTGCAATGTAATGCATGTCCCCTCGTTGACAACCCTTCATGATCGAGTGAATTGCCGTCAACTCTAACTTGTAGGGTGACTTACCGCAACGGAAGTGATGACATCGCCTACTGCAGGCGTTATTAAGGGCGATCATTATCATGCAGCGATGTGGACTGACCGGGATGCGTCAACGTCTGGTAAAGTTCCCCAGTGCTGGTTTGCCATATACAAACGTTGCCAGTAGATGACCCGCATACCACCGCATCCCCGTTATGAATAAATGCAACTTGAAGTGCAAGCAGATATCGCGGCTCGGCTTCAAATTTGCAGAGGCGTGGGCGTGGCGATCCGTTGGCACCCATCGCATACAAGTGCACACCGTCCTTGAAGTTATGGACCGCGATGCGTCGGAAGTTCTGAGAGATAGCAGAATAGGCCCTGCTGATGGGTCAGTGGGCGTCGAAATATACGCAGTAAGATGTCTTCTCACATGGTAGGATACGTTCCGGGTGGTTTGATGTGCCAGAGTATATTTTGCGTTTCTACGTCGCAACAGCTAGAGCTACGTGTCAGGTTCTTTACATTGCGCAAAGGAACGGCTCTCACAACACTCCACGAGTCATATGAGTCACAACCAGATTCGTTCCAGTCGAGTCAAACTTTAGAGCGACAGGACGTTCTCGGGACTCTTCTGTAGCGACCGCATCTACAGGCGGATTGGGAAGCATAACGATACCAGCATATGTATCTATGGCACAGTCAGCAGAGCTCCGAAACAGAGATCAATTGAGAGCCAACTCGGTGTGGTTTCCCGAGTCAGGTAAACGTGCGGACCAACGGCAGCTGCGAGAAGCTGTGTGGTGGGGGCGTAATCCATGCAATAGATATGCGATTTGACTCCGAGGTTGATAGGATGTGTTTCACTGGACATCTATTGAACGTACTGTTATTGGAAACGATTGTTACACTGCAAACAAGACGGCGTGCATACCACAGAAAGATTGTGGACTTGTGAAACTGTTCCGTTCTCGCAACCGACGATGACAGTGCCTTCACGGAGCGGGTGCCATATTAGACTGTCAACCTTGCTCCTCATCGTGATCCTATACAAGAAAGTCCCCTTGAGCGTCTTCCAAATGATCACGGTTTCGTCGTCGCTGCCGCTGGCTAGATAAGAGCCATCCGAAGAAAACGCGAGGACATTGATGGCATCTGAATGGCCCTCAGCAAAAGTCAATTCAGGAACGTATGCAGTAGAGGCCATGTCGCAACAGGTAGGTGAATGAAGCAGTATATCGGAACGCGTTGAGGAGAGTGGAAGCCTTGAAGAGTGAGGGGGCTACGCAGTCAGGGCCCGGGGAGCACGTCGTTCGTCCGAGGTCGAAGATACGCCTGCCAGTGAACCGTGTACCACACACGCTTGCAGCACCAGCATTGTGAGCACGCGCATGGCGGCGTCCATCCGAAGCAGCCCTCAATCTCCGAAGTCATTTCCGACCAATGAATGAGGCGCGGCGTCATCTCGACTTCCAGAAGCCTTTAATGGAGCGGATGTGACGCGCTGGGTGGGTCCACCTTCCCTATTTAGGGACAGCGAAGTCGCCTTGGTGGGTCCAGCCTCTCAATGAGGATGAATGAGGAGACAATGAGGTCGCGTCTGTGTGTTCGTCGTCTCCTTCCGGGCGCAATGAGGTTGCCTCATTGCTTTCGCATTGACGAGGAAGGCTTGCAATTGGTTGAAGCAGTCAATTGCGAAGCTGCCAAGCATTTGAATGGCCTGAACCTGCGCCGCGAGGTAACCGCCATGAGATCGTCGGATGTCTGTAACGATAATTCCACACAGGGTAGTACTCGAGCTCAGACTCTCGTGCGCTCTCCGTCCGCCTGTGAAGACGGCGGAGAAGCACATTCTGCACCGGAGGATTCAAGTGCAGTGCGACAGCATACGGGCACAACAAGAATCGTTGCTGACGATGACGCACCGCAACGCCGCTCTTCACTCGGAAGTAGCCCGGATACATTTGGAGATAAGACGGGAATTAGCCAAGATGGCTTCTGTCGCAGATGAGCTGCGGTCCTTCGACGAGAAGTGAGGCCGGTGGGACGAAGGCGTAGACTATCTGGGACAGCAACCTGAAGAATGGATTGGTAACATACAGTTCGATGTACCACGACTTGTGCAGCCCAATGGCGACGAGCACGGCCTGCGGCGCGGGTGGCTCGGAAGTATATCTGAGATTCCGGTTTTGTGTAGTGATTCACGATCGATCGAGATTGCACTCTCTTCGACAAGTCAATGGCAATTACCGCGCCGGCGCGGGAGACCTTTGAGCCAGTCCTGATCAGAGATCCGAATGCTATGCGGCGGCGCGCTGCACGCCTTGATACAGTACCGGTCATTCCCATCCTAACTGCGCGCAAGCAGGATCTGACAATCGCCCCAGCCTAACTTATGTTCACGATGCGGAACTGCCCCTTCAGTCTGAGCACCACGGGTTCGGAAACGTGGCCAACTCATCGACGACGGCACGATCTTGCCCCACGCCGCTTTCGTTGAGCGTCCAAATGAGGATTGGCTGCATCGGCTGTATTCTGAATGCGCCTCATGGCTCACCGCAGTGCTACAGACCGACAATCGCGGTTCCAGTGCTGGCCGTCATGCGCTCGGTCTGAGACTTCTGTAATGGAAACGAAGATAGGCCAACTCCGGGTCTCTTTGCGTGTAGGGTGCGGTTGACGCGTTGTCCGATTAATGATTGTTCGTGAGACGTGCAGTGCTCGACGAAGCCAGGTGCGATCCTAAACATCCCATATATATGCCATAGGGGACTACTGAAGCTAATATCACTGAACACTATGTCCGATACCGTGTCCACGCAATCCACGAGTCCCAGACGATCTGCTCGTCTACGAACCGCGTCTACAGCTAGTAGTCGGGCGGTCTCCCAGAACAATACACGATCTGTACGCGCATCTGACAGAACCGACTTCAAGCTACTAGTACCCATAAACCCAAACGATCATATCGCCCGGAGCCCCAGCGTCGGTCAGTTGCTTGCTTCCAGGTTGGTAACAAAGCTAACGTTTACGGCTTCCGACTCAGGATTACATGCAATTGCCGTGGAGGAAGCCGCAAGGCCGTCGTTAGCCGTCGGCACGACGTCGACGAACGGCGGAGAAAGCTCGAGACGGCTGAGGTATTGTTACTCTTCGATTTGTGCTGTGAGTCTCTCAGTATCTCTCTGAAAATCGTACGTGTCTCACGACGATACACAGGGTTTGCTAGTAGCGGTACTGTCGCTCAGCCTGCTGCTTGAGGACACCCGCCGCTACGTGACGTTCGCCTGCGCTTGGACAATTTATAGCGTCGCATTAGCCAACCCGATTGGCGACACCTATGCCCATTTGCTCAAATCTATGGTCCCTGTGCTGATGTGTTTGGCCCCCACTCCCTTGGTGTTGTTACCGAGTTGCCGGCTCGCCGCAGCGGACCATCGGCTGAACGCGAACTGGTCGGATTATGTTGACCTAGTTGCCATCCAAAGCTCGTGGGTTGCTGGGACGACGAATGAAACCTTGAACCGGCTCGAGAGCACCCTCCAGCTATACGTCACTGCGCTGAAAATCCATCGCTCGTCACAATCGCTTTTCGATAGTATGGCGTCCTCCGGCACTCTCGCTCAGGCATCGGAGGCCTTAGCAGAAGACGCGGGGAAGGTGGCCAGGGACGTCATTGAGTTGCATAAAGAGGCGAGCATCGTGGCTCAGGGGTGAGCGTACATGCCTCTGGTGCTCTGATACTAGCCCCTGATTCGTTCACGCAGGGTCAACGACCTCCATTGGGCCGCGATCATCGCGCTGTCTCGCGTGCAATCAACCTCTCATACGTGGACCCGGCTCATATATCCTGGGAACGCCTGGATTGTGTCCCGTCTGTTCGAGGCGGTCGACTTATCCATCTCTGAATCATCGCGTCGACTCACACCGTATATCCACGCCACCCTGGCCGACGTCTTCCATCTCGCCGGCAGCCTGGCCGTCATCGACGATTGCATCACGGATCACTGCCCGAGGACTTACCGAGGACTCGGTGCTCGAGGTTTCCTGCGGTCGGCTGCAGGCCCCGAGCCAAATCGATGCAGGGACCTAATGCTGATCGTCGAATTAGCGAGGTACGATATCAGGGAGATACTGACGTCAATTCAAGATATGGTCTCTGTCGCAGACAACGCGAACAGGCAGATCATGGGTTTGCGCAACAAGCTTGCTCGGCGTTGGGAGACTCAGCCTGTAGAGCACATCGGTATGGGAGACTTAGTCATTCATATCGATAACATAGCCTTGGCACAGAGGAATACGGACATCAAGAGTAATGTCGAATATTTTCCTATATAGATGTCTGCGAGCCGTTGCGCGTGCAGTTACATGTACAGCATCTGTATAGTACGATACAGTCTCTATGTTGCCGACGAGTATTGTCTGCGTGCGAAGCGCATCTGTATTTGTCAGTGTGTTCTTGATCAATAGTATGTCATGGGCAGTTGGCGTCGAAATGAAATCGCACATCGGAGGTGAGACGAGATGAACGCCGCCGCCTGAGAGGGTCACTCATCGCAAGTCATTGGGCTATGAGCGACGCGATCAGGAAAAAGGACAAGTACCCATACTAATGCTAGAATCACGTGTGCTATGGGTCTCCACACCACGAAACCGAGGATACTGCACAAAAGATATATTCGAACAGCTTGATTGAATGTACAATACAGTCGATAGTACAAGCGGCAGCAACCTGGATATCTACGTTAGCGTGACTTGACTTACCGCAGGTGCAACGGGCATATCCTCGCGACCTCCAGGCCAAACCAGGGCAGGGGACGCGAGGGTCAGCGAACCGTCGCACGCACGGGCAAGGTGCAGTGCTTACTCACATTCGGGGGAGCTAAAGGCAGGATCGTTGGGTGGGTGCCCGCCGTGAGGGCTTGCGGGATTGTCGGACAGCGCCCAGGTTTCGCGGGCTTGGCGGGTGCGTTGTGTACGACTACCTTGGTGTCGACACTGTCACTGCTTTGTCGAAGTTGGCCAGGCACATTCATCCTGGCACGCGGAGGACGTACCTAGGTAATCATGTGCGCAAATGGGAGAGAACGGGTAAATCGGTGGGCAGGTGCGGGCGGGATTGTGATTGTGCTACCTCACGTTCGACTTGAGGGCCCCATGCTGCGGCGGGAAACACGTTGAAGGGCCGACAGGTGAAGCGGAAACAGGACGCACCTGCTGCAAGAGGTCGACACCGATCTCGTCGAGCACCTGCTTGAGGATCGTGTTGCTCTCTGCGTCCTCGTCCTCGAGCTCGTCGTCGACCACATCGGACATCATCTCTTCCTTCATGACCATCGTCGTGCTCTCTCGCTCAACCTCGTTCATGATCCGTTGTATTTGCGGGAGATTCACGCCGTGATTCATCATGCCCATTGCCTGGTATTGAGTAGATTGATTAGAGGTGGTCCTCGAGCCACGAAAAGATCCTTAGAGCGACGCAGAGGACGTACACGAGTCGCGCCGCGCATCGCGTCCGCCATCTGCTGGTTGCTCCTGAGTGTCTGTATCCGGAGCCCGACGGCCTGCAGCTGTGTCCGCATCTGATAGAACTTCTGGACGTATCGCTGCGTCCGTACGGTATCCTTCGCCATGACCTTGCACGTATTCTAGGTTGCGCAGTGAATGAGGATGCTCAGCATGTACGACGCGACAGCGCGCACCATCTACCCCGCCTTCGCACTCTTCGTGATGTCCATGATGAGCTTCTTCTCCTGCTGCTCGAGCTTCGCCCTCTCCCTGTCGAGCTCGCGCTGCGCCTTCGCGATGTCACGTTGGTGTTGCCGCAGCCGCTCGGCGGGGTGACCGTCCGCCCAAACAGTGTTTCCTGCGTTCCCATACTAAGTGCCGATTCCGTCGCACGAAGGCGCGGGAGGGACAGTGGCGAAAGATGTGTGTGTCAGTCGAATGTTCAGGAATAGCAGGGCGGCGGAGCGCAGACTCGTTTAGGAGGCGTAGGTGTGTCGAGCATGAGAGGGTGCAGCTGAGGGAAGGGGCGCTGAAAGCGGTTGAACGGGAATGCTTACCGGGGCTGCCCCGGTTTGCGCCTCCTCTGACCTCCCTGTACTACTCACTGAACCCGTGTCGACGTCTTGCGTCACTGCGTGCTCGTCCTTGAATGTGGGCGCAAGAGCGGCAGTCTTCGCTGATCGCGCCAAGGGAGACCGGGTGGCTGCGAGTCGTGCTATCTTGCTGTCGACTTAACGATTGCATGACGGCGGAACTTGACGTGTCGACGGATCGTAGCGGCGCGAGAAGCTCAGGGATGGAGGCTCAGGTGGCTGCTCAGTTAGAGGGTCGGTGCGAGAGTCGAACGATGTCGAACACGAAGGGCCATAGATCTGTCAGTGTCTTGGCCTTTAGATGAACACGTGAACGTTTGAACGCCGGTGCACTGTGACGCGACACCAGAACGAGCGCCGTTGCTATATTGTTCGCCTGCCTTTTCTCCGTCAAAGTAAGCCTGCATTATGGTCATCTATTACATCTAACCGGAGAACCTACTGAGGGGTACGTTCCGCTCCTCTCTCTCTCTCCTCGAGTGTATCCTATTGAACTGACGCAAACTGTGTCGGACGCCCTGCTGTTACGCTCATGTCGCGAGAAACCTCGAGATCCAAGGCTGAAGTCGTTTTGCCGGCCGAACGTGCCTCTACTGGGACCAGCGCACTAGGTGACGGCCACGAGAATCAGACTAGGGGTGATTCCTACGACGACGCCCGCGGCACCCAGCAAGGCAAACGCAAGAAGAAGGAACCTATTCCTTGCGGCGACGTCATTGATATTTCGTCTGACGACGGCACGGATCATCCGGTCAAACGTTGCCGTGAGGAAACGACGGAGAAGCGGGGAGGAAATGGATCTGCGCAGGCGTCCATCGCGCGCGATCTCAAGATACAGCAAGACAAAAACGCGGCCCTCCAGGACGCACTTGTGGCTGCTTACGCCACACAGAAGAAGCTCACTGACGAACTTGAGACGTTGCGTGGCGAAGTGGAGACAGCCTCGAATACATATGCGGAGCTGTTGCAACGATTCGTCGAGACTACAGAGGTACCGTTCGATCCGCTCCGAGATTTGGTCTGCATACTGATGTCGACGCCATCCTGCAATTGAAGGAACTCCAATCACTCCAATGTGCGGCTCAAGAGTCAGACCGGCGTGCAAATGAACTAGAGGTAATTACTTTGTACACCTCCTGTGACCTTTTTGACCGACGTTATGTAGAAGGTACGCACACCTTCTGCGTTCCAGTGGTACATCCAGTCGCTTATGGGACAAGCAAATTGAATGCATGAAACTGGAAGCGGAAGATCGAGAGGATAAGTTGTCAACCGCACGCGTACGCATATAGCTCTTCTTGATTCCATCGGCGGCTTGGTTGACCCTAGTTTCCAGAATTTGGCTGCAAGCATGAAGAATGATATCACTTGTACGATCTGTACGCAGATTATTTCGCTACCTTATGTGTGAGTTCCTCTCCTCCCAGTTTCGCTATTACACGCATCGACCCTCCGATACGATAGACTGTCATGCGGGCATACGGCATGCCGAGCTTGTCTTGAAGGATGGTTCAGCGAGTTACTTGTGCAACACTTGGAGAGGCACCCGCACGCTGATTTGCCCAACATGCAACCATACTACGATGCCATCCGCGATCCCAGCTTGGACGAAACGATTCGAGAACGTGCTATCGCAGAGGCTACGATGGTTCTCAAGTTTCATCCTCGCCCTAGCTACACGTGTCCCATTTGTCGACAGATTCTGAAGACCAAGCCAACGGGAGAGATTGCGCTGAGGAGTATTGTATCGAGCGTCGCGCACTCACTGGGTGAAGAGAACCCTAACACCGGGAGCGTCCATGAGGAGGAAGGTTTCTGGGACGGGTTCTTTCCACCTTTTATTGTACATTGATGATTATCCATGGGCTACTGTACCGTACCATGAGCCCGAATCGCGGCCGCGTACATCATGCGACCGCGACGAATATCCACTGCTATAGTTTCAATACGGCAAGTTCATCTTGCTGCAGGGATCGATCATACAGTTACACGCACTGGAGATGTTTCGACATTGTCATCGACGCGTGACGAAAATTCAGGACGTCCTAGACGGGGCTCGCCGGCACCGACCGCGTCCTCAGTGTCTTAAGACATCGTCTTGAAGACGTCGTCAGTTCTACGCGACTCACGGAAATATACCGAGCGCTGAGGACAGGCTAGCCAATGAGACAGAAGACGTTTCGAACGTTGACGTTGAACACCGCGCAGCGCGATATCGCGATCGTGACCATGTGGCGTGAGCTGCCAGTCACGGGCATCCGGTACGAATGCTTCCGGGGACGTGGAGACGCCTGCTGGAATGTCCGGGCCCTCTGCGCCCATGGATGTCGACGATGGGGGACCTTAGTGATGGGTGGGAATGCGCGACGAACACTGCTCTGCATGTATTTATCAACAACGGCCTGCTCTATACTCGAACGATATGTACCTCTGAATCGCTCTGGGATTGCATGACATACGTCGCGGCGGAGGCGGAGGCGGAGGCGGAGTCGATCTCATCGGTTTGGCTGAAGCGTGTTCGGAGCGTCATATCCATTTCTGCGTAAGTACCGACTGGAACTCACCTCATGCGTGAGTGTGGCGTGAAACGAGACCGATCATGACCGTATATATTTGATGGTTGCAGCTCGACTTTTGCGTCGGTCAGGAGGGGACAGTGCCCACGAGTAAATACAACAATCCGAGCGACTCTCAGGACCGCTAGCAAAAATATGACAGACTCGCACCAGCGAATGTCAGCAGCTGGCCCGGGTAACACACGATTGCCGACTAGTAGTCGGCAGGTAACCCTCTCATTGAACGATGATCAGTTGTTGCCAGTTCATCCAGTCGCAGATGGCTACTAGTTACACATGCCCGCACCCTCCACCTGCAACTCATTCAGCGTCGAGAAGAGGTCCATGCCCTCCTTCCAGCGTGCAGTAGCACGCCGACCAACCTCAACACGCTCAGCAGCATCCAAACTTGAGAGATAATCCGACGTGGATTGGCAGCCTTGATCGACCCACCGGAATATGCCACCTGCCGTGTACTGGGTGAAGGAGTATCGCTGTTCACCCTCTCTGACCGGAGTGTTTGAGTGCCGGAGGGTGGCCGATGGTATCGCGATGGTTGATCCAGGCGGGAACTCTATGGCAAGCTTCAGATCCCATAAGATGAGGTGTCCCCCCTTCCGTGGGTCGAAATCTCCAAGTGCGGATATGACACACCAACCAAACGGCAGGTTGCCACAGTCGCGGTGGTCAAGGGTACATGTTTGAGGCCCGAAGTTAAAGGTCGCGCATGCAAAGATGCTACGCGTGAAGTTTGGCTTGAGGCGCCCATCATGCGCCAGTAGGGACTGCATGTGTGCGGCGTAGTATTCGTAGAGACGTGGGGCCCATGTGCGGAATACACCTTGCATATGGCGGTCTTTTTGTCAGTGCCCTGTGTAGCCAGCTTAGGTCAAGTCACATACTCGATCCGAAGGCAGCAATCCGCTTGATATGTTCATGCTGCACAAGCTGCTCCAGGACGCGAGCATTTGCTGATGAGTGTGCGAGTTTCTGTGGTCGCTGCAATGGAAATAAGGTCGTGCACTCCACAGCAGTGTTTCAGGTACCTTTTGCCCTCCCCCATATGATATTCCCACCGCTAAGGCAGGAAAGTCTCCGCGCCGATGTACGCGATCCTTGACTGTCAGTGACAGCTCTTCGCGGGCCTCTGCAATGGCTGCTGCTGCACCTGCCTGTACGTTGTGCCACTGCGAGTCGTCGGGAGCACCACAGAGAACGGCAATAACCCGCCCGCAATCGTCTGTTATGGGCCGAACGGTGCTATGTCCATGTCAGATTACTGTATACGGGCAGGGCAGGAGATACACACCGCCCATCCCAATGAACCAGTTCGAATCCATATCGCGATTCCGCACCCACCAAGTCCTCCAGGCGGTAGTGCTGGCGCGTTGTACGCGATTCTCGGCCTCCTGTGTATGCACCGTTAGTGTGCGGGAGGGTGTCGGTAAGAAGAGCCGTTTCAATGGGTCGGGCAGCTTTGACGTGTGTTCGGATAAGAGGTAGGCGTGGTCGTTGATCAGCGCTGTACGGATATGCATGCTCGTCCCTCCGACGCCGTCGCTTTTCGCGACTTTGTGCCTTTCGCCGTCGTGTTTCAGTCTGCCGCGAGGGTTCGTCGACGCTGAGAATTGCTCGGGCGGCGCCTCCATCGCCATCTGGGATGCCGCATTCGTCGGAGAGCCCCGTTACGCCCACCGCCACGCTACTCGACGCTACCAGTCTGGGAATCTGTGTACGAGGCTCCGGTGAGGTACTGTCGAGGTCAAGATCGTCGTGTTCCGAGGCGGCCGTCTCCCTTGCCACTGCCATCATGAGGAGCTCGGCGAATGAGAATTGAGAATGAGAAGCCGCCGCCAACGGCGCCACTGTGGGGTGCGGTATGAGTGCGGTCGATATGGAGAGCTTGAACCCGCGGTCAACCCGTGCGCTCTGCTACGCGGGCGCAGACCCCCAGTGCCAGGCGAGGCTCCGCGTAGTTGCGGCCCGCGCAGCGTACACCTCAATGAAGAACCGCGGTGATAAAGGCGACTCACCGTGGGTACGCGTATCGGTCATGATGCGCAGGTTTCGTGCTCGGGATGGTGGTAGGCGACGGATGGTGAGTCCCAGCAAGGCCGTTTGTTATGTCGACGCGTCCGTCACGGACACGTCGCGGGAGAAGGCAGTGAGAAAGTGGCGACGGCGCGGCACATCTCCCTCAGTCGATGCATGACGTATCCGCGGCCCACCGCCCGAGCGATAGACGCATCAACCGCGACTGTAGGCACGTTTAGGTCGAGCGACGGAGGGGCAATGTCGGATGTACAGGCGGACGTCGACGGTCGACGGCTGGATCGCGAGGGACGCGCGGCGCGATAACGCGAGTTACTACTACTTACTAGGCCGAGGCCAGAGGCAGGTTTGCCCTGGGTTTGCCCCGACGCGCATGGGCGCTTGTTTCTTGCGGCGGTGGCAAACGGTAAGCGACCCATACTAGCTCTATGTGGCCGTGTCGAGGATGTAGGAAGAAGCAGGTGGTAAGTAGCACGCTCGTTCCGCGACAGTGTACTAACGTCGACCGCGCGTCCGGTTCAACACCCATTTGGAGCATGCCATTGGCTGGTACGTCATGTCTCAACAGCGATGTCAAGAGTGTACGCCTGCTAAGAACCTATGTTAGAGCGAGTATTTCGAGCCAGAGGGCCGCGCTCGCATGTCTCGGCAGCGCAGGATGCATACACGACCGAAGGTCACGGAGTGTCATAGGGAAAACACACCCATGTTGGCGACCCATCTACGCACTCTCCGTACACGTGAGGGTGCAGGCTGGCGATTTAAATACAACAGACTGCAAAGTAAGTTGACGCGAGTCGCTCGCAAATAATTTGTCGCTCAGCATGCGCTCCATACTGAGCTCACCGGTTGATCATACTAGATCTGCTTGCGGCTCCAACCCCGGCGTTGGGCCCTCAGTCGCTGATACCCTGGACGGCCTGACTACCGAATACTCTTAGGTGCGTCAATATCCACGTCTCCGAAGCCCGCAACTCATTCGAATGTACCTTGATTGCTGTAGGTAGTCTCAATGGACAGTCATAGCCTGGCGCAGACTTCGTTGGAGTACGCAGAGAAGATGGCCGCAATGTTGAACATTGGGCGTTGATCTCAGCTAATCACCAAGCACTCGATCCTAGCACCAGTTCTGTCGTGGCCATTCGGGCCCATGTGGAAGGCACAATGGTACGCCGCCAGATATGACGCAGTGCGTCAGTCCTCGTGTGTTACTCAAGGCGGAACTCGCATGGCTGTTCGCGAATTTGTGGGCAAGGCCACACTGCCGTCATCTTCTCCCCCAACCACTTTGCCAAGCGCGCGAAAATGTTCGCCTGAACTGACACTGGTGAGTCTGACAGGGACCGTCTCTGAGCTCTTCGTGTCTAGATGGCATAATATTCAGGTGCGCATATGGATGCATCATGTTCACGGCGTGGGTTCGCTGACTCTGATTCCTTTCATTACAGGCCCGCTTCTCTCATGGCATCCGCGTGAGTGGAAGCCTATATGCGTTCCAGGCAGCTACACGCACACCGGCCGTCCATACGCGGGTTGTCTGCTCCCCGTCACTCGATTGTCCTCTCGCATGGCCCTCCACTCGACCGTTTCTCCCTCTCCGGAACAGAGAGACAAAGCAGTCCCCCAATGCCGTCGGTGTGGGCCACGAGCACCGATGCATGTCTGTATATAAAGACGACGGGTAGACGCAACACGGCAAGGTCGCGACTTTCTTCACGCAACAAAGGCAACCACTCCTCGGCAACTTGAAGCACACAGAAATGTTCGCTCAAATGAACGCTAAGTAAGTGTATACCATTCGGCTTCATCGTCTCGCTGACGCTTTTACCCTCCAGTCTTCGCGTCAAACGTACAGTCTTCCGCACGTCCGGTATCTACGTCAAATTGCCGTGCTCGGGCGACATCACAGACGCTTGCTGGCGACCGTCGACATTCACGATCAAGGAACTATCGACAGGCCAATGTGAGTCCGAGTCTTGTCTTAGCTATCCGACTTCTCCTAACGATCCTACACGAATCACAGATGCCGTTTTCTTAGTCGACAGCTTCGACAGAAGCCGATCCGGATCATCCGTCTTTGATGCAAAGTGGACGATGGACGCCCATCAGGTAGGTTTCTTCAAATTCATTCAACTTATCTCACAATAGTTTCACAGAGCGATGGCATTCTGTCATGGTCGAATGGCCAGGCGGTCTACCAATTCATGCTTCGTAGCTTCAGCGTTTCGAAGTATCTGTCTTTGATTCGGGCGTTCGCGGGAGGTCTGAGGTTGGCGCACGAACAACTCCAGGCATTGGAAGGCCTGCTATCCGCCCACCTCGAAGGCGAGCCGTCCGACGTCCAGCCCGGCCAGGACATAGAAGACGGCGTTGACATCCAGGAGGAGGTTCTGATGAATGTTGATGGAGGTGCACTCTACTAGGATGTGTTTTTCGCATGTACGCCAATATCCACGATTGCAAACCGTTGCTGACATATACTGCGCAGAATCCGAGATCGTCATGAAACATTGATGATGTACTCGCACCTTGACCCGATGATCACCTCGGTGAAGTTTCGACTGTGCTGAACGTACCCTACATGTACAACTATAGTGCCTTTACGCGCCGCTCCTCCACATTGCAGTTCGATGTATTTGTTTATTATGCATTTTTGCCTCTATACGCGTGCCAGTGTGCCAATCGCGCCAGTGGAAGAAGTCGAGGACCGCCTGTGTCGCCATTCTGAGCCCTTGTGCCGTATGAAAGTTCGCAGGTGCGTGTACCATTGGCGGATTCACCTTCCAATATCGCCACTGATAACTTCAGTTTTGCGAACGCTCCTTGAAGGCCGCACGTCACTCCACGCCATACAACATGGAATCGATCCTTTTCTCATTATTGCGCCCTCAGGCTACGACGCCCATACCGAGCGTCGCTGAGGCTGACGCCAACTTGAACTCTGACCTTGACGGGTTAGTTCCGGCCGATGCCCAGCGCACAGTGTAAGACCTTATTGCGGTACTGTCTGCGACATGTCCCAGCCCTCAGCTCTTTTGCCTGTGTATGTGCTGCTTGCGCCCGCCGACCAGCATCAGTAGTACTATAGCAGCGCTAAATCGCGAAGTGCCGGGTTGCCATATCGGGCATTCTCGTCGCTGTATCGTCTAACGGTCTGCGCACCGCAAGTTACTTACTTCTAGAATTTGCGCATGCGACGTAGGCCTGCGTTCTACTCATGATATACGAGCTGGTGTTGCCCAACGTCAAGAGATCTGAACCTACCAGAAAGACAGTGAACGGTTGTTCAGCCGCGAACGTACGAATCACGGCGTCCACGCTACGCCGATCGTAGTACTTAGGGTCTACGTGCCCTCCGAGTAGTAGTCCAGTGCAATCTGGAGGTCGGGAGAGACACCCAGATGTGAATGTAAGGTAAGTCGTATGTGCTGCGTGCTCCGCGTCTGTGCTTACGGGGCGACGTTTCAAGACGAATGTAATCCGGTCATTGGCACGCGAACGAAGTGGGGCATCGTCGCGAGTCACTCGGACGTGCGACCACACAGCCGGATGTTGGCCAGGATCGCTGCTCACCAACTCCGTTACCTCCAGCCGCTGCGATTGCCCGACTTTTCATCAAGACGCGTAAAGCAGCACTATCCCAACTGACTGCGAACTGCACGACTCTGACGGCCGCCCGTGGATCTTCGTCCTGTACGACGCTTGTACGAGTCCCGCTATGGTCAAGAGTGGAGGTCCGAGGGACTCAGAGGAGGCGAGGTAGCTCGGGGTAGAGGAATCTCTAACAGCCTGCCGCTGATGAAGGTACGTGCGTCATTGTTGAAGGCATGCGTATGTGCTCAATTCAAGGCAGCACCGACCACGAATGAGTACAAGAAGAAAGATGCGTCTGATCGCGGCGTCGACGATTCACCCGCAGGGCCTGGACAACCTGCTTCTGGCGGCATTTGACTTGGAACAACAACAGTGAGTTGCTGTCGTTCTTACCGCTCTGCCACTCATGTCAATGTGCGGCATCAGGGAAGCACTCAATCCGAAGGGCCAAGAGCACGCGAAGGAACCATCCACCGAGAAGTTCAATGAACTCGTGAAGCTGCGCGACCAAATGGACAGTTAGCTCAAGGATAGTTTACTCTGGCAGAAAAGGGTCGGCGGCGTGCGTCCCCTGCATCGGGCGATTTGTAAGTCTCGAACGTTGATCCCCTCGCTCTTTGCTGATCTCTGCATAGCGGGAGGATTGCCAAGCTCCGAACGACGCGTCGCAAATGTACATACAAATGGGCCCTTTGAGCAGGTCTACCTGCTCTCGCGAATCATGCGTGTGTCACGTCTGAGAACAGGCGAGTAAGTGGGCGGCGAGTACCCCGCCCTGCAGTAGCCACCGAGCGTGGCCTCGAGCTATGCGTGGAACCAGAAGGCGACACATTTCGGAGCTGCTGGCGACTACGGGCAATGCGGACGTGCACGGTGTAGAACATCCACACCTCCAGCGCGAGCACGCAGCTCATCGCGCACGACCGGGAGTATCACGACGTCGCCTGGTTACCAGGATCGACAAACACCTTCGTGTCCGTCAGTGCAGACGCTAGTCTGCGTGCATTCGACCTACATTGCATCGAGCACTCGACGATTCTACACGAGACACATGCGCAGAAGAACATGCCGGATCCATCGGCCCAAGAGCCCCTGCAGTCACTCCTTCTCACCGCCTTCGCACATTACGGTCGCCATGGCAGCACCACTTGGATCTGCGAGAGCGTACGTGCACGTTGACGTGCGCTCGGCGGTGTACCACACGCTGCAACGGGCATGCTATGTCTTGCCGTACCATGCCACCATTGCGCCTGGACCTCCAGGATCGCCCGCGACGGTCAAGTGCCTACTACCGTCCGAACTCATTGAGACACGTCTGCTCGCCGCACTACTGCAATTCGTGCCCATATAGCAATGTCGGGATCAATCGCCCGCTCACTATCAGTACCTCAATCGCTCCATTTCTCTCTCCCCTCCCACTGCCCGTGTCCCCGCGTACGCCTCGTTCCCACCTCCCTGCGTCGACCGTCATGGCCCAGCAGAAGCAGAAGCCCACCCTCGATCAGCACGTCGTCTGTCAATCCGCCCGCGACGATCTTCACCTGCCCCGAGCCCCAGTTGACGGCGGCGTCGCCTCACTCTTCAACCTCGTCTTCACCTGGAATTCCAAGGGCGGCGCACTCCGCGATGCGTTCTGGCGCGCGCGCCTACCGAACGTCATGAAACTCATCGCGAGACACTTGCAGTCGAGTACGCCGCGCGTGACAGTCGCAGATAATTCCGCTCTCGTACGTCCACCGCGGTCTCCCAGCTTGTATCTGACCGCCACAGCGTCCCGGCGACTCCTTTCAGAAGTTTCATTCCCGGACCCACTTGCTCTTCCCAGCTTTAGTCTTTCTCCCGCGCAACCATCCTTGCTTCAATTCACCATGTCCACTCGACTCACCGCCTCGCCTGTCGTCGTCTGGTACTCCCCGAAAGCCACCCGCTTCGCTCACGACTCGGGTGGACATCGTCCATCGCGCAAATTGCGTCCCTGCCTGGTCACCAAGGTCTGTGGCGACTGGATCCGCGTAGCACCGCTACTGTCCGCGCGTCCGGACAGCCAGGTATACCGTATATCGACTGATCCTTCGTTCCTACCCTCTAACGGCTGCACCGCGAAGATGACAGCGTCGTCCTGGAGCATCGTGAACTTCGGTGAACATGGCCCCGCTCCACCCGTCCACCCTCTGCCCGGTGCGACTGTCTTCGACCTGCCTCTGCTTAAGAGACCGGATAGCTGGCGGCCGACGCCGTGTTTTGTTTGGACGCGCGATGGAGGGATGTGGATCGACATCGCCGAACTGGGAATCGGCAAGGCTCGCGTACTGGACGGCGACTTCGACTTCGACGGGGACAAGGTCACGGAGCTGCGGGAGAAGCACAAAAGCATAGGTAAGTGCCTGGTCTACAGCATAGCGACCAAGCTGACTATTCTGAAGTGGTGTGGCATTAGGGCCCGGTGCGATGACGCAGGGATGGACTCGAATGACCACTCGCGCGTGCAGTTTGTATGTGATGAAGTATGGCTTGACTGACATGTATCCCCCACCCTCCCCATGTAACGCCCTTGATTACCGATCGCGCTCCGTCGGCTTCATTGATTGTCACCCCCTCGAGCCGTCTTGCGCGCGCGTAGCAATAGCCCTGTGCCTGCAATCCACGAGTCTCGCGCCCGCTGTGCACGAGCACGACCGGCCGCCCGACGCACCACCGCGACTCGCCGTGCCGAAATGCGACGACATACGCTCTCTTCGCCCGCCCTTCCTTTGTCACCAGCCCGCTCGCCATTCGCCTGCCCTTCGTGTCACTCACCTGGTCTCCCCAGGCTGTGCCTCGCTGAGGGGCGTGCCGCCGCTCTCTCTCGACAGTCCGTGCGATTCGTGACGGACGCCCGATGTCTGCTCATCGTGCACATGCCGGTTCCTGCAACCCTTTCACCCATCCCAGCCCGGGTATACACCCTACACCGCGAGCTTACCCCCATTCGCGTTCGATCTTTGTCACAGCACATACCCAACCGGCCGCTGCCCTCACCATGTGTCGAGCGCGACGCGCAAAACGTTCACCGTGCCGTCTACAAAAACGGCTCGCAGAGGGTGGATCGTGCGTAGCACTCCGGTGAGTATCTATGCCACATCGACCACTGCAATGTACTGATCGATTATTGGCCGTGACTACTTTCCTCAATCCGCAGCTGCCTGTCGAGCTCATATTATCGTGGGCGGTCGATAACGAATCAGGCGCCATTTCGGTGACGTGGCGGTGATGCAGCGTACAATGCGACATCCGTACCGAACGGCACGCGCGTTGAACGGTGATCACCGCGGTCGAGGAAGCGAATGCAAGGCCTGCCCGGATGCTGGACAGATTGCTCCCTGTTGCAAGACGTGTCCGACTGTTTCATACTTCTCTGCCCGCATCTGTTATACACAAAATATCTGCCAGCAAACACGACAGAGTGCGCAATCTCTGACAAAAGCAACGTCGAGTGGGAAGAATCATGGGCTCGATCTACCCCGCGCAAAGATTTATCCTCCAAATACGACTTCACGCTCCCGCCGCTGCAAGGCCACAGTCTCGATGAGCACTTCCACACCATCGGCGCGAGCGCGGCACAGCCCTGGCTCTCGCTCGCGCAGGATCTTGCGGGCGTCGAGCTTTCCCCCGCGACCCGACCACTGGAACGTCCAGGCGGGATGGACGCGGTACCTCTACCACCCGGACGGTTCGAGTTCATACGAGCACGCCGAGTACCCTGACTTCAACGGCCAGGCGGAGGAGATGCTCATGTTCGACGTGGAGGCGCTCCCGGCGTACAGCCCGTATGCCGTCATGGCTGCGCCGCGTCGAAGTACGCGTGGTATTCCGGGGTCTCACCGTGGCTTCTGGGAGACGAGGCAGAGGAGGAAGCCGTCACCGGACGGCTGGGCAGGTTCCACAGGCGCTTTGAGGGCCTCGGTGGGTCGGGTTCGGCGTGGTAGGAGCAGGCGGATACGGCGGAGGGCGTGGATGCGTTGTAGATGCAGATGGAGGCGCAGGAAGCCCTGGACCATCTACGTCAACCGCAAGAGCTGGTTCGGCCGGTGGTGGGGTGTAACAGTGAGTGCGGTTGTTTGTGTGGGGCACCGTGTTGATGTGAGGCGGTTCCGTAGATGCTCTGATGTCCCCTGGGTTGGGATTCGGTCCTATACTGTCCAAGGCGCGCTCGTTGACGGACAGTATGATCGTCGCGGGGGCACAGCGACTAGCGTCCCTCGCGCCCGCGCTGAATGAACCCGACGACGCGCTCCTACCGGACTTTGGAGACTCGCCGAAGATCAACTACGAGGTGACCTGTGGCGGGACGCGCCATCGAGGAGGGTGCTGCGGCTGTGGAGTGGACGAAGGAGGAGCTAAGGAAGAAGGTGGGGCATCGAGTCCGCTGGATTGCGTGGAAGACAGAAGGGCGGGGAGTGAGCAGAAGTTTACGAGCTTGGCTTATGTGAGTGATCGCCACTGCTGATATTACAGTGTCGGAAAACGAGCTAACAGACTCTCAGCGCGTTCCGCATCCCGTCGTCAAGCTTCGCCTGCGGATGCACCGTTCGCCTGTACAAGCCAGTAGACCAGAAGAATGCACGCGCCGATGATCCATATCGCACCTTCGGGTTCGCGGTATCTGGCTGCTTATATTATGAAGACCTCCTACCGCCACAAGTCGTTTACGCTGCGGACGTCGTATGTCCGTTCACGTATACACTATACTATTCCAGTGTTCCGGCTCCCAATTTTGCTACCGAGACGCTAGCTATGACGTCTCAGAAGACTGGAGAGATTCATGTATTTCCTATCATAAAGGTATGTTGAGTACCTTTATGCACGTAGAGACTGATATCTGTCACAGGACATGTATATCTCATCGTTGTCGAGCATCCCTGAGGCTGACGCCAACTCTGACCTTGAGGAGTGAGTTCCGGCCGACGCCCAGCGCGCGATCTAAGACGTTACGGCACTGCCTGCGAAATGTCCACGTCGCGCTTGCCTACCGCCGAGCCGAAGGGCGACTACAAGTGGCACAGCCGCATGCGCTCACGCCCGGTGCCCGTATTGGGTCTCAAGCGGAAGGTGATTCCTGGGCCGATGGTCTGTCGATGCTGGGATTACATGCCAGCTGAATCCACCGACACGAATGCGCGCGACTTCGGCCAGGTCATATTCACGATGTGAATACCACTCGGCGTGAATAACGGGCACGTCGATAGGTGAATCATCACCTAGCTGATTGATGATTCACCTTTCGGCTCTGGGACGAATCACGCACACCGATTGATGATTCACCTTTCGGCTCTGGGATGAATCGCGCATACTGATTGACTAACATACGGACTGTACGACTTTCTAACAATATATGTTTAAATTTCAAATGTTATGCGTTGGAACATAAGAAATTTACATGCCATGTTCGAGGCACGACAATTATGACAGTTAGTACATCGTAAACAATGTCTGTCCGTAAAGCGAACATTACGTATGATCGCCCCTCGTACATTGTCATTACATTTAAAATGTGTGTCCATTGTCATTACATTTAAAATGTGTGTCCTTTGTTCCCGCAATGCACGACACTCTAACATTTTAAATTTACTAGCAATGCTAGAACGACTACCATTGTCTGACCATACATAATTTAGTCGCAATGTACGCGCTGCTAACATGAGGAGAACATGTGGCCAATGTACTGTAGCCGAACATAACATTTGTCAGCCGCTATGTACGAAAAGTCTTACATTCGGTGAACATTTCATTTTTAAGTGCCATGTTATGGAACCGTACATGGCCTCTTAGAAAACTACTGACCCTTTCTATTTAAGATCAATGTTCGAGCTTCTTAAATACCGATTTGTCCGCTGTGCTTGCGTGCGCAGCGCCCCCCCGCCAACACCATCTTCACCGGCGCCCCCACTTGCTCGAGCTCGGCGGTTCGAGTCCGTCGCGCGTGCGAGCATCCCGACCTCGCTGCCGCGCGCCCGCGGCGTGATCTTTCCCATGTCCACGAGCACCTCGCCCGCGCGCACGCCCCTGCGGTCCCTGTCTGACCTGCCCGCAGAGCCGCCCCCGGCGCACCCTGATGGCAAGCCGGCGCTGCCCGGCGTCGACGGCGGGCGCAGCGGTCCGAGCTCCCCTTCCACAACGGGTGAGTTCCCGCTGTCGGGCAACCTCGCCTCGATCAGAATGGGCAGCATCGTTGCGGTGACCGTGACGATGTCACTCATCTGGCCCGACGACTTCAACCTCGAGGCCACCCGCGCAAACAACGCGCCAAAGACATCATATATCCTCTGCGTCTGTGCTGCACGCGTCCGCACGGTGAGTTATTGAGCAAGGAACACGCTCAAGCAGAACTCAACCCTGCCGTGCACCCACGTTCTGCGGCCCCGCTGCTGCCCGATCGCCTCTGCTGTGGTCACTGCCTTCATCTCCAAGGCATGTCACTTCGCAGCTCGGACGATCTCCGAGTCCGCTTCGTTTGATTGTCCCGCGGAGCGTGCTTTGCGGCGCGACCGGGGCGTCGCTGGCAGGAGACGGCGGCGGAGAATCAGATACCAATCGGCGTTGCGCGATGGTGAGACGCGGAGGCTCAGAAGACCTGCCACCTACATGTATTGCACCTGCCGATTTATATCAAGGACGGTCTCGACTAGGGATAGTTGAAACCGTTACGGATATATGACCATTGCTGCGCCCAAAGAACAAGACGACCACCCCATGAGCTCTACCCCAAGCACGACCTTCACGTATGTACTCTATCATCGTTGGCAACCCCACTGACTTCCTCACAGCATATCCGTATAGATTGCTAATACCTCGATACCTTCTTTGACGAGCTCTGGGCCAGCAGCTCCGAGGAACCACTGGGCCCGAATGAGGCAAGCCTTTGTCGTCCTCCGATGCTCTCAAGCACTCACTGGCCATCACGACTGAAGACGTCAAGCTCAAGCCCAGGTTTCCCGGTATCAAGATCAACACGCCCGTGTCACCCAGGAAGTCGTTCAGGTCGCCCATAGCAAATTTCAACCTCAGGCTCCCGACAGTGAAGAGCGCACCTGCCGCGTCCCTACTGCCTGGCGCGCACAAAAAACGCTTCCGTACAACGGTCCATCGTGTCATGGCGATGCGCCGCGCGTCGACGACGATGACCCCGGGTCGCATCGGCGCAGAGCCGGGCATCGACCCCCCGCCGTGCGAGCGCAAATCTGCGCGAATGCGCACCATGATCACACCCGCCAACAGTGCGTGATTGAGATCGTGGAGTACTCCGTGGCGAAGTGCAGTGTGGGGTGGATGCGGAAGCGAGAGATGGTGTCGATGCTGGAGTCGCCGTGGGCGAGGGTGCGGTGGATCAATGTGGGTGAGATCAGTTGGGACGTGCTCAGTGCGTTGGCAATGCGATACGGCGTGTCCATCGGATCTTTCTCGTGACAGATGTGTGTTGCTGAATGTGCGCAGACATGCGCCCCCTTGCCATTAAGAATGTCATCCACCAACACGGCAACAACACCCGCTCCAAGGCGGACTACTACTAGCGCGCGACGTCGTGCGCTTGGTGGTCGATGACACTATTTACCTAGTATGCACGGAACGCGTCTAGAGAGTCTGTGGCCTTGAAATCGCGGGAAAGGAACCCTTCGCCATAGAGAGAGAGAGAGAACTCTGCATTTATAAGCCGCAACAAGCAACCTCTAACGGTGCTAAGACGCGGCGGGCAGTGGCGCCCCGGTCGACTCTAAGTATCTACGAGGTAGTGTAGTATGTGTATGTAGTAATGGGGGGGCGACTATAAGTTCTACGGAGGCGTGGCGTTCAGCGGGCGCAATTACATGCGGCTACAGATCATACAGCATATACAGTAGAAATAGAAAAGAATAAAAACTATCCATGGACCATACTCGGCACTCCGGTGTCTTCTACCCAGGGCCCAAGCTGGAATTGTTCCCTGGGTGCACGAGTGTGCTGGAACGTGTGGGGGAGGGGTGTACGCGCGCGATCGCCGTGCAACGGTCGCCGCTCATCGTTCGTCTTCGTCGTCCGAGTATTCGACCTCGCCGACCTCTCCGTCTTCTTCGTCCGGCGGTACCTCCTCAGGCTCCCGCTCGTAAGCTTCTTGCTGCTCGCCCTCGTTTGCCGGGGGTTCTCCTGTCTTCATGAACGCGCCGCTGCGCTCGATGAACTTCGCGAGGGCGGCTATGCCCTTCTCGGTGCCGAGGATGGTAGGTAGGTCGACTTGCTCGCTTACTGCTCGCAGGAGGTATCGCGAGGGCTCGTAACGCGGGCAGTCTTGAAGGATATGCTTGCGCGTCTGGAAGGGGGCGCCACATGGGCAGTCATCATCTGGTTCGGACGGTACGTGGTAGCGGTAGTACTCGCCAAAATAGCCTTGTCCAGTTCGGCACTGTGTGACCCATCCGAATGTCACTCTCTTCAATTCCTTGAAGTGCGTGCGCGGCTTGTCCTTTGGGGGAAGGCGGTTGGCGGTCGCTTCGCGACCGCCCGCTGGGCTTCGTTTCCACTCGTCTTCCCAGGCCTTGTGTGCACGCTCCTTCGCTTCGCGGCGGGCTGCTGCTCGCGATGCGAGTCGGTGCGGTGGTGCTTCGTCTGCTGCATCCTTCGCGAGTTGGTCAGCCATCTCGTTCCCTGTGATTCCCTCGTGTCCCGGCGTCCACTCTACTGCCACTGTGTTCTCCGGGTTCGCGTCCAGGAATTGCATGATAAGCTCTCGGAATACAGCGGAGTGACCCTGCGCCGTCGATGTTCGTACGTTGAATATGGTGGAGATGGCGGACGTGTTGTCTGCGAAAAAGTACAGGTGCCGAATCTGCGAATCCGGGTGGTCAGCGATGTAACTCATGACGTCTCGGGCGGCCCACGACAGACTTGCCATCTCGGCGTCAAACACTTCTGTCCTCGGGCTCATGGAGATGCGTCTTCCGAAGAGCATGTGGCTCCTTGATAACGCGACGTGACTTGCTCCTACCCTCCGTCGTCCGGTTGGATCTGTGAGGAGGGATCCATCAGAGTATAACATGATGCAGTTGGGTGATTCCGAGAGTGTAAGTGCCTTCGCTTTGTGGGCCTTAGCTCTTCCTTGGTGACCCCTTTGACCGCTGGCGTGATACTGAGGCGGCCATTGAATGATGCTGGTGTTCGTCGCCATGGTGGGAGCGCGAGTGGTTCCAGACGTTCATTCTGGGGGTCGGAGAGGCTCGCGAGGTCGTTGAGCCTTGTTGATGCCGGTGGCTTGCGTCGTCTAGCGGTGACACGTCGGTGTGTCGGGCGTGGTGGAGGGGGTGCTTCAACTTGGTGTCTTTGCCACGTCTTGGGTAGGCGCTGGATGAACCCTTCGCCATAAACGGGGGGGGCTAAATCAGCAAGTCTCGTGATCGAATTGAGGTGAATGACCTCGCGCGGGCGTTGACCGTCGTCGTCGAGTTCGGGGTTGACGGGCCACATATGCGTGTCTTCATTGGGGCATTACCCACGGGAACGAACCACTCTACGAGCGCGCACGGGTACAGGACATGTTCCTGTCGGGAGAAGAGAATGCGGACACGAGCGACGTGGAGGGCCCGAAAGCCAGACTGTGAGCTGTCCTTGCTGACGAACACACAGTCGTACCGGCCAGGCGACGACCCGCTCCACGCACGAGTTGCCCGAATACGCTCGTGCTGCAATGACATGCATACCGTTCGATCCTGCCGCGTCCGTTGGTGCGAAGAACGTCGCGACCACGGAGTTAAACACCGAGACGCGGGTACCGTTGGTGATGCGCCGCAGGTATCGTTTGAGCTGCAGGTCCGAGGGTTCGTCCACATAGTCTGGGTGGCGCTGCCAGAAGAGAAACTGCGCGACGAGCTGCGGTAGCTCAGCACAAGCAATCTGGGCGCCGAGGTCGGTGAACGACCGTGTTCGATAGCCCGATGCTGAGAGATTGAAGTGTCAGCACGTATGCTGCAGTCATTAATGGACATGACGACACACCTGGACGACGCGGCGCAAGAACAACAAAAGCATCCACCACTTCTCCTTCCACTATATCGTCGGTGTGGAAGTCTTGGTCTTCCTCATTGCGCACACCGGTTTCAGCACCTGCTTCCGTGAGTCCGTCTCGTCGTTCGCCGTGTCTGTATCCGCGCCACCGAGCATGTTCTTCAGGGTTTGCCAAAGGACTGTCCCTTCGAGCATTCCACGCGCTGTGAAGTCTGCGCGGTAAGCTTGTCGAGTCGCTGGTTTGTCAGCAGCATCTGGCCCAGCGTGTCGTATCGATTTGAACGGCGCCAGGGTTTCTTCACTGCGTCGATGTGCTTCGACTCCGTGATGGAGGTGCATAGCCCGGCCATTGAGCCAAAATTGCGAATATGGCGCGAGAAATGCCCCGCGGCGTGTTGGCGAGGCTGCGAGAAGCCGTCAGGACACACGCCAGTGCGACGGAACATCTCGCGGTGGTGGTGGTACTCCTTGATGAGGGCCTCGACGAGCTCCGCGATGGTGTCGTCGGTTTGCATCAGTGCACGTATGAGGTAACAGATGTCCGAGAACGTACTGATGGTGCGAACGATCTCGGGAGGGACAAGGCTATGAATGGCAGGCAAATACACCTAAGTAGTATCAATTTGGTAAGTCTGTTACGATAGACAGGGACACAGCGGCGGTATTACCTTCATCGACGCCTTCGAGTCATCGCCGGTCCACTGCTTGACATCGCGGCCTTGGTGAAAATGGCGGAATTCTGGGAATGGCGGCATCGCGACGATGCTATTGTTCCATCACCGTGAGTACAAGCACCATACATCGACCAACGCAAGCAAGTTCACGTACCGTCGATCAATTTCGTCAAGGATCTCCTTCGCACCTTGTTCACCGTAGGTAAGAACAAGGTACTGACACGTCCAAGTGACCTGATGGTCCATGAAAGCCCCCTCGATGAGCTGGTACAGGATGTCGCCCGTCAGCACGTGGGAAGTCATTACTGAAAGGCTGTGTACGGTCAGTCCCTGGCATGCGGGTAGCGGTGAAGAAACATGCGGACTGGCAGAACTTGCGATGATATCGCTGATTATCCCGTAATCATCGCAGAGCGTCTTCTCGTCGAGGCTGTTGATAAGTAGCTCGCGGTGCTCCCGTGTACGGCGCCCTTGCGACAGACCCTCGTCGAGGTTCTTGTGATCCCCTGGACACCTGCAGCAGAACACCAGCGGATTGGTTAGTGGGAAGGCAATGAGGCAGTCAATTATAGACTTGTTGGAGGTACGTACGTGATACACCAGCCATACACCACACCCGCACTGAGAGCTTGCTCAGGATAGTCGAGGAGGTTGGGCCCAAGACCATAGATTGCACGGCGATAGTGACGACCCCAGCACTTGAGGATGTCAGGCTTTCGCATGTACGGCTTCAGCGGGTCGAGTATCATCGACATACTCGAGTGATACAGCTGGCGACGGAACTGGCGAAATGGTTTGCTGTTCGCGTATTCCTTCGCCGAACGGGCACCGCGTGTCCGCCCTTGTTTTGCTCACATCGGGGTGGGCGACGTGCCCAAAGGGCTCGTCTGGGTCCTGACCTTCGTCATCTCCAGCGGGCAGAGCGCGATGTCGGCGAAGGACTCGGCCGACGCGGAACCGGCCAGCCAGATCGCACCCTTATACTTGCTCGACGCCTCCTCGCCGGCCAGGTTCACGGATGCGCCCTTGAAGACCTCGTAGAGACCGTCCTTGAACATGCCCCGGAGCGAGTATCCGACGAACGTGGGCCCGACGCCTTTTACAGACCCGCAGAGGTTTCCTCTGCCACGATCGTGCGGATGCCAGTGAAGAGAGCGGTGTACTTGCCTGGGTTGACCCGCGCGACTCGTGAGCGGCCGCGCCTGCCAATGCGACAGGGCCACACATACCTGCGTATTACACTTCGTGACACCGAGAGGAGTGATACCTGCACGAGCGGCACCGCGCACGACTGATCATGCAATTTGTGTAGTATTCGCTTTCATGAGGGACGTGTCTGGAGACGTGTGTCGGCGACGGCTCTCGCGCGCATTATGCAAACGGTGCTCACCGCACATCTCACTCTCCAGAGCGAGCGAAGTGGGCCATGGGTAATTGTCCAGCGACGGGAGGACAGGGTAGAAGTCTAGGTGCTCGAGCGCCGCCGAGAACGTGGCGGAGGAGAGATGTGTTGGCCAACGCACGTCGTTGTTTTCACTCGGCTTGCTCTGAATTCTCCTGATCCCTCACGTGCGCGGGCCCTGCTGCACCGAAACGGCGCCGACAGCAGGTCGTCGGTATGTCGGTGGACGTCGTCCAGCATGGGAACTCAAGAGCCCCAAGTCCTACAGAGCACTGCTGGGGAAGCAGAGGGGAGACCGCTAAGTGACGCGTGCACCCGAGAGGTGGCCAGCCGGGATCGATGTGGTAATAGAGGCGTAGACATCCATATGTAAATGGTAGAACACTGCCAGTTGGTGTCTATTCGAAAGCTACTGCAGTAAAAGCTTGCCTGCCCACTGCGCGACTCGGAGCGGGCAGCACTGCTGCATTTTTTACCTGTTGGCTGAAGCGCAGCCACTTAGCCCCGTCATTCTCCCTGATGCCCGCCAAATAGCCCTTTGTGCTTTCCAGCCCGTGCTGCCACCAGCCCTGCAGGTCAGGGTCCTCCCTGAGCTTGCGAAAACCAACATCTTGATATGAGCCACTCGACCACTCATTAAGTGCAACGTTCAACTGCACCACAGCCATAAGCCTATACCACAAAGCGCGGAATGAGGAAACACGCACAAGCATTACAGCGCTAGCAATTGGGTCAACAGGAAACCCCCCAACTGGAAGTGGAGTATCCAGTTGTGGTTGAGCTTCGCCCCATATCATTATGACTGCTACCTCTTTGAGGGTGCTGTCTCCCAGATCTGACTGAGAGAGATGTTAGCGGCGCAGCGCAAGAGTGCAATGCTACTCACTGGATCGTCGGAACGAAGATACTGGTGGTTGGCCTTAACTGCTGAAACCTTCTGCTTGACATCGTCTGCACTGCTGCCTAGCAAAAACAGGTAGTTAGTCACGACGAGAATGCGCGCCCGGTCCAACCCCATCCGCAGCCTCTGGCTCTGGTGCGCAGAAAACGTGCAGCTGCGCAAGTCCTGCCACTCTGCAGGCAGCTCCTCCACACCCAGAAAGTCTTGCCAGGCGCGCGAGATCATAAAGAAGTGCTGAACGAGGACAGGGGGGAGGTTGTATGCAGCGTGGACCACGTCGGCGTTGACGCCGTAGTTCACTGCTGCGGTTTGGTTGGTGTGGCCAGCCATTCTGTTGAAAACTGTTGTCGCTCTGCCCTCTTCCAGCCCAGCAAGGCACGGTAGGTGCTTTGCCACAATGAAAGGCACAAGCTGCCGCATAAGCGCTGCGGTGAGCGTGAAGGGCACGCCAAACTCGCGCAGTGTTTTGCCCATTGCTCTGTTGATGTCGCTGCACTCCCACGGTGAGCGAAGAAATGCGGGGTGCGATATTGTGGCAGTAACGAAGATGTGTGTGTCGAGAATGTGGGTGGGAGAACCCTTCCTTTCCTTGAGAAGGGCTGCGATGATCGGACGAACAGAGCCAAGATAGGTGACCAGCGCGTCGGATATGGCATGGGGCAAGGCCCAAAGTGATGGCTGCGTGGCGCCTGCGTGTCCCTTTGCTCTAGGAGCGCAGAGAACTGCGCACTGACGCATCAGATACAGGTTTCTGAGGCAGCCGTCATGTTTCCGATAGCGCATCTCGGAGAGCTGGAATCCGCGCGGAGGGTTTCCGCACGTCAATAGGATGCTGGCAGCAAGGAACTGCTGGAATTCCAGATCATCGGCGAGGAAGAGGGCCAGAGCAGTGTCGTCAAAGGAATTGTGGCCTTTGCAAACTTTTGACCAAATGACTGCCATAGCGCTGTCACGAAGAGGTTTGAGATGCTGGGCAATATCCTGCGACTCCAAGAAGCTGTCGGCAGAGGTGGTGTTGTCAACTAGTAGCTCGCGGGGAACGCAGAGCTCGCCATAGGACGTCCCGCAGGGTTCTAGTAGCTTATTCAGCGAAGCAGCGAGCTTGGCCACAGCGAATGTTGCAGCGCCTTGCAGGCTCTGCATGGGGACTGCCTGGGAGCCAGGCGAGCGAGATTGCAGGGTTGCAACCTGTCCGTCGTTGTCGGCCCAGGCAAGCTGCGTCCGGCTAGGATAATTCAGTGCAGGGAGGTATACTGTGGTGTGCGTTGCCTTCATGCGATTGAACGCAGTCGATTTTGGCAAGTTGTCATCGCCCGGGCCGTCAGTGGGCAAAGGTGAAGTCCACTGAATATTAGCCTTCAAATAACTGAAGGCAATCAGCTGCAGATCACAGAGAGCAAAAACAGGCTTACGACAACAGCTGGTCTGTTTGGGGCGGAATAATCCCTTCTGCCTCTTCCTCGCCGCCTTCCTCTTCATCCTCCTCGCCGCCTTCCTCTTCATCCTCCTCGCCGCCTTCCTCTTCATCCTCCTCGCTGCCTTCCTCTTCATCCTCCTCGCTGCCAACTTCATCCTCCTCATCATCCTCGTCCTCATCAACGTCAGCGACATCAGCCCCTCCTCCTTCACCACCTTCATCAGCTTCGAGGGTGGCCTGCTCCTCGCCAGCATCAGCAGGCACCATATATAACTCGAAGTTGATCAATTTGTCGTTTGAGAGCCGGGCGTCATGAAGGGAGATTGAGCGGAGAACGTATTGCCACGCGCTACAGGCATGGGTCACCGAGTTAGGGTCAGGATTCCACCGCCCGTCGGGCTTGAGGGCAGACAATACAAGGATGACATCGACAGGCCCAGAGACTGTCTGCTGCGCGCTCAACTCAGACTTGAGAACCTGCTTCGACAAGTTGTGGAAGCAGGCGTGCATGCGCCTGAGGTCTTCTGCTGTGGCTGCAGGCCCCAGTTCGCCTAGGCGAGACACGGCCACAAGCAGGGCATCGCGGGCTGCTCGCAGCTCTCCAAGGTTGAGAGCACTGAGAAGGGCTTTGAGCCGCGGATCGCACTTTGCAAGCTCCGGAGCGCGGAGCAAAACTGCAAAGAGCTTATAGAACATGGCCCTGTAGCGGAGGAGGGTAGCTCGGGCGACATTCCGGTACGCTGATCTGGATTTGCCGCTAAAATGTGCATTATTACGCCTCTGCCAGCACAAACAGAATTGGACTGTGCTGCTTACCCAACCGTGCGGACTAGCGCTCTCCGCACCTGAGAATGGCAAGCTGCAGCGTGCGCGTTCGCATTGCACAGGTAGCGGAAACACCATGCAGCAACATAAAGAAGCCCTTTCTCTAAGTTTGCGCGTGCTTGATCGGTACCAGGCACGATTACGGTGACTGGCGGTGCAGCGAGTGAAAGGAGAACGCCAAGCGGTATCTTCAGCTTGCTGAGCCACAGAGGCCATCCCAGCGTGGCGTAGCAAGCAGGTGGTCCGTCCGCTATGCGGGAAGCCGAGAATACTGGGATCGGAGGGGGAGGTGGGCGGCCAGCTGGAGCGTGCAGCAGCACTTCTGACGCAGTGGTAGAGGTGGCAGCAGAGCCAGAGCTAGAGCTAGAGCCTGCCTGCTCGGGCAGCAGCGCAGCGGACCGAAGCAGAACATGGAAGTCTCCAGAAATACGCGGGCGGCAGTTCACCAGCACAGCGGCATCAAGGCGTCTGCCGAGTTTGAGCACCCAGCAGGCAGGGGTACTGCTCAACTGCTTGATGGCATTTGTACGGTTCTCATGCACAGGCGTCGGAATGGTAGCCTTGCATGTCTGGTACACGTGGGCAGTGATGTTGCCAAACTGCGCGGGGTCCTCTTTCCATCCAGGGGGCGGTAGAGACCTTCCACAGTCGTATTGTCTGTTGTACCAGTTCAAGCAGAACGGGCATTGAAGCTTGAGCTCGGCAGGTGGGAAAGAAGAGATGGTGTACGAGACCTCCTTCAGACCTGCCATGCTGGGGAGGGTCCTCGCCACGGAGTAGTGTTCAAAGAGATGGTCAAGGGCCTTCTTTGCGACGTGCATGAAGTTGTGGCCCAGAGCTGACTTTCCTGCGCGCTTCTTGTGCTGGCGCATCAGATGCTGAAGAAGCATATCAAGCGGAAAGATGGTCTTGCAGGCGCAGCAGATGGTGACGCCGGCCTCAAAGTGGATATCCAGGCCAAAGTAGTCCAGAACTGCGCAGGTACACTTGGTGCAGCCTTTGGACGCATCCAAAAGCCCGTGGTTCTCGTGAGTGTGCTCCCCATGGTAGCAACGGTTGCTGTCGTAATGGTAGGTATCGACGCCGTCCTGGTACACCAGCTTGTCTGTACGATGCGGGACAAAATCGGAGGCAGCTGGTGGTGCTTGCATTGCGGCAGGGGGCACAGGTGAAGCACCGCCCCTGGATGGGGGCCTTGAGCCTTCAGAATGGCCGTCCGCTTCTTCAGAGTAGTTGCTTGCTTCATCAGAGCCGCTGCCCGCTTCGCTGTCCCTGTTATCCCCCCCTGCTGCGAATAGCTGAGGATATGACACCCATGCTGCTAGCCGGGTAAACGCACCTGTATTTTGTCGAGTCACTGCTGCAGCCAAGCGGCGGGGCCGGAGGCGCCGCGCAGGGGGTGGCTCTGGGCTGCTACGGCGCGGGCGCTTTGGGACGACGATCTCCACGCATTCCCTGAACGTGCGCTTCCTAGCCATGTTGCTTTTGCAGGGAGTCTCATGCAAGCGTCAGTACTTGCAGGTTCAGCTGTTGAATGTGGACAAACTCACAGATTCAGCTGTATTGGTTGGTGCCTCTGCAACGTAGCACTTGAGCGCCGCGTCGCGACGTGGTGGGCTTTGATCACATGTCCGCGAGATTGCAGATCCGGCAGACGCGCCGCAACTTGCGCACCGGAGCAGGGCCACCTCTTTCTCTCTGCCAGCCTTGTGCTGCCTTTTTGTTGCCTGCATTTATTATGTGTGTCTCAATTGCAGCTCCAAGCAGTATGCAGAGCGCATATAATTGTGTCAATCTGCGTGAACTTCCGGTCTGCGGATCCGCCAATGCTACCAAGCCGCCAAACCACGCACACACCATTCGCGACTCACTATGTGCCACCACTGCTCGCCATGCTACCGCTTTCATCCTGGCCCCGCATCGCAAACACTCTGGACATGCACCTCACGTGGGATGTCCCCGGACCAACTCCGAGACGTTGTCCCCTGCATCGTACCCTCGTTGAAGCCCCTCGGCATCTTCTGCGCCTCGATCTCAGCAGGATCTCGCGCCCTCAGCGCCAGCAAGCCGAGCGCGAACGGGAGCGTGGGCGGGGCGATGCGCCGGAAGAGCTGCAGCGCAAAGAGCGCGGTGCCGCCGCCACCAAGCTGCGGGACGACGCCGGTCAGGGCTCGTTCTCAATGGGGGGCGCGGCAAAGAAGGGCGCACCGCGGCGACGAACTGGCGATCGCGGGCAACAAGCGCGCAATTCCGCTGCTGTAGCCCGCAGATAGCGACCGCCGCGCATGAGGCAATCTTCGGGATGTACGCGTGTAGCATCCGGGAGTGCAGCGAGCTGGCGGGCGAGGCTGCCAGGATCGTAGCCGTCTTTGAGGTCGAGCTCGGAGCTGCGGGAAGAGCGCGGGGCGGAGTTGGCGCTGGAGGCAGGGCAGTTGCAGGTGCGCTCCGTGCGCACGCCGCGAATGGCCTTGGTCTTTTTTGCCGTGGAAGTAGTTCTCGATGGACATGCACTGGAGCTGGGAGCGGACAAAGCGGAGGGAGGCGAAGTTACGGCGAGCGCGGGGACGGTGCGGGCGCCCGCAAGGGCCGAGGGAGGGACTCGCAGCGGGCGTGGCGGAGTGCGGGCGCGCCAGCAACAGGGCTGGGCCTGTTCCCGGGAGGAGGGGCGGGCGGAGGTATTCGTGCGGGCGCGGGCGCGCTTGCGGTCGGGGGGCTCTTGCCGGCCATGATATAGGGCGATGCGCCAGGGCCGGCGGTTTGCGCGGCAGCTTGGAGACGCGGCCAAGAGCGTGGGGGACCTGTGCGCAAAGCAGCCAAGCGCACGCTTTAGTGGCCGGACCGGCTCGCGGAGAGGGGGATCAGCATTTGTCCCCAAGGGGCCAGAATGAAGTCCCGCACTTTCCGCATCTGAGCCAGCCCAAAGCCAGCCCCAGACGCACCACGGCAGTGGCTGCGGCTGCGGGCGCATGCGGGCTCTCGCCACTCAGAGGAGGCGTTGGACCTGCAGGAAAATTGCTGGAGAGGCCAGCGCGGAATCAGGGAGAGGGAGCTGCAGGTCCCTGCTCGCTGCGATGCGCGAATGTAGGGCGTGGAGCCGCGCGACACTTGGGGGGCTCCGGCGCAGCGGAGGCCAGCCTGGCGCAGGGGGAGGCTTGGGAGAAGAAATTGGTTGGCCTGCACCGGTGCTTGCGGCGGGCTCGCCGCGCTCAAGGAGGATGGCAGACGCGGTCCTTGCTCCCTGGATGGGCGCGCGCGGCTGCCAAAACCAGAGGGCGGCGCTGAGATTGGGTGAGAGGGGGTGCTGGGGGTGCTGGCCCGCTGCGAAGCGAAGCGAGGCGCGGTGCGGCGCGTCTGTGGCATTGTTTGGCCCCTGCCCAATACGGTAAGTGCCGACTGGGCTTTGCAGCACTGCCGTGGTGTTGTCAGCCTCCACGAGTGACTATATCCCGAGGGTCTTCGCATACGTGTAGAGCTGCTGCTGCGCTCGCCGTCCGTTAAATGCGTCCATGGCTGCTCCTTTCTCCTTTCTCCTAGGTTTGCACGACCGCTCGCGACGACAATGCCAGTCGTCGTCATTATGTCTCCTCCAAATACCTTTGCATCTCTTGTGATGTAATGTCCGACAGAGTCGGGACGAACCGCCACGGTGCGGCCCTGAGGCGTCTCAGACGCCATCACACGAGAGCCACCTCCCGGCCCAATCGACTGCACATCCACCATGGAGAAGTTCGTGCGCATGCCTCCTGCTTCAATGAACGACGCTACCTGTCGTAGGAACCCAGACGGAAGCACGCCCACACCGGTAGTTGTACCGCCGACGTCGGCAACAATGATCGACTTGCGTTGTTGTCCTGTCCGTTTTTCATCAGGGCCAGCCAGGAACACGGCACCCCGCATTGAGTTCGTTGGTCCTGACGCAAACGTACGGATGGGTAGTCGCGCAGCAGATGCTGCGGAGGTGAGGGTGCCGTCGTTCTGCGTAAGGAATAGAGGACACGTGAGGTTGAGAACCTTCATGGCAGCCTGGGAAGCCGAGGATAGTTCTTTGGGCGAACGTCAAGATGGAAGCGTTCAGAATGGACGCATTTTCGCGCTCTAGGAATCCGACTTGACCAACTGCGATGGACGATGTCAATAATGATGCAGTAGCGAAGAAGATTGCTTTGACCATTTCGCGAGCAGACAACGTTGACCCTGTCACCTGAGACTTGTCGGATGATCTTGGCAGCAGCTTGCTCTTGTTTTCCGTCGTTAGCGAGCGGAGAAAACACGCCGCAAATGACGACCTGACAAGGTTTAGCTTTCTCGGAGGCCCTGAGGAAAATGTAATGAACCCCTACATCCCGCAGACCCTCCCAACTCAGCACGGTTTCCTACGTCGCGGTGAAGCATCCGCGCGCCCGGTACCACGCAAACTGCATCACCATCGGACAGCCGAGCTACATGGGGGCAAGGGAGACGGATGAGCCTCCTTTGCGACGAAGACAGTACAAGAAGCGACGACATACCGTCTTTGTTGATGCACTCCACGCCGTAGCCCGCGAAGCATAGAAGTTCACTGTCCGTGATCTCCACTATGATCTTCATCTGCTTCTCCACCTCGTCGCACTTGTTCGATTCAATTGTGAGCGGAGGATCTCGGCGGCGACAGCGGGTGGGGGTGCGGACTGATGGTGCAGGTCGGCGGCGTTGTCTTGGGGTGCTACGGGGATAGGTGCATCAGTAGTGGCGGTCGTGTCCTGAAGACGTCGACATAAGCGAGGCCATTGGGGACTAGGTTAGTGATCGGCTACGGGCACGCAAATGCGTCAAGGGCTGCATTGTGAGCGTCGAGACTCGGGACGTACGTGGATACCATGTCTGGGAAGATACATGATGACCTTCTCTCCGTTCCCCGCAGGGCTTTCAGTGGGATGTCACTCTCTGCCCCCACGTCCCAAAACCAGGGTACGTCTACCGCACGCACATCTGGCGCGCCCACCAGAGCGACGCCGCACCTCCACTCGTCCGCGACGCCCCTTGGCCTCACCGGCTCCATGTGCGACCCCACGCCCGCGAACTGTTCCGCCCGCCGCTTCGGAAGCCACGCGTCCTGGATGAAATACCGTTTGCTGTCGACCGGGGGGCGGAGCCTGAACGTCGACCTCGAGGATGACCTCGCGCATGTGCCGCTGGCCGGCGAGAACGTATGAGGATCCGAATGATCCCGGTTCTTGGGTCAGTCCTGAATTGCGAAGCGGACGGGATGTAAGGCATGCGCCATTCGCCAACGAAGCACAGAGCACACTTACTGCCAATGAATGAGGTGATCTCATATCTCATGTCGAGTTCCTCCAGAGTTGACGTGGTTTCTAAAACCAGGTACGAGGATCGTAGAGTCGTCAGGTTCTAAGGCATGTGAAGGGCTCCTGCTATTGAGCTCGAGACCATCATCTGCCGTGATTATCGTCGGTGAATCCGGCCTCGACAACGGCTGTTTCGCTGCAGGAGGTTCTGACTGGACAATATTGCTATCCGGCCTCAGCGCTACATCCTCCGCCCGCGAGCGTGTACTGTTATCCCGGCTCAGCGGAGGCATAAGCGGTGCCTTAGCAGCGACGCTCGTCCCTGGCGGGCCCGGGAAATTGCTCAGTAATAGGTCACTGGTCAGTGTGCTCCTCGTCGCGCGCGTGTCATTGCTCCTATCGCGCCTTTCCGTCAAGAACGGCGGGCGGTTGCTGAACATCATCGACGTCGAAAACTACATCGGGCACGAGTCGCCCGAGTCGTTGCTGCCTGCGGGCGAGAACAGTCGGAGGGCGACGATCGACTTGTCGAGCTCCTCCTGTTGCTGGATGAGCTCCGAGATGCGGGAGGAGCATGCGGAGCGGATAAGACCTGAAGGCAGCCGGAGGCCACCCTCATCGTAGCCCTCGATGATCTCGTCGATCCCAGAGAGCGCCGAGCCGATTGCTGGGTGTGGGGACTCCTCGTGGATGGCGAAGGTCGCATCATCGACACTCTGGTCAATGGTGGCGGATAGGGAATGGTAAGTGGAGGGACTGTCAGCTCGGGTGTGTCCGGTGAGAACGCGCGACTGAGGACGCCACTCTCGCGGGCGTCGAGCGCAACGGATGAGGCTGCTCGGTCACCACCATAATATTTGAGCATCGCATCGGGGGACGCCGACTTGATGGAGGTCGAGGGCCATTAGTAGCACCGAGGTGTATACCGGGTCCTGCCAAAGACTTTGTCTGAGGACGAGGAAGAAGCCTCAGCGACTGCGAGTTTGCGACGCAGATCGCGATGGACGCGGAGCTGCAGGTACTCTGCAGCAGGAAGCTTGGGCCCAAGGGTGCGCCGGGCGACCCAGTGGTGGAGCGATACGACCTTGAGCGCCAGAAACAGCCCGCGGTGGAGAGGGCGAGCGAATCCAGGGTGTTGTGGAGCAGCCAGAGGAACATAGCTTCATTCACTTTCTCGATGAACAGTCCTTGCAGATCTGCATAGTATACCCTGTGGAGGCAACGGTAATCAGTCCGGTGGCACTGTATCCTCCAACATCGGTGATGAAAAGAAGAGGGATTGTAAAACTGGCGCCGCCCGCTCACGACGTGCAAGGAGACTTGCCTGCAGACCGCGGATGCATCACCCAGGCCGATCCCCAACACGGACATTGATGCAGGTCTGTAGTGTGCAAAGTGTCCGTGGACACTTGCGAGCGGGCGACGTAGAAGAATAGGGAGGGGTATGTGGGTAGCATAGTCGACGGCCACCCACGCCAAACGAAGCAAGCCAGAAACATACCTGGGTTGAATTCCCTATGATCTCCTGCATCGTCTCCACTCGGGGGATGGGCATTTCGTGGTCTTCGGGTTCGCGCGCCGTTGGTCCAGCTCCAATGGGAACTCGCGAGAGTTGACGAGTAGATGACTTCGGAAAACTATGGGGTGGTAGGGGGTGGTGAACTGCCTCGAGCCGATGAAGTCGTCCAATCGGATTGGAAGGTCTGCGGTAGCGACATACTTGACGCACCGCGCGGTCAACGTTAAAGCACTGTTGCGAAAATTGCACGCCAAGCAGTATGTCGCAGACCTAGTTAAAGACAGCAGGGCAATGAGACGAGGATCTTGGATGAGGGCTGAGCTGCTTACGGTGCCAATGTCTGCGCTGTCGCCTCACCTTCCTGTCTTGCAGCGGCACCGCAATGATCAGCCGCCGCCCGTTCCACATGACGCCCGCTGTGCCCACACACAAACGAGCTCGTGAGCAAGACCATCCGGGATGTATGCTACGGCGTACCTAACGGTGCCGCCCATGTCCGACCATTCCGCGCGCTGCGTGGTTGTTCCCGCTGTCCGCGTCATCTCCAAGCGAGGTGACCGCAGGCCCGTTGTGCCGCGCGTTCAAGGCTCGAGAACGATTAGGCAACGGTCAGGTGGCAAAAAGGCAAGAACGGTCACTCGTGGATGGTTCTTGCTGACTGACCAGCACCTTGCAGTGTCGGAAGACGAGCACACCAGCCAGCCTATCGCGCTCTGCAAGTGCACCAGCGCAGGCGACCAGAGGCACCCAACAGACACCTCTGGCGCGCGGAGGGTGTGCATGAAGCTGACCTAGCAGCTGTTGACATGATGTGAGTACTGGACACTGGTCAACCAGCTGGTCATATTTGCGCGAGATTGTCGCCTTGGAGGACAAGGGCAGGTTCGTGCGCTGCAACACGGGTGCAGTCGATGACTGGACGGGCTGTCCCAGCGTGACCACATCGTCTCCACATTCGTGGCCGCAAGCCTGTCGTGCAGCGCACCCAGCGAGGGATGAGCAGACAGCAGACTGAGGTGGCAAGAAGGTATCTGTACGGCCTTGACCATGAGTGAGTACCCTGCCATCATCCACATCAATGCCGACCAACCTGCTACGAGGAACGAGGAACCCTCAACGAGCACTGTACGCATCTGATTCGTCCCTCGCACCGAGGCGCAAATGTCGTCCCGCCCTCCTCGACATTGCTTCCTCCTTCCACGCCCCGACCTCTGTCACCGCCGTCAACACTCCGATTGATATGTCAACACCACCTTACTCACCTTCATCGCCGCATTTGATGCCCCCTCCCTCGCTGGTCGTGGCATCGTCACACGGGCTAGTTGTGCTTGCTGGAATCTGACGTGTGGCGTCTCTGTCGTTGGACTACGGCAGCGAGCAGCACTCTTCTGGACATGTTGCTTCCTGTGTGTCACGTCACTTGATCCTCCAGGAGTTGGTTTGCCTGGCGACGAGATGTAGTGTCTTCACCAGTGGCAGGTGACAGCAAAAAAAATGCCGCACAGGGACATGCTGTGTGCGGAGTTGCCCATGCTTCCACACCCTGCTCAAGACACGCCTGCCCGCTGCCGAAGCAACCAAACCGTGGCAGTCCTGAGCGACACCTTTTTAACAGTGTTTTGATGTCTCGACATGGGACTAACTCGCATCAGCTTGCCCTGCCCACCATCTGGGCTGGTACCCTTCTCGTCCGAGCCGGCATCCTGGATCGCAAAGTTGGGCACGAGCTCCTTGAAGCCACTGCAGACGACGGCAACGCGATACATAAATACGCAACCCAGTCAAGCACAAAGACAATATACGCACAGTAATGGCCAGCGGCTGCAGCTCGTGGCGAACCGGAGGAGCTTCCTGCGCTGCTGATGGTCGAGAACATTGACGACTCTCCAGAACGCCTGAATCGTCGACTTTTGGTCGCCGACCGCCGTAGTTCGTGTTCTGCCAGAAATCGTCCAGGCGCGTTCACGCCGCCGAGCAGGATCTAGAGCTCCTGCTGGTTGAACATCCGCAACCACCGCGGCGTGATCATCTCCGAGAGGCCCTCGAAGAACGCCTCGCTCTGCTCCTTGATCTGCTTTGTCAGTCGGTAGTGGCTCACGAGGAAGATGTACTGCAGCCGGTTCTCGGGCGTGATGACGATGTTGCTCCCGTTCGGGATGAGGTCGACTGTGCGTGCGACGTCGAACTCTTGCACCACAACGGTGAAGTTGAGCGAGAGCTCTTCGGGATCGCCAGTGTTAATGCTTGAGGAAAATGAGTCCCTGATGGAGCTCTGGATCGAGCCAGGCCAGGAAGGACTGCTGGCCGAGCCACTGGGATGCGAATGAGTCTCCCGATCGAACGACGACGTCGAGCCGTGTACTCACCTTTGCAAGAAAGAACCCGGCAAACGCCACGTCGACTATAATCCCATCGTACAACGCCTTCCCCAGTATCCGCCCAATGAAGCGATACCAGGTCAAGCTATGCGCTACATACCACACAATCAGCGTCCACCCACACCTTTTCAAGGGACCAAACACTCACCCTCCGTCGCATACGAATGCGGGTTCGAATACAGCCCATTCTTCTTATTCGCCGACCACAGTCCGCGGCCCGTATGGACCACCTCCTGACACAGACTCGTCAAGAACTCCTTAAAAGACCCCCTCCGTCGATCCCCGCCTCCCCGTTCCTGAGCTGATCGACAAGCGTGATCGCGACGGGCGCGTGCAAGTCGATGTCGCCTAGGTGTTCGAACCCGCCCTGTGCGACGCTCTCCCGGCGCACGATCACCCGTGTTTTGGGATACAATGCGTGCCGCCTCGAGGTGGAGAGCAGCCCGCGCGCGACAAGGTCCGATGCGACGAACTGCCGGAAGATGGACACGCGCACTTCGAACGGAATCGCGAACGGGATATCGTTCAGCACCCCGAGGCGCGGGCTCATGTATGCGACTTGCCACTTCGTGGGCGTGCGCGCGTTGGATGACTGTTCGAGGTTCCGTTCTTCGAGGCTACGATGATGGAAGGTAAGAGTCAGCATACGAAGTGGTGGTTGCAGGACGTACATGGCAGCCTGGATGAACGGGATCACGTCGACCTGAGAGGTGACAAGCCAATGATCGGGCAGCTTGAACGGCCGGCGAGTCGCCGAGAGCTGCATCGCGAGGGGCGTGAGCACCTTGTACAGCGAGTTGTCAGGGTGCTTCGAGTCGCACACCGCGGACTTGGGGGGTGTCCGCCTTCACCTGCACGTCCTTCACCGTGAACGGCTGTTGCTGCTGAGCAGCACGTCAGGGAAAGCGTGCCCGATCATGTTGAGGAAGCTGGTCTTGCCGGGGAATTGTCATGTTGACGAACCTGCCTCCTTCGCCTGCTGTGCCAGCACCCGCATACACCATCGCAGACACTATCAGCCAAACACGCGCCTTCAAGATGAAGCATAGGCTACGCACCGCCTCGCCGCCAGGATCATCTGCGCCTTCCGCTCGCGCAAGCTCGCCTCCCGCTTCTCCGCGTTGTCCTCCCAATCCGCGCGCCCAGCGACCTCCTCGGGCGTCCGCGCCTCCACGACCTCGGACGACACCGCGACGCGGCCCTCGAGGTGGATGAGGTTCGCGGATTTGGACTGACTTAAGATCGAGGGCGCGGCGGGGGCTGTTGAGTCGAGGGCGCGCGGGTAGAGCGTGTAGTACGCGGATGGTGGCTGTGGGGTGTGAGCGTTGTAGCAGATCGGGATGGGTGGACAGACGTACTGCGGGGAGGAAGCCGCGCTCGAGGATGGTGTTGATGGATGTCTGCACGTATCCCGTTCATAGGAGGTCGTTCCGACTCGTATCGTATATTATCGCTGTCCGTGCCGCCACTTGTCAGCCGCTCTATCTGCAGAGCTCTGGGGTACAACGTACCTCGGTATTAGTCTGCTTCAAAATGTGGGCCCCATACCGTAGCAGCCCTTAGGCGGAGTTACATAAGCTTGTTCATCTCCGAAACGCGCGTGTAAATCTCGACGCGCGCGACGCGTCCGACGCGTCGCGTCGCCGCCTCAGTGTGCTCGTCTCCTACTACTACCACGAAATCCTGTATGGTAGGCATGTCCTAATAGAATGTCGTACAGCGGGAACTTGCCAGGGTCATCTCCGCCGTCTTTCACTTCATTCAGCTCCCCTGACGGCCTCGCATTCTGTCGCACCATCGCGTCGCAGTGTCTGCCATGGGATCCGCACGACTCTTACCAACTCGAGGGCGCCTGCAAAGCATTGGACGGCCTGGATGTCTTTGCGATCACGCCTACAGGTTCAGGAAAAACAGGCTTCTTGCTGATTTACATTCTAGTGGCTCGGGCAATCGCCTATAACCGTTCACTGTGCCCGGAGCCCTTACGCGCGCGGTTCAAGGCCAACCCTTGTATGATGGTCATCTGCCCTACGAAGGCACTCGAACATGACATGGTGAGTACCTATCTTGTATCGCAGGTATATATGTGTCTGACTTCGTTGTCTCAATCGCAGGAACCCAACTTCCAGGCGGCAGGGCTGCGCACGCTGGTCATTAACGCGGACACCACAAGAGCTGCTCTCGCGCGTCGCGACGACGTATGGAAACTCGCCGCGGCGGAGCGAGATGTCATACTGCTCTCTCCGGAACAGCTCGCTACGTCTGGCTTCCGCAGGCTCATGGACGAAAGGACCTTCTAGTAGCAGGTACGCTGTATACTTTGAGTGTGAGGACCCCGCAAACGTAAAGACCATGATCTAATGATCCACAACTTGTCATTGACTGAACGGTACGGCGTGGGAATTGAACGATCACTGCACGTACCTTCAGAGCCTCATACGCCCAACATCACCCTCGCAGGTCGCTAGCACAAACTCTCGCAAGACGACGGCGTCGCGCATGGGGGCGATTGACTGAGCAAGAGCGCGATCACCCTGAAACTCGTAAGGCTCGGACAGCGCGCTCTCCTCTCCTGCCGCGGACTGAACCGCTTGCTGCAACTCGCCGGAGGAGCGCGAGGATGTGGCTGCGGTGAGAGGCGTCCAGCGAGTTCCGAATTGGGACAGTCTTCTCCCATGGCGTTGGCTTGTCGACTGGCCCGTCCGGCGTGGGGTTCAAGTTGGATGGCAGCATCGTCTTGCAGTCACAATCTGACTGTGCATATACCGCCCGTTCGTAACCGCGGCTGGTCGAGTAGGCGCGATAGAGTGAGAGCGCTACATCCTCTAACTCACCGAGTGATGGCAGTGTCTTCTCCTCCGCACGTTTCGCGAAGTATGTGAATAGATCAGGTGTGTCCCAGTGCAGACTGGCCGAAACACAGTTAAAACACAGCAGCATTGCTTATGCCAGAGGACAGTGACGTACCGGAAGCAGTCCAAAATGCGTGCATCGAGCACCGTGAATAGCGTCTCCATGCCCTCATTGTAATCGACCTTACTCAGGTTCGACGGAGGCTTGCGTCCCATTTTATTTGCGCTGTGTCCGAGTGTTGACAAATCTTTGCTCAAGGGCAGTCCCCAGTGCCGCGAAAAGATGCGTCCGAGGTCTGTCCAGCCTGGCCACTCAGCCAGTACGACGACGACTATGGCTCATAATTAACGAGTTGTGATTAAATCATACACAGATCTGAGGGCAGCCACAGGCCGACCTGCTCTAGCCACCGGAATGGTTCAGCCATCAGACAATGGATAGCGTAAGGGCTGCTCCAGTATCAGAGGCGCGTTTTGAAGCAGACCCTTAGAAGACCTCCCCACTGACCGTCCAAGAGGTCTTCTTTAAGGTCTGCCTAGGGGAGACTACCTCGGTATGTCAGGAAACATAGCAATCCATCCACCGGGCTGTGGCGCGGACGCGCGGGCCGGGTGGCACGAGCGGTCGGAATCCGAAATCCGAGCGCGACCGTGGCCAGCGGTCAAGGTTGTGGAGGTGGCGGCGGCCAAGAGCAGCGCGTTGGGCGCCGCTCGGCCCGCTCAATCTCAATGCAGGCTCGTGACGCTCGACGCCCTTGGGGTCGAGCGCGTCGTCGGCCACGTCGAGCACGTCATTCGGCGCCGATGACATATATTTGTAGTCGCGGCGCATGTGCGAGCACGCCACACTAGTACTTGGGTTTACGAGGTTCGGCTCGGACTCGCGGTACACGACGTATGGTCGTGTACCAACACCCTCACGATCACGGACACGAATGTGCTCGTTCAACTCGGGCGCAGGCTTGCCGATGGTGCATCCGACTTCGACGCGTCCGCTGCCACTCTTCCGAGTGGCCGCAAACTTCGTATCCGGGACTCTCGGTGGGTCTGAGCAAGCTCGGCGGTAATCTCCGGCCGTTCAGTGCGCGTTGCTCGTTTGACCTTACGAGCCAACGTAGCTCGTGTGGTCAATAATTGATGCTTCTTGATGCGTACACTAGTGTTGCACCCTCCCCCCTCCTCCATCTCCTCAGACAGTGATGGAAATGTGCGGAGTAGTACACTGGGTTGTACGACACATGCTGCATTATGAAAGCTGCTATTACATACGTCGAGCGATGTGCTCGGCATGCTGTAGTGTGTACTATACTCACCATGATTGAGCTTGATGAAACCTACGTCAGATGCTAATGTTGACGTAGTGTCCCTGGTGCTCAGTGAGCCAGACTTGAAGCGAATCGCGGCGAGCACGTTGAGGCGTGTATCACGCGCGACGAAACAGTAATGAATAGGAGCTACATTGAATGCCAAGCTCGGCATAGCGTCCACCATACAGGAGTCACGGAAGTTGACCATGCGTATGCCGAGCGATATGCTCGGCGTATCCACTGTGTGCATTACTAGAACAAGGGTATAATAATCAGCGGCGAACACGTTAGTGCGCGCGCTGCCAATTTCAATGGTATATACATCGAGCGATGTGCTCGGTGTACCCGTGATGCGTCGTGTGATTGCGGAGAGATTGGACATGTCAAGTTCAGTACAGCGAGTACTGTGCTGAACGCAAAGATCGGTGGAATCAAGTAGCGGTGGTACCCAATAGCCCTCTTTGCAAGTTCTGCAGAACTGTCATTCGCAACCACACGGCCTCGCCGCGCGCCGGGTATATTCGCGCGTATACCGGCGACGCCAGAAGCAGTGCGTACATTGCACTTCGATCTCGGCAAACGCACTGCATGAAGTGCGTTCATTGAGAGACAGCACGGGGACATTCCCGGGTCATCGCGAACGAACTGTGCACCGAATATGTTCGAGCGCATACGGAACACACCACAACGTTTGGCGGCAGCATGCGTGTCGAGCAATAGGCTCGGCACACACTGCGCGATGCGTGTCGCCGCGCACAGTGCGGGAGACGACAGATAATCCTTCTTGCAGGGCTAAGGATCTCTATCCATGGTCAGCAACGCGCACAACGAACGTTGCGTTCGTCGGTACGCCTGCGGAAGTGGGCCTGTAGTGTCGGGACACACCGAACGCGTGGCCATACTTGTTCGGCGTGCAGCTGTGCACGAGTACGAACTAGGTCGTCCCCGGGCACGGAGATGTGAGACCCGCGGTGAGCAGTGTGCACAACAAGCTCCGCGCTTGTCGGTACATCTGTCCGCGTGGACATGGGAAGAGACAGGGAGTGGACCGACACGCCCGATGAGGACGTACCTGCGATAGTCGAGCGGTCGCGCTCGTTTTCCTGGTCTCCGCGGCGGCCGTCTTCCATCTCTTCCTCTGCCTCTACGCAGTCCTCTCCCTCCTTCTCCTTCATCTCTCCCTCCATTCCTGCTTGCTCCACGCATATCGCGTCCTGGCTGCTCCTGTCGCCCATGCCACAAAGATTCGGTCCCAGGGCGCCAGAGTCAAGCGAGAACCCTCTCGAGCCAAGGGAAGAAGGATCGGAGCGTGGACGAGGCGCCGCAGAGGAAGGATAGGGCGATCTTGTACCGCTAATCAGGTCGCGCTCCGCTAACTGAACTGAGTGTAGTTCGGCTAGCCAAGGGCGGAGGCGGGCTCGCTCGTCCTTTGGGACGGCGCGTGCATCTGGGTCGCCAGGCGGGCGCTCGTGTCGGTTGCCCGTAGAGGTCGTGGTCGAGCGCAAGGCGCTGGGCGCCATCACTCGGAGCACTCGTCGTCGGCACGGGCTCGTGACGCTCGACGCCTCCGGGGTTGAGCGTAACGTCGGCCGCGTCGGGCGTGTTGGTTGGCGCGAATTCAATGTGTTTCATGCCGCGTGTGTGGTCCACCGTGCGCACGACGAGCGATGTGCTCGTTGGTATGCCGGGTAGCGTGGATCCCGTGCGGATATGCATATCTTTCATATCAGTGTGCCTAGTGCCGAGTACGACCTGTAGGTCGTCCCCGGGCACGAAACTGGATCTTCCACGAATCGCACACACGACGAGCCCCGCGCTCGTTGGTACCCATGTCCGTACGGACATGGAGAGACATTGAGGAGGAATCGACACGCCCGATGAGGACGTATCTGCGATGTTCGAGCAGTCGCGCTCGTCCTCCTTGTCCCCGCGGCCGGTCTCCGTCTTCTCTTTCCCTGTGTAGCCCTCGTCCTCCTCCTCCTTCCTTTCCGCAGTCTCCTTGCTGCCTCCTCCCTGCGCGTGCATTGCATGCTGCGCATTCCCGGCCTGTTCGCCCGACACGGGATTGGTGCGCTCGTCGCGCGAGTGCTGGGCCGCGCGGCCGGTTTGCGCATCGCCAGGGCCGCAAAGGTTCGGTTCGAGAGCGCCAGACTCAAGAAGGGAGTTCTAGAGTCATGGCACGGGACGCTAGAGGGAAGGTGAGGAGCCGGGAAGGAAGGTGGTCGTGGTCGAAGGCTCTGTGGTGGCGGTCGAGTGCAGCGCGTTGTGCGCTGACGCCCGGAGCGCCCACCCTCGACGCGGGCTCGTGACGCTCAACGCCCTTCGGGTCAAGCGCGTCGTTCGTCGCGAAGGAAATCTATTTTGTGTCACGGCTCGTTTGCGAGCGCGCCGCGACATTCATCTTTGCGAGACCCGGCTTGGTCTCGTAGTAAACGACATCAGAGCCAGATGCGAACTCGGAGGGGGCAGAAGCATGACCACCTCGACAGAGGCGGTTAGTTGCAACAGGAAGCTGTCACGTACCAAAGGCTCAGTCACATGTCCGCAAGAACAAGGGCGGGCGCAAATCAAGGCCTGAGACGGATATTGAGATCAGACTATGGCTCCTGCATGCGGAACGACCAACGGAAATCGTGCCTCAGCGACGCGAGCGTCTGGCGAGCAAGTTCTGGCGACTTCGAAAGGCACTCATGAACGTGGGGCGAATGAGACGAGCGTTGCAGTGGACGGATCGACCAGGGATGTTGCCCCCACGCGAAGCAGCGAGGATACCACCTACTTGACGGCCTGCATCGACCTCAGGCTCAGAAGGAGCAAGAGTGGGGCGAGGACGGCAAGCCTTCTGAACGAGCTGAGTCGCGGCGGAGGGAAGGCGGGCATCATCGAATTCTGGATCGCAGTGGCGGGGCACCTCGGGCATGAACAGCGGGCGCGGCTGCTTCCGTATGGATCGAATATTGACGAATATGAGCTGTTGGGACGAGCGAATACAAGTCCACTCGCCAAGAGCACAGACCCGACTGACCATGTCGTGCAGCCCAACTCGTCTCAGGCTGTCCAGACCGTTGAAGCCAGTCTGAAGCGCGGAGCGCGAGCCTGCAAGTCTCCTCCGTGCGCGTTGGAACTGAGGGGCGAGCCTTCGGATGTCTCGCGAAGTGTGGGACGCGCGCACGAAGTTCCGCCAAGCCTGTTATCTAGCCACCTGAAGGAAGATACGGCGTACATCTACCAAGCTACCGACACAATCCATGCACCAGTCACGACAGCGCTTCACGAGCAAGTTTTGGCGAACTCGGAAGGCATGGATGAGTGCAGAATACATAGGCCTGGTGATGCAGCGAGAGAAGAACTTGGGCGGGATGAAGAAGGTGCGGGTGGGAGGAAGGACAGCAAGGACAAGTGGCGTGTGCGGCGAGGCGGAGCGTGTTGTTCAGCCGGGATAGGCGGGAGTGTGGAACGAAGGGTGGTCCTGAACGCTACGGACGGGGCGGACTTGGGCGGAAGGCAGAAAGCGTTCGTCAACGAGCTTCTGAAACGACTACGTCAGCTGTGCGCGGCGTGCAATGGACAGGGGGAGCGGCTTCGGAGTGGGGGCAACAGAACATACCGAGAAGATTCAACCCCAGCTCTGCGAGAGTTCGCGAGGTATCTCCCGATTTCTAGGCCTGGTATGGCAGCCGCGCGATCGTGACCTTGAAGCCGGGGTGCGAAAGCGTACAAGACACCTTCCGATAGCGCGAGGAGGCGTAAGCAGCTGCAGCGGGGTGATGGGTCGATCAACCTGGGGGGCTGCTGTAAAGCGGGGCGGACGTACCTGACGGGCTGCAGCGACCTCGGGACGAGTGATCGGAAGGTGGAGTCTTCGAGCCTGGCGAGCGACTTGGGTGCGAGAGGAAGGCTAGTACTTGCACACTTCAGCAAATTCTGTAATGCAGTGATTCGTTTTCAGCAGCTACATTGCGGGCAAGAGCAGTGCGCGGTCGAGCCCTCAGAACGAGCGGATACAAGCTCACTCACCACGACGGTCGACCGGAGAACCTATTGCGTCTGGAAGCCTCGCCTCTCCCTGCCCGACCACCGTCATTTCGAGGGCTCGCCGAGCGTCGGAATGGGCTTGAAGACTATATTTCGGCCTAGCGTGTTCCCTCCGAATGTGTCGAAGAGTGCGGAGAAGACTTGCCACATCGTGAAATGTGCAGCGCAAGCGTACGCGTCACTGCATGGCGCGCCGGCGAATGGACCTAAGGCAGCCAGTTGTGAGGATAGCAGCGAGACGGGTGCAGCGAGACGGGTGCTAGAAGGAGCGACGAGACTGTCGCAGAGGCAGGGACACAGATTCCGCGAGCGCGTGAAGTGCCGGCCGTGACCGGCGCCAGCATATCGAACGACCTCCAGAGGCTCGAGAACGGTCTCCGAAGCATTCCGCTGAGCTCAGCACGATCATTGAGACTTATTACTCCAGGACTCGGTTCTCTCGGTACTAGGCACATGTTTAGGAAGAACGCGATTGGCTCGCGAGAGCATCGTCGAGATGGCACGCAGGCAGGAGTGGTCGCTGGTCGCTGGTGCTGCGACACGACTCTTTTGTCTGAACACGCGGAAGCAGGGCGCACGGCTGGCGACGACAAATGGAGGCCAAGTACATTCGCGCATGGTCCTAGCTACGAACTGTCTGCGGATACGGGTCTACGCATCGCAAGCGCGGTCGGATCATCATCCGTGCAAACCAGGCAAGAGCGTGCAAGAAGCGGGATGCGGCAGCATGTGAAGACTGTCACAGAACGAACAGGTGCCCGGGACGAGACTATCAAGCAGAGCAAGGGGGAGCGCCGAGATGGCCATAGGCTGCACGACCCGGAAGGAGCTGCCGGGAGGGACGGCCGAGACGAGGAGTCCGAGTCGAACAAGGGGAGAGGTTGTGAAGACGGCGACCTTACCAGGGAATCGACAAGCTCAAGCGAACCAGGGGCAAGGGAGACCCGAAGGCCGACCGAGTGCTGGAGCGGGTTTGGGGCAAGATCGCGAGTTGCTCGAGGGACCTTAACGGATCGAATGCATGGCGAGCAAGGGAAAGGTCTGCTAGATATGAGTCGGGCCACGATTATCGCGGGGAGAAGTGCGGCGCGCGTTCAAGAAGGTTGTGACGCATCCAAGGACTAGGTATTGAACGCGTCGAAAGGTGCGCTCTCCGAGAAGCTGTATGAGCGAGCAGCGGCCGGTGCGTTTGTCGAACGATGGAGTGAAGCTGCAACGGGACAGCCGATGGCGTAAGGGTTACGCGCGACAAGTCAGAACCGCGAGCATCGGAAGAGCCCGGTTCGCACGCAACTCGAGCGGCGGTGGCCGACCAAGGCATATGTGGCGAGCTCGAGCATGACCTTTCGCGTGCGAGCAATTTGACAGCGATCGTCATGAACAGAGGTGTGGTGCGCGGTCAGGAGTACACTGTGGACAAACGCGACGTGTCAAGTGATGAGCATTCAGTGGTGGAAGGAGAGATCCTCGATGAACCGTACGAGCAAGCAACGGCCAGGTCGTCACTAGAGAACCCAACCGGCAGGGTGGAATCGCAAGAGTCGCGCAGGGCCTGCCTACGAGCCAGTCGAGCAACGGTCAAAGATTGGGGATGCGGGAAGCTCGATCACCGACACGCGCACGCGAGTCAACCGGCGGCGACTATTGCGGAAGCAAGGGAGGCGTGTGGTCAGGAGCTCACCGTGGGCCATTGGGACGCATCCAAGAACAGCGAGCCGACCGTGGAAGGAGTAAACGCCGAGAAGATGGGCAAGCAGGGCCGGCGCGAGCTAGCTGAGAGGCAGTCAAGTGAGGGTGAGGGAGCGGAGCGTGGTCAAGACTACAGGCACGCGCCGACGGACGAGCACCTCAAGAACGAGGCCGCAGTTCGTCGGCGACCCGGGAGTAAAGAGCATGCAAGTAACCCAAGCGACGCGCCTTAATGATAGCTCGCCGATGTCAGAACCCCAAGAAGGTCACACAGAATGAGACTGCCTTACCTGCCAACCCGTAACAATCGCGAAATCCATGGGAGCCTGGATGCGCTCGGTCTCGACAGTCTTGAAGGTTTCACCCTCGTTGCCGACAGCCGCGCAGAACGTCTCAATCGTCACCTCGGGGCCAGCGAAAGTCTTGCGGATGTTGATCTCCAGCAGCACCTCGCTGTCGCCAAACCAGAGGCGCCAGTAGAAGTCCTTGATACACTTGTTACGACCCTCAGCGACCTCGTGGATCGGGGCATAGCCCATATTCCGAGGCTTGTAGGGGAACTTGAAGTACAGAGGAACGAGGTGCCGCGGCGGTCCTCGAAGAGCATGACATCGATGACCTGCGATGCCTGATCGAACTTGATCTCGACGGCCTTGAAGTCAGGTTCGTGCTGGCCGTACGAGCGAGCTCCGCCGTAGAGAGCGACGAGCGTTGGCGCGTCACCTTGCTGGCCCCGACGAGGAGCGAAGAGACGGCGCATGGGGTTGTCGGTGTACAATGTGCCCTGGACAATAGTCGTCGATGTGAGGAGGGCCCTGAGCCAGTGCTGGCTGGGCCCAGCGAGGGTCTCGAGCCATTCCTCATCCTTCACCGTCTGCGCGTCGTACAACTCAGCGATACCCTTCGCCTTATCTCCCGCGACGATGACGCAGACGCCGCAACCATTGAGGTTGCGTGCGGTCATGGGACCGACGCCGCTGAGACCATGCGGACCAAAGTTGATAGCGTGAGTAGCCGTTTCAAGGAACTTCGTCCGGCCGCTTGCAGGGCATCCACGCCGACCTACCGGAATCCTGGAAGTGCTCCCCGGAGTCAAATACACGCTGTCACGGTAGCATCGACGGCACGGATAATCGGGCCATGCGCGCGTGTATATGCGAAGGTCAATGGGCTTGTGCGAGGCGAGCAGGTGAGAAGCGGCTAAGTGATGAGAATAGGTAGCTGTTGACCATGGAATATGACATGACGGCGTACCGACCGGGCAGGCGTGTTGCCGTCGCCTGTGTTCTGGGCCGCGAGGCCGGTTTGCGTGTCGCCCGTGCCACAAAGATTCAGTCCCGGGGTGCCAGAGTCAAGCGAGGACCCTCTTGAGCCAAGGGAAAGGGAATTGGAGCGTGGACGAGGCGCCGCAGAGGAAGGGTAGAATGGTCTTGTACCGCTAATCAGGTCGCGCGCCACTAATTGAACTGAGTGTAGTTCAGCTAGCCAAGGGTGGAGGCGGGCTCGCACGTCCTTTGGGACGGCGCGTGCATCTGGGTCGCCAGGCGGGCGCTCGTACCGGTTGACCGTAGAGAGGCCGTGGTCGAGGGCGCCGTGGTGGTCGAGCGCAAGACGCTGGGCGCTATCTCTCGGGGCACTCGTCGTCGGCACTGGCTCGTGACGCTCGACGCCTCCGGGGTCGAGCGTAACGTCGGCCGCGTCGGGCGTGTTGGTTGGCGCGAATTCAAGATGTTTCACGCCGCGTGTGTGGTCCACCGTGCGCACAACGAGCGATGTGCTTGTTGGTACGCCGGGTAGCGTGGATTCGCGGCGTTGGGACACACTGAACGTGCGGATATGCACGAAGTCTTGGGCTTGATGCATTCCATGTATCATGAGTGGACGCCTGAATTACGGTGAGTTCAGTGACAGACATCATGACCTCCGAGTCAACATATTTAGTCCATCTGTCAGACGGTTCGTGATGCAACACTGCTGGCTGGCGAATACGACGGGACACCCCAACGCCTTTCTACCCTACGATCAGCTTCGGGAGCATAACATTCGGGATCTGAAGGTACGGTGGAACTGTGTCCCGCAAGTAAGACCGGTGCTGAATTGCTTGACTGTAATGGACTTGTAGTACACGTTTGAGCTCCTCGGCCCACATGCATCATGGGAGCTCCTAGGTCGAACATCTGCCGCCATCCCAACTCTGCGCAAGATCAAGGACCACGTAGAGCTCCAGTTCAACCACTACTGCCGAGGGAAGTCACATACAAGTCCAGATGCAGAGGAGGATATCTCAAAGCTTGTCCAAGCATTCCACGACTCAAAGGTTCACAAATACACTGCTGGGCGAAAGGCAAAGAACAAATGTGTTGATGTTATGGTCAAGGGTAGTGAGTCTGCCAGGATCACGAAGTCGATGGATTCATACTATGAGAAGCGCAAACGCGAGCAGAGCACTGATGAACGCTACTTAGAGTCCGGAGGAACTGGGAGCACATCTAGTATTACCGGTACCGCGACAACAACTACCTAGGCATGTACCCATGATGCATATATGAGTAACACATGCCCGGAGGAGGAAAGACCTGATTCTCGTTATCCGCGACAGGCACGCCAGTTCGTGATGTTGACGGTCCGGGATCTGGTGTGTTACGACGTTTTGAGGGAACGAGGATATTTGTCACCGACGGACTCGGGATGAGTGTATTCACGGGTACCGGCGGAGGGGCATACTGGAATGCTTGATAGTACAAGTGAGGCTGCGGGTAAGGTGAGAAGTGAGTCGGTGCACTGTAGTGCGTTGGATAGGCGAGCGGCCGAGACGAGAGAAGCTGAGGCGGTGCAACAGCAGGTGGTGCGATGAAAGGCGACGCAAAAGGAGGCGGCGCGACAAGAGGCTGCACAAAAGCAGGCGGAGCGGAAGGAGACGGCACAAAAACAGACGGCACAAAAGCAGGCGGAGCGAGTCGAGCGACACGAGGCGGAGCAGCAAGAGGCGGCGCGAAAACAAGCGGAGCGACAAGAGGCAGAGCAGCAGCAGGTGACAGAAGAGGTGGGACGTGAGATGACACAGGAGGCAATGCAAGAGGCAGGGCCTGCTTTGCTGCGCGTTTGTTGAGACGGCGCTGGACCTTCGCTTGCTCGTTCAGCTTCTTGTACTCTTCATCAGCTGACAAGATAGTTTGCAGAAGCTCCTCGCCGTGCTTTTTGGCAAAGCACCACTCCGGAACTGATGTTGTAAGGTCGCCGAGCGTCTGTATTGCAGTGGCGCGTACAATCTTGGACGCAGTCTTGTCCGACAGCAGAGCCTCTGGTCCCCAGACACAGATAGAGTAGTCGCGGCGCCAGCACAGTCGTCGCCAAGCAAGTGCAGCGTTGTAGACATACTTGAACCGCTCCTTCTGACGTGCCGCAGGACGCTTGCCAGTGGCTGCCCCAGCTAGACCAGGCTCAGACTCTTCGATCTTGACGGCCGACTCAACCAAGCGATCACCAGTCTCTCGGAGACGGATCGACTTCAGTAGCTTGAGCATATTGTCTTCAGCCTCTGAAAGCATGGCCTCGGGGTCCTCACTTCGACGGGACAGGCACACATCACAGCATGGAACCGTGAGTACTTCGCAGACACTACGTTTAGTGCTCAGATATAACTGTGATGGGGCATAAATACGTACCTCGTTCGTTGCGCGGATTATTAAAGTATGCATTAGCCACCGTGCGCCGACAGTCGGGGGCCTCCAGCCAGGTCCGCAGGCCACATTCGACTTGCTTCTGAAAGACCTTTGTATCGTTGTTGTCGACCGAGTCTTTCGTACTCTCCGCAGGCTGCACACCCAGATCATTGTCGCCATCGTTCTCTGCTCCATCCTCTACATCAAGATCTTCAGCCTCCACATGATCCTCGTTCGCCTCGCGTTTGACTTCGTTTGCCTCGCGGGCGACTCCACGCGGTTTGACCTTCTTGAAGACCGACTGCTCAACCAGCAGTATTGCGACTGCAGGTAAGCCGTCGCGCCCCGCACGCCCATACCGCTGGAACCACTGAGAGAGTGAAGTCGGCACCATAAACTGTATGACGCGACGGATGTTGCTGATATCGAGACCCTACGGTTGCGCCGGCACTAATTAGATATTTTCCACTCGAAGCTCGAGCACTTACCATGCCGGCCGCCTCAGTTGCGCATAGGATTGAGAGCTCGTCGTTGCGAAAGCGTTGCATGACCTCGCGTTTGGTGTCATCCCCACGGAGAGCATGCAGGAAGTCGATCTTGCCCTTGTATGCATCCGGCAGCAGAGTCTTGAGATGGTGGCAGGCCCGCATGGCCAGCTCGCGTGTGTTGAAGAATATGAGCGTCTTCACAAGCGGGTCGCCAGCGAGCGCCTCCCGCACAGCAAAGTCCAGCGCTGCAAGATCGCCGGCACCACCCTTCATTTGGACGACAAGCGGCGTGATGTTCGTACGATCGTTGCCAAGATTCACGAAGAATGTCGAGTTGAGGTGAAATGAAAGCTTCGCCTGGACATCTGCGAGGGCAGCAGGAGGGAGAGTGGCTGAAGTTGCGAGGAACGGCACACTCATGGGAACGAGAGCACGAAGCCGGCCTAGCTCCGCGTACTTCTTCCGGAAGCTGTCGCCCCACTGCGAGATGCAGTGCGCTTCGTCGATTACAATTGCGGCAATATTCTTTGCGAAGGATGGCGACCGGAGCAGCTTGGAGAACCGCTTGTGCTCGAGAGCCATCTCCGGACCTGTGAGTAGCATACGGTACTCGCCGCGCTCAATCTCCTGCGGGCGCGGGTATAAGTACACACAGTATGAATCTCACTTGAACGTACCTTGTGAAGTCGGTCCGAGTACTCCTCTTTATTGATAGCCGTCGCCGTGAGCCCCATGGTACGGAACCGTTCAGCCTACGAGCGCCTTGATCAGTACGGTATCTTTGTTCAATACATGACTCAAGCTCACCTGGTCACGCTCGAGCTCATTCAGAGGTGAAATGACTACCACCAATTTCTTTTTCGTCTCGTCCAGTAACAACGGCATCGCAAAAGGCACCGTCTTCCCCGCACCCGTGCCGGCGATGACAATGCAATCAAGCCCGAGGAGAATCGCCTCACATACATCGACTTGCCAGCCATACGGCTCCTTGCCGCCGAACGCCTCGACAGACAGTTCTTTGATCTTCTGTCGCGTGCCTTCCGAGTCATACCCGCGAGACTTGTGGGCTGCTGCGCGAGCGATTGTCAGCGCGTCGTCGAACTTCAGGTTCGAGCTTTGACAGTGAATGGGAGGCGGCTGCAGGATCCTCGAGGCGACAGGCATTACGACAAAGCCGTTGTATTGGAGGTGTACTAAGACAGAGGATGCGCGTGCGGACAAAGAGCTAAGAGCTTCCCCGCGCTGAGCCTCTCGCGCGACGCGTTTCGTCACGGGATTTGGATACCCCCCCCCTCTCTACGAAAGTGACCAGACCTTCTAGAGGCACTGCTGGTATTTTGTTTTCGTTCTCCGCCCGGCAGCGTCCGCGGTGCACGTGCTCTAGAAGGTCTGGATCGAGACTACATACCCGGACGATCCTAATGTTCAACTTTCCACGGCCCCTGGCCATATCCATCCAGCCCCGACTCATCTGCCCCCATTTCCCTTTCTTCCTCTTCCTCTACCCTACCTGTACTTTTAGTCGCGCTCTAGTCGCGCCTCGCGATGATAGCGCACCTTCCCTCACCCGTCCTCTCGGTCGCAGCTGATGTCGTCAGGGACCTCGAAGGCGAGGACGCCCTGTCCGGGCTCTGGGCCTGTGAGTACCACGTCCTTTGTCTCCACAGCCACGAAGCTCACATTCCCCGCATCCAGTGTTTACCAAGTGCAAAGAATCCCTCAAGGACGGCCGGCGGCTCGAGAACATCTCCTGGCGTCTCTGGTACCGCGAATTAGCCGCACAGCAGACTCTTTACTCGCCAGGAAGCCTATCGCCGCCTTTCTCTGAGAAGCAGCGGAGTCCCACTCCTATCACGCCCGTATCAGAGGAGGACGAGAAGGCGCACGAGCATGGTATGTAACCTCTCCCCTCGGTCACCTCAGGCGCTGACTCCGACGACCTACCCAGCGCCGTCCCCCCAACCGATGCTTCAAGCCATCCCTGACATCCAGGCGCACTCATGGCACGGCGATATGGCGAAACTGGATGTGTTCGCCACTCATCGCCGCTTGAGCAGTGCCAGTGTCCCAGGACACCGCCCAACACCACAGGGCGTTCGTGTTGGCCGCCTGATCATCGACATCCTCCCCAGCAAGCTCAACCTCACACTTCCGCGCGAGATGGCGCAGGCGGCCAAGCCCGCTATTCACCCGAGGTCGGCGCTGTCCTCGGACGCCCCGACTCGCGTGTCCACGCGCCCTGTCGTCTCTGTACAGACTCCCAGCACACCTCCATCCGCGGCACTCGATTTCCTGAAGGTTGTTGTAGTCAACCCGACCCCGCATCCTACCCCTCCCGTGACCCCGCAGATGCCGCCTCGCATACCCTCCGCACTCCCGTCGCCGGCGCAAGCTCCGACATACCTTCTTCCTCCGCCTCCCAGCTGGACCCTGATTGGCCCTCAGTCATCTGCCATCCCACCTGTCCAACAGCCTGTCACCCCGCGGAAGACGCCCGCCGTCCCACAGCCCTCCGCATCCGTATCACCATCACATGACATCCTCGCTCAGCAGCAGAAGTTGAAGCAGAAGGAGCGGATCGACGAGACGCTGAAGGCGTCCGACAGGCGGTTCTTCCTCCAGAGCGCAGCGTCGCCCGAGCAGGACTCGCCCGACAGTCACAGCAGCATCTCAGCGTGCCTCTCGAACAAGACGGACGCGCGCAGCGACGAGCTTGTCGGGCGGAGTCCGAGCAGCGCGACGTTGAGCCAACTCAGTCAGGTACGATCGGACGGAGGCGGGGGTGGCGGTGAGAGCCGGGGTGGACACGGGCCGAGCGCGAAGCGCGGTATGATGTGCGCTCAAGCAAAGAAGAGTAAGGAGACAATCCGCCATGCGCCTGTGCGTTCGATGGCGCCTTATCGCGCGCAGACCACGCACGTTCAGCATCGCGCAACCGGTGCACGCAAGGCCACGAACGGCGGTGAGTCGAAGAAGGCGGCGTTCAATATCGGCTCGGTCTCATCGAATGGTTCACACGGCGGTCCGTCCAAACGCAAGGAGGAACCGGCCGCCCCTGCGCCCAAGCCTCGTCAGCACGAAAGTGCGAAGGCACCCGCCACCACCTCCGCACCGCAACGACGCGGTATCGTCGTGACCGAGTCATCAGACTACGAGACGACCGACTCAGAGGACGACTCGGAGTGGGCGTCGAACAACAGCGGGCCTGACCGGCAACGCGAGCGGGAGGCGCGCACGCGCGAAGAGAGCCGGCTGCAGCAGGCAGCGGAGGAGGCGCAGCGGCAGCGAAACATGTTCGCAAAGGTGCCGCGGCGGTCGTACACGGCTCTGCCGCGGACGCAGTCCGGCCTGCTCTCGCAGCTGATGAACCCGGACCCGAACATCTTCCCGCCGAACTACCCGTACCGGCGCGGCTTCTCTTCGCAGGAAGTCACCCAGTACGAGCGCCAGGCCGCGCCGCCCCCGCTGCAGACGAGCAAGAGCTTGGCCGCGCTCCGCCAGGCGGCGGCCGTTGTTGCGCAGGCGCAGCGCACGGACGGCGCGCATGCGAGCAGCGTGAAGGCGAAGGACACCGCGCGCCCGAAGGGCCGCCCGCAGAGCGTGGAGTTCGAGGACTCGGACAGCGAGGACGAGAACGGGGACAACGGCTTGCAGGTCTCGCACAGTCTCGCACAGCAGAAGTTGGCAGCGCTTGCGGACTCGAGTCGGCGACGGTATTCGGACCGTGGACCACCGCCTTCCGAGCCGGCAGTGCGCCCCCAGATCCCCAGCGTCGCTACCGCGCCGATCCCTCTTGGCCACCCGTATAATTTGCCGGCACCCGCTATGCCTATGACTCCCCGGACGACGCGCAGGCAGATGCTCTCGACAGAGCTGTCGGAGAGCTTGCGCCGCAATCTGCTTTGGGAGCGGCAGGTCAGCCGGACTAGTACGATGGGTCCTAGACGGAATGGTCTCCTCGGCAATGGTCTCCGTCCGCTCACCGCCGTCCACGATCAACCACGGACTGACGCCTCGGGCAGCAAGAGCGGGGATGAGGATGAGATCAAGGACGAGCGCAAACAGCGGAACGTCGCGCGTAATCGGAGCTGGGCGGACGACTATCACTACGCAGGATGGTAGTGTCGTCGGTGTCACCCCTCCCGTTTCGCGCTTTCTTTCTCGGTTGGTTTAGTGTATGATAATAAGCTCATGGCGAACAACGCCGAGGACGATGGCAGGAAGATGGACGTCGACGACAAAGGCGCCGCCGCACGTGAGGCCGACCGGAAGCTCGACGCATGTCGCCTGCGCTCTCCAAGGCAGGCGCGTCGACTGGCCCCGAGATCCCGCCGTCCCTCAAGCTCGAGATGTAATTTGCTGACTTGATGCTCGTGCATGCCCTCCGGAAGCCGATGCGGAAGTCGTCGCCGATCGTGCGTTCGACCCTCAATCAGTACATCACTATCACCGCGTCGACTCTCGTTCGCCTGCATCCATTCCCTTATCTCTAACCTCTGGGTATGTACTCCAGTTCGGTGCTACTGACGACGCTGACGTTGCTCCAGGCAATCCGCATCCTCAGCCATCTTTGAGCGCAACATCGAGCGGATCACATCCGCCGCCCTCTTGCCCACCGCCGACCCGCAGCGCGTCTCGCGCGGCAGGTACACCGAGCAGCTCGAGCAGTCCGTGCCGTCGGTGCTTGACAGCGCTGCGGCCATCCTCGCTGCGCCCGATTCCCAGTACGACGACTTTGATGGGGTCTCCATCATCACCCCCGCCCCGCCCGACAGCGGCTACCACAGTGGGTTCGCGAGTCCAAGCAGCCGCTGTGGAAGAGAAAACCGGCCTAGTGCCGGATCGACGCGCGGCGTCATCATTCTGAGTCTCATATCCTCTTGTTCTCATCGTGTTCTCGTTGCTATAGCTTACGCATTCCCGGACAGACACTCGTATATTACACACCTGATCTACTGTACATCCTCGACACTACCGGCGCGCTCGCGGGGAACTGGAAGGTGAAGGCGGGGACCGACCGTAGGACGAGGGCGGGCGCTGTCAGATTGAGTGCCGTACCTGTTGGGGGTCCAGGTCGCGAAAGTCAATAGCACCATCCCGCTGTCAGCCGCGTACCGAGACAACATTTGGTTAGCCGACCGGAGCCGGAAGGGGAACCAACGGACGTCGACACCCGGCCATACGGTACTTGCCTTTTTAGGTGCCATCCCTTCGCAAAACGTCAAATGATCTCTCTCTCTGTCGTTTCGCTCTTCCTTCCATCCTTCCGCTGCTTCCTAGTCTTGTATCGCTCTCGTGCTTCTCAGCCTGCTCTGTACTTATAGAGGGCCGCGCCGCCCGTTCTCGCTATCGAATCGCATCCCTACGCTTCTCCCCTCTCTCTCGCGCGTACCTCAAGGTTTGGCATGGACGAGCGACGCGACGGTCGCGCGTGCACCTCAAGTCGAGCGAGTCGAGTAGTCGATACGTCCAGCTAAGTGTTCGATAGTATATAGTCGGCCTAACTACTCTACCGAGTACATCGCCCGCCGCCCGACCCGCTAGCCCATTCATCGAACTTCGACTCTATCAAACGCCTGCACTTAGGAGACGAGTTTTGTGTGTGTTGGTTCACCGCCGCGCACGCATATCTCTCCGACACTGCCTGAGCAGCCGTAGTCCGAGCCCGACGGGCATCAGTCCTGGCAGGCACGAGCTTGCTATTCAGCGCTCAGCACGAGCCTGACGTACAGCACGAGTCCGATTCAGCAGGGCAGCCGGTCGTCGCGCCCGATCATCCAGACGCAGGCGCAGAGCCCCGCCCCAATCGCGCCTGTGCCGACCGTGCCTGGAACCCTGACGTCTGCATACTACTCTGCGTCTGCCATGCCCTCAGAGGCGTCGTCGCCGACGACCGCGACGCACCACGCGCACCCTCTGCGCTCGCTTCCTACCTCTCCTGCACCGACCTCGTTCCCGAACTCACCCGCGGCACCCCAGCCAATGATCATTACCATCCTTGCCCCGCTCGTCTCGCACCCGCCCTCGCACAAGGCAGCAGCCAAGCGCCTGCCTTTCCTCTCCTACATGGTCCTCCTCTCCTCCACCCCTCCGGCACTGTTCCGCTACCCTCCGTCCTCACAAACGAGCCTCCGCACTTGCCAGCGTCATCGGTCTCACACAGGCGCTGTACGCTGCGAGCTCAAGTGCGGGCAGCGTTCACGCTGCTAGCGTCATGGAGCAAGACATAGCGAGTGAGATCGTGGACGACGTGGGCGGGGAGTGGGAGCACAAGGGGCTGAGGAGGGGGCTGGAGGAGCGACTCAAGGTACTGAACTCGAGTTCGCCGCCGGTCATGCCCGCGATATCGGGGCGGGCGTAATGACTAGGCTGACGCTTACGACTTGCGACGCCGGTGATGTTCATGCTTTCGATCTTATTCTTGGTGGATAACTCATCGCGGTCTGACCCCCGGACAGACGGTCCTTTCACGTGCACGCTGGGACCCTATGATTGCCCCCATCCTACCCTGGACCCCTTGTCCGTTCTGTCCTCTCTTAGCTCGCTCGTCCCGTGTCTCTTCTTGCTTCGGTTCGGTGTACTATGTGCGAGGGTCGACAGTTCGTGTCTTGCTTCCCACCCCTGCCCGTCCCCCCATCACTTCGTTTCCTTCTACTAATTTGCGCCCGTTGGCGTACGAATGACGACTCTCGCTCAGGACTCACGTCCAATTTGCAGATCGTAACCTTTTTCGGTGAGTTCTTCGCTCCGTGGCATCATCACGCCGCTGCGGTCCATTGTCCACCGCCAGCCGATGTGGTTTTCCTTCATCACGCGACAATTCGCTCACTTCATCTGCTCAAACAGGATATGCGATTGAATTTCCCCGTCAGTGGTCACCTCGATCGCAAGGTGGAGACAAAACTCTGCGCTACGCCTTTGGAAGTCTCCCGCCGCCGTGTGTTGCTTTTCGGATTTGCTGGCGGGTCAGGCACCAGGTGCACCGCTCTTCGCCGCGTCTCCTTGCCCGCGTCTCCTCCCCACCTGCGGCTCGCCATATATACCCTTAAGCTTGTCTCTATCAATGCATCTGCAAGCAAGGAGCCAACGTTCGCTCCAACCATGTACTATCAGCCTTCGAGCGGGAGTGCCTGGATGACCTCGCGCCTTATCCCGCTGTCCCAAGACCTCTACAAGGCAGCTCAACGTACGCTACCCACCGCCTCGGTATTGCCGCGCTGCGCGGTGTACACAGTGCACGTCAGCATGCAATACAGACCGCACCATCGGTTGACTTTGCTTGATCAGACGGTCGGTGACGCGCATGAAGCAAGAGCTTGAAAGTAATTCATGATTTATGGTCGACCTACTGTACCTACTCAGTCCGAGTACCGACCTCATGCACAGCACGAGACAACTGATGAACTACAACGCCGTACGCACCCGCCCACCGCCCACCGTCCATCCCATATTACTGAAAACTGTCCTCCGACGTCTTGCAGTACTGTAGGGGCAGCGGCGCACCTGTATATCGATGGCGAGTCCATTGTTGACGTCCGGAATCGATTTATTAGCCACTGCGTCCGGACAGAAGTGGCAATGGAACGGAGGCATTGACGTCCGGACAGTTGTGCCATGCATTGGCAAGGTGAGCCATACTGCAGTATTCAGGGCTGACTCCGTCTTGTCCCCTATTGTCTGGGTTTACACAGAAGTCTATGATCTGGGTGATGACCTGTCCCGGATCTTGTTGGTAGACTCCAATGGCGGATCGAGTCTCCTCGAAGCAACCGGCAGCTGCGTCTTTGACGCTCGAATTCTCCATGGTTCAAGCTTTGCATGATACCTCCCTGGACCGTCTCGCGTACGCCCATGTATCTAATTTGCTGAGTAACGAAGAACAGGGGACATGGTATCCCGGGCCCGGCTTCCCATGCACCAAGATACTCAGAAACGAATTCAGAAACCACACAACTCGTGATCGTCGCACTTGATCCTACGACGCCTGTCCCAGTACAGTATGTGAGCTGTGGTGGTAAGCTCCCGGAATGGCGCAGCATAGTGCCTATCGACACCGATCGCACGCTCTATAACTGCACAGATTGGACTTTGGTGAACACATATCAGATGATAGTCGACACGACGAACCTGCTGAGCTTGAATCGCCTCTCCTTCAAGATAGAGCTGGTGCTGGCGACCGGAGTAGACAATGAATTCGAGGTCGACGCTGACACCGACGACTTCTCCGCAGCTTGCTCGTTGCTGTTCCCGTTCGCTGACAGCATGTTGAGGGCAAGTCAAAAGGCAGAAAAAAAGCTGAATCGAGGAATAACGGGAGTGGGAAAGACGAGCGGGATGGCAGAGTCGCGCACCCTGACTCCAGCCACCGACCTTCCCCGCGGGAATAGCCGATTCTCCGTGCCGGGCCGCGGCGCCGAGCCCTCGATCGCGTCTCTCCGAGTCGCACAGCGGCTTCAAGTTCAAACGTCCACCTCTGATAACCCTCAGGCTCAGGCTGTCTGCAGGAGGCCTGTCGCGACGACACACAGTTGCTCCGTGCGTTCACCGCCGCCTCCCCGCCTTGTCATTGACACTCTCCCTAGGCCCAGTATGCTACAGTACGCTGAATGCACGCTGCCAGTGGACGCGCCCTCGCAGATCCCGACACTGCCCTCCTCGCGGTGCGTGCACATCCGCCCCTTACAAAATCTGCTCTCCTCTCGTCGCTGAGATGCCTTCAATCGACGCGCCTGCCTAAGGTCTCCGCCAAGTGCGCATATTGCCCCGAGCTGGCATTCGGCCGCCTTCTGCCCGCGCGCCAAACAGTGCCTTGACACACACTAGCTCTTCTCCTCCACCCGCTGCTCGTGCGGATACCGACTCGGACGCACACACGCCGTCGCTGGACTGTGTCTTCCTCAGTATGTATGGTAAAGTCAATTCCCGTCCTCCCCAACACGCAAAATGCTCACCTCGAGGCAGCATCCGCGAGCTCCCTCCGGCCGCTGACCACGCGCTGTTGCCAGACGTGTGTGAGGACACACCACCGCGGCGCTGGACAGCGATTTGTCGATTGCCAGCCGAATTTGGCATCCCTCGCGCGCACTACGTGTGCCGTCTGTTGACGTGCGGTTGCAAGCTCAGTATTCAGTGCCCGTCCGCTGCCCTCGCGAGAAGTTCGCCTCGTACAGCCCCTGCCTGCGACCCTCCGTCGCGTGTCTAGATGTCGGACGTGTACGAAGCGCCTGACGTCGACCCATCGCGTCCCGGGAAGTGGTGCCGTGAACTGTTCTGCACGTCGTCGGCCGGTGGGGCTTCTCGGTCGCAGACCAAGGCGGCGTTACTGGCGTGCTGCGCGTCGATGGGGACGGGTGGGGCGATGCGAGAGCGGGAGGTTGTGGGCGTCACGTCTTCCTGGACGGTGATCATTCCCTGGACGCTGGCCCGACGGGCGCAGGTGGGAGACGGGTGGTCGTCGACTAGCGTGGACCGAGGCGGGCAAGCCATCCGCGTCTTGCGCCCGGCAGCGCTGGGCGCACGAAAACATCGTCTAGACGGCCGATACAACGCGTCTGTTACGGCCCAATCTCGCTCAGAGCATCCGACAGGACAACACGTTACAGGACGACGGCAAACACCGCTCGACCGAGATCATCCACGTCAGCACAAGCATCGGCGAAGCTGATGCACCCAACCGGAACACCGCACATCAGTTACACTCCCGTCGAGAGTGCGGCTGTGCTGGCGTTGCGCTGCTGGTTCACCGCGCACATAGGTCTATCATCTGGAAGTGAAGTTACGCGTACTGCGGCCGCACGCGGTTTCGAACGCAGTGCAAGTTTAGGTGTTGAGTAGATGGTTTATGGTCCAGGAGGTCAAGCGAGTGTGCATACCATACTCCACTGTCACACTGTGTCGTTGGAAGGTCGCATAAATATAAGATTGCCGACGCGGAGGACCACCGGAAGGCAGCAATTGCTCAGTACAAGCGTGCGGGGGCAGGCGATGACAGGTCTGATAAGGGTGACGAGCACGCGCATGCGAAACAACAAGGAGTACCTCCTTGGTACCTCCCGACAACCCTTCTTTGGGACCAGCGGCTGAGCGATCGAAATATCAGCGCGGGGCGAGTCTCACGAACCACAGCGTGATGGGGCGGCGAACACTGGTTCGCGGCGAGGATTCTTGCCAGAAGGAGCAAGCGAACGTCGCGTAGTTACCTTTTGACAAGTTGGGCGAGCATTCGAGGGATGGAGAACCGAGGGTCCCAAGTCACTGGAGCCAGAGGGGACAAGCACGCATGCACCGCTACGAAACGAGACAGGAGCAATAATATCAATATTCACCAGCTGGCCGCACGCAGTACCTCCAAGACCTCCTATCCAATCCGCGGATTCCAGACTAGCACCCCCTCCGGCATGTGGCTCACCCGCGCAAGCGATGGACCGGGTGAATTCTGACTCGAGGACGCGCTGGGAGCGACCGTACGGTTGCCCGCTACTTATGTAGGACTCCTTCCTTCCTCTCTCTGGGCTTGCTCGCGCTTCCTGCGGTCCATGCAACAGGTTTCTCTTTCACCGCTCGGGATGCTTCAACTGATCCTGCAAACTCGACAAACTCGACCGTCGACATGGTCGCGGCGGCGTGGTATACCGGATGGCACTCCGAGGACTTCACGCTGAACAACGTGAGCTGGGACAAGTACACCCACCTCATCTATTCCTTCGCGTGAGTGGTCTGCCTCTTTTTCGGTCGTGCCTTTCGTGGAAAGAGAGCTTTGATGGCGTGGTGTATGAGCACCGCCGTCACAGGGACTTTTGAACACTCAAATTTGCGAAGTATTGAGTTGATTGAGTACAGCAATAGCAACATGTAGCTTTCTCCCTCTTAATATGCAGCATACCCTTCACCTCCCCTACTTGTAACCTGCGTGTGTGTAATGACGTTCGCCCGCGACCACTGCCCAGCAGCTGCATGCTTCTTTGCAAAGGTTTTCCAAGACTTGGGGTTGGCACAACAAAGGCGGCCAAGTGATGTGCCATGGTAAGTCTGCGGGGCATCCCACATCCAGTGGGTGTCTGCTGCCATCTGGAGTATGAGTTTGTAGTCAGCATAGAAGAAATTGCTCTCGTCATCTTTGATCTGCAGGTATGGTTCAGAATCATTGGTCTCAATAGCAGCGGTATCATCTTTGACATACCAGGTCTGAGCGCGCAGAGATCCAGCCCATAGTGACGGAATCATCATTGTCTCTATGGCTTGGGGCACCGTAGGCGAATGATGCGAAGGCTGCGGTGTTAGGATACCCGTAGGTATTGAGAAGCTGCGCAGACTCTGCAACCACCTATGATACATGAGAACAGCTATACAAACTCATAACAGAGATCTTACCATCTGTGCTCTTGCCCAATGAGGCATAAACCCTTCTAAAATTGCGTAGTTGTAGCATTGTATGACTGTTGATGTGTGAAACAGGGCCTATGACTACAATAACTAGGCACTCACTGTCTTTGTTTTGCTGAATGCTGACGCGCAGCGCTGTCTGCTCAGCAATTCTTGTTTTTGTTGCCTCCTTAGGATTGGCGCTGCTTGTCTGTGGTACAGGTAGGAGAGGCGTATGCAAAACACTGTTTGTGGAGTGAAGCCCCATCCCACTCTTCACCATGGTTCCTACAGACTTGAAGCTGCGGCGAAGAGCTTCTCGCGCTCTGTTATTATTAGACAACATGTAGCTCCTTCATTTGAATAAATATACACACCTTATGAACGCCAGTATGGATTCAGCCTCGATCTCAACAGCATCTTGGCTAATCTCAGATGCTATCTGAGAGAATTCCTTGGAGTTGTAAATGCATCCTCCAAACTATACATATAACTTGTTAGCAATACAGATTATATTGGAAAGGAGAGCATACAATGTCCTCTTCACAGACTTTCCCCCTCTGCTGGGCTCCAGAATCATAGAAGATGAGAGAGACCACCCCTGCATCAGGACTTGGCTTTTTGACTCTGGTCCAACTGTGGTCTGGGACAATAGCCTCATCCCTCTTCACAGCTCCATTCTCCAAGGCTGTCTGGAGGATGTCTTCAGACTCAATGACAAACTTCTTCTCCATGGCCTTCAAATCATCAGCAGGTACCCTAAAGACCATGAGTAAGATGAGCCCACAAATACACAGAGACATACCTGTTACAAGGCACCCAAATAGCATTTTCGTAGGCCCACTGACCAAGCAAGCGATGTAGCTTGATTTGTTTGTGCTGCTCTTTGGCAAAGGCAACATCTGCAACCAGGTGGGCAGGAACTCCTTTGAGCAGGTTGTACTTTGCACTAGTCTTCTTGCCAGATTTGAGGGCCACAAGGTTGAAGAAAGCGTCTTGGAGTTGTGCCTTCAATATGGCGCTATGCTCCTTCTCTAGCTGAACAGCAAATCAATAGGACAGTAAAATCATATTAGTTGAAAAATACCTCATCATACAAGCCTATGCAATCCCAGCCCTGATAACTATTTAGAAATAGCTAAGGTGCAACAAAAGAAATTTACAGACCTGAGTCATGCCCTTCTGTATTTTAGGCCCACTATAATCAAACAGAGTAGAGTGCTGAAATTGTTGGGCTGACTCTACACCATTTCGCTGGCGATAGACGTATGACAAGAGCAAGGGGCGAAACAGCCCACGGTAAAAGGAGTAAGGAGTGACCAGCTGGTGCTTGGCACGCTTGGCATCCTCAGTATCTGCTGGTGGATAGGATGAAGCGACCATCTGCAAGAGCTCCCTGATACCCTTGGTACATTTAGGGTACATTGTGTCAACATCAAGCATTTGAGGCTCTGCACGGAAATCGACACGTTCAAAGGCTGGCTGAGGAAGATCCCCTGGAAAGGCATAATCCTCTTCATATACCCTCTCTTGTACACCTACAGCTTACTGGTCAGCAATCAGACCATCTTCTGCAATCGCCTACAGACCATCGCAGTGCTGAGGTGGGGCCTGAACATGCAGAAGTTGAACAGGAGTGTTATCTGAGGTAGGACCATAAACATTAGAGGCCAGCATACATGAGGAAGCAGCACTGCCTACCTCTGCCCTTTGCTGAGGCAGTCAATCTGGGGTCATTCTCCAGATCTGGGAGCTGTGGGGTCTGAGGGCGCGCGCTGGCCATGGTTCTGACTTCGGTACTTTCACCCATTACGGTTGCAAGGTCTGCACCATCATCGTCAAGCCCCAAGCCGCCCGGATCTTCAAAGTTCTGAACATCGCCATTTGGATTCAGAAACATATCTTGACCCATCTGAGCCAGCTTGTTGGTCAGATAGAGGAGGGCAGAGTTGTCTGCGGATGAAGACGTCTCGGAGCGCGGTCGCTTGTTTGTATGAGACATTGCTGCAGCACTGAGTGGCAAAATCAGGTTGCGCAATGGGCAAAATTGCCCGAAAATCTGCAAGAACACACCAATGGTAAAGGTTGCTTGAGAATTGAGGTTCTGATCTGTATACATAGAGGTCATCCAATGACAATAAGATTAAAGGGCCCACAGAGGCTCACCTTGGTCTGCGATTCAGCAGCTGGGCAAATAGTTGAACTACAGGCTAGCTGTTGGTATGTCAAGGACAACAGTGAAGAGATCTTGACCGCAGTTCAGTTAGTATTGCCCTGGTAGTCCTGACCTGCAATCAAACGGAGGATGGGCTTACTGGAGGCCGCAGGGCTTGTTTCGACAAACCCAACAAAAATGCCAGCAGCAGATATACTGCGCTCAGCCGTGTCCGCGCAGGAAGATCAAGATCTAGCCTGGGCCGCAGAACACGTTGTTGGGAGTGTGACCAGAGGGGACAAGCAGCAGAATGAGAGCACAAGCAAGAGAACTACTCGGAAGCAGCAGAGCGGGAGCGAGCAGAAGAGCGAGGTCGTGGCGCGAAGAAAAGGAGGCTGCGCGCGCGGCTGCCCGATAGCCATCCAAGCGCCGGCGCGCAGCCCCTCACTGCAACGTTCAACGTTCAACGTCAACCTGCGCCGTCAGTCCGAGCATCAGCGCATCAACAAGCCGTGCGCCAGACGGAGAGTGGGTCATGGTGAGCACTGCACTCCGCCATCGCGCTATGTAACATCACTCATCCATACCCGACATGCGCATGCTGGCTGCCAACCTCATACATAAGAGCGCACAACTCACTCTCGCTCAGCAGCGACTCTCCGCCTCTCGCCTCGCACACCACAGCCTACGAACTCGCACCCGCCCACTCTCTCCCGCCATGTTCCTGTCAAGTCGTCCAAGATCGCCATCCCCGTCCCGGAGGACAATGAGAAGATGCACATCCAGGATCGCCGTGGCATTGGCGTATGTACCGCACCCCGATAGCCTCTCTCCGACGACGCTAACCCTGTCTGAATCCCCCAGTACGATCCCCTTGTGCAGCCCTCGCTCCGCCACGAGAACAAGCTCAGACCCAAGTCTCAGAAAACGATCGCCTTCAAAATCCTCGCGAGCCAGGACGACCGCGTGCTCGCCATCGTCGGGCCCTGCTCCATCCACTCGCCCTCCCAGGCCATCGAGTATGCCACCCTCCTCAAGTCCAAGATGCCCGAGTGGAGCAACCTGCACATCATCATGAGGGCCTACTTGTGCGCCCGTTCTGTCTTAGCAGTGTGTCCGGGTGTTTTTGCGCTGTGTGGCGGGCCCGTTCGTCGTATGCCACGCTCGCCACATTGCGAGACCATTCGACGCACTAGCCTCGTTTTCAACCGCATACTGACATATCCTCACAGCGAAGTAAGACACTGGCCAGCATTGTCCGTCCCACACACCCTCCCAGTTCATCTCCGACCTCATCTCCTGGGCGCCATCGGTGCGCGCACGACCGAGTCCCAGCTCCACCATGAGCTCGCGTCCAGTGTGTCGTTCCCGATCGGCTGCAAGAACGGCAAGGATGGCAGCGTGAGTGGGTTAGCTGCGGCGGGTGGGGCGTATGCTAATGCGCAGTGATAGGTGGCGGTCCCAGTGGATGCGATGTGCTCGAGCTCGAACCCCCGCGCCTTTATGGGTGCTCGAAGGCATCGTACCGACACTGCGAAACGTCGTCGCGACGGTCAACCTGGACTGCCGGTTGGACCTGAAGACAAGTGCGTTGCATGCGCGCCACGCCGAGTACAACCCCAAGGTTTGTACTGCACTTCTCTGATCCAGTAATGTCGGATCTCTTCGCATTCCACCTTGTAGCATTTCGCGGCAGCCATCGTACTTATCCGCAACCCCGAGACGACCACGGCCATCTTCGCGTCCGACAAGGTGGTCGTCACCGGTGCGAAGAGTGAGGACGACTTGCGGCTTGTTTCGCGCACTGGCAAGTACGCCCAGATCGTCCAGAGGCTTGGCTTCGACGCCAAGTTTTATCCAACAACAAAGCCTGACCCGTGTAGCGAGGACAAGAAATCGCCACCACTCTCGCCGTTCCTGGACCGCATATATGCGTGCGTCCTGGCGCAGGGCTTCCTGACGGGCCTCGGGCTCCGGTTCTCACCAATGTACGTGCAGCTCTTCACCGCGTCGACGAGCAGCTGTCCCTCCTCAGCCTCGCGATCCTCAGCGCTACAAACTCGCTCGGGCGCGTCCTCCCAAACTGGCTTGGCGGCCGTCTCTAATCACGAAATAACCATAAAGCATTGCCCGATTATACGGTGGCGGATCCCCACTCCATATCTCGCCCGACCTCATACCCAACCCCTCCCAACGGCTCACCCCCGCCTTTACCCTTTCCTCCTCCTACCCACTATCCTCATCCTCACCATTGCCGACCCCCGCGAACCACCAGCCCACCACCCCGTGCTTCCTTCTCTCCCTGGTGGCGACCGTATCCTTCCTCGGCATGCCCGCCGCGGTCGCGCACGCGCTCCAACTCCTCGCGAGTGTCGGCCTGCACACCGCCGTGCGCTACCTGAACTTCGCGATCGGGAAGGGCATTGGCGCACCAGACGACCCGGAGGCGCGGGTGGGCGGCGGTGGGGACGGGGCGGTGGTGGGGCTCGAGAGCGTCGCGGAGGTCGTCGTCGACGACGAGGACGAGCTACCCTCGCCGACCAAGTCGTCCAAAGACTCAGACAGAGCTGGAGCAGCGAGAGAAGGACACGGAGACGATCACCGCCAAGCTCTCCGCGCTCTCCACTGCTCACGCCGAGGCCGAGGTCGAGACGCCCCTCCCCTCGCCGTCGATCAAGAAGGAAGCGCCGTCGTCGCCCGGCTCAGACACGTCCTCCATGGACGTGGACCTCGGCACCCTCGCGTCGTCTGCCGCGCCGACGACCGAGCCCGCGACGCGCCTCAAGCTGCATCATTACTACGCCACGTTGAGCGACAAGCTCGGCGAGGCTGCGGCGTGCTGGCTCGCGAGGTGGGGCCTGGACGTGCTGGCGTGCGAGGTTGGAGGAGCTTGGCGGGAGAAGCGTGGGTTGACGGCGCCGTCGCGGTTCGTGCCGCCAGAGGGCGTTGGGAAGGGGAAGGAGCGCGTGGGTGCTCGGCTGTCGGTGGGGGCGGCGCGGAGGAGGCGGGCGTGCAACGCTTGGTTCCCGTGGTGTGACAGCGCGGAGGCTTGAGTGCGCGGTGGGCGCGTGGGTTGCCGTCGAGTGACGCATTGTTCGTGCAGGGAGAGAGGGAGCGGTATGATGTGGCGAAGGCGGTGGTGGAGATTAGGAGGGGCGTGTCGCCGGAGGAAAGAGAGGAGGTGGGGGAGGAAGAGAGGGAGGGGGAGGAGTTGCTCCGCACGGGGACTTACTACGAGAACATGGTGCGCTGTCCATGCTTAGGTTATGCTCGATCGCTCATAGTGTTGCAGAGCCTCGACGACATGATGGCAATCTCAAAGGACGTATCGCCGAGTACGGGTCAGCCATACGTGCCGCTCTCCGTGCTGCAATCCGCACACTGGAACCAAGATGTCCTTCGCCATGGTATCATGTCACGTCCACGCGGCGGAGGCTCGTCGCCGTCATCCCCGCCCCTCTCACTGTCCGCCGCGCGCGACGAGGAGCCCGGGCTCGGCGTGTCTGGCGCCGACCTGCAGAAGGAAATGGAGGAGGGCGCGTGGTACCCGGTGCCCGGCAACTCATCAGCGCGGATCAGCGATAGCACCGCCAGTGTAGAGGGTGCCAATACGGAGCAGCAACTGCTCGAGCTCGTATCCCCACCGATGCTCGACAGGGGCAAGAATTGTGCGTGAACGTGCGAGGAGAATGTCTTCGGCCTGCAGCAGCAGCAATTCTCGGCGGCGACGATCACACAGTGCGATGGCCATTTGCCAATCACTGCACAAAAATACATACTGTATTACTTGTCATTGTCAATGATATCGTCCTCGAGCGTAGCCTCCCACTCTTTTGCAGCTTGTTCAGCTGAGATGATCCCATCCCGGTACTTCTTCCATATTCCTGGTAGCCGTGAACTTGTAGCGACTGACAGACCCCATTGTGCGAATGGAGGATCTGGGCGCCCAGGATCGCGTTTCATCAGGCTCGTGCCATGGACGTCCCGCGGGCACCATGCGATGAATGTGTTCGGGGCCATGCACACCTTGACGCCATAACTTGCAACATAGAAGTTCCCTCCTTCGTCATCGTTCAGATTACGATTTGTTGTCCATGAGTATGCGTATCTGTGTGGCTGGTGTTCGGAATGCATCGCTCTATTATCTCATGAGCACACTGCCATACACTGCAGTGCCATGGAGACGTACCTCGCATAGTTAGCCCCCATAAATGCAGCAGGCGGCGCGAGTTCAGCATTGTGAAATTCTACAAACTCGCCCGCCTTTTCAACACAGTACGTCCCACGCGTGCTACCCTTCTTCGCCATTTCGCCGTTACCATCCATCCGACAAAATTTGTGCTCTGCGAGGAAGTCCTCAAAGTCTTGGGTGATGGCATCTGGAAGACGGCCACACATCATATTGAATGAGAGGGAACAGACCGATGCCGTGCGGCATTCGAGGGATTTGAGGTATTCGGGCGGGTGTTTCTTGCTGAGTGTGTTGCGGGTCCAGACAAAACAAGGGCTAGACCGTGAACCTGCTGTATAGCCGATACAGACAAGGGTTCCAGGGTCTCCCTTCTGTCTCAATCCACTTATTGAGTGTGCATTGCACATAAATGTTGCACGACTCACCCGCACGTTGCGCCTCAGGCTCGCATTCAAACCAACCACATCTCCTGCCCAATCTACGACTTGTTGATCACCGCAGAAATTGCGAATAACTGCGACAGCGATTTGCCCAGTTGCCGAATCGTATATGATGGCACTCTTGTCCTTGGGAACGATATGGGCGAGCTGGGAAATGTCTTCGGCCAGCATCGGCAGACGCTTCATCCGTTTGTCTGGTAGCGGGCCGGCCTCGATGTGAGGTCGCCAGAGTGCCTCGACCTCAGGGGTCTCGTAAACCCAGTGTCGGTGGTCAGGGTAAGGAACACAAAGCCGTGGAAGACAGATCTCATACGCGATCGCCCTGAGGTTAGCCATCCGGACATCGTTGTCCATTCGGCGAAGCCCAAGGTCTTCGACCAATCGCCGGTGAACTTTCCGGTAGTGCTGTTGTCCTGCCTTCCTTTTCTTCATAGTGGCCACCACGATCAAAGGTATGTCGTCTTTAAGTGCCACACACAAACTGACGAACCCGGAAAATGGGTCTTTACCGAGAACGGCCTCGGACGTCGCACCCAAGCTACGCAGGTGTCCGTCCAGGATACCCAGAGCCTCCTTGTGGTAGCGGTCGTTCCAGGAAAGCAGTAGGGTGGACAACGCGTGCGCGTCCTGTCCCAGCCGCAATGCAAGCTGAAGGAACGTGTCCCGCTTCATCGCCATCGTCTTGATTGCGTCGGCCTGCAGAAGTGATACTAGCTGAGTATACCATGTAGCTAGAGCGAATCACCATGTATTACCGATCAATCACAGGCTATACAGTAATGGGTCACCATAGGCCATAATAATACAAGCTGTCCTGCACTCACAATGCCTTAGACTCGATAGGTGGATGTGTCGACAGGTCCCATCCGGCGTGCGTAGTGCGCGGCCGTGCTGAGCCTATATCAGTCACGTGACTGTGGCTGTGGCGCGCGGGCAGGACGCGCGCTGCACGCTCTCCCTAACACTGCCGCCTGCCCCGCCCACTAGCCCCCGGATCTACTCCATACGGTCTCGTTGTGTACTACTGGTATCGGCCTGTTTGTGTGCGATGTGACGGTTGCCTTGGCCCCTCACGGAGGCCGGGTGATGAGCTGCTCGTACCGGATGGGTCGCTCTGCTGGCAGTACCAGAGCTCCACGGCATCGCGGGGAGCAGCAAGCATGAACATGCGAGATACCGGGGATCTTACACAACCACCGGTATGTACAAAGCAACTCAATTTACACCGAGTGGCACTGACACATGTCCTATGTAGATGTTCTACTACCGCGTTGCCATCGCCCACAAACCAAGAGCCCCGCGCACGCCCGCCGCACTCCCAACGCTACGGTGCGCCTGCTTCCTGCTCCACCAGTTCCTGTATGCTGATGCCCTAGTAGTGTTGCCCCAGCATGCCCTGCAGCCGTATGCTCACCACACCCCGCCGCCGCGCCCGCCTACGGTTCGTTGGCTGGCTGCACGCACACTGCCCATCTCGACTCTCGCCGCTTCTCCTGCGCTCGCCGCACTGCCTTCCCCGCATGCCGCCCCGCCCGCCTCCTGTTCGCATACACGCGCGCCCCGTCCTGCCACTACGCCACAGTCCCTATGCTCTCTGCTGGCCGCCCATCCATCGGCGCGGCGCCCGCCTCCGATTCGCTGGCTCGTGGCTCGCGCACCGTCCATCTCGCTGCACCGCCTCCCCACCCGCCATTGCATCCGTATCGCGCACGCGTCCCGTTCGCTGGCGCGTGCTCTCGGCCGCCACCGAAATACGCCGCGCCTGGCATAGAGAAGCAGGCCCACTGCGAGTACTTCCCCGCGGACCCTATTCAAAATCGCTGCTTCGCCATCTGCTGGACCGCGGACACGGAGTGCTATAGCGCCACCACCGACTACGCGCTTGTGGACGGGTATGGTGCGCGCATCCGCGTTGTCGGGATTCGGCAACACGTTGGGGTTTGCTGCGTTCGTGCATGTTCGCTCGTGCATACTTCGTTCGCTTCTATCCCTGTATCAAAACCGCCTGGTGGCTTCTTGTCGAACACGTCGTTGCTCGAGGCGCCAGCGAATTCTAGCATGTGGCGTGCACGGTCTAGCGTGGTGTTACCCACGACTCGGACAGTCCTCGCCGGCACATCCATCCACGAGGATGTGCTCTTTGCGAAAGGCGCGGGGTGCCACATGGAGTATGGCGGCGGCGGCAATGTCAAGTTGGGCGGGATGTTGCACACCTCGCCCGCCTTCAGGTGCCATGTCGGCCAATCACCCAGCGAACCAGGACACGCTGCTCGAAAGGCTGCTGCTGCGAGTACTCCCTGGTACTGGCTGTCTCTGCGGAAGCCCGTGACAGCTGGCCACTCAATCCAGTTCGACGGTGGCCCCGCCGCCTTCCTCTCTGCCTGCATGTGCCACATGCGCTATGCCAGCACCGAGTGCAGGGCCACGCCTGGCTACAACTATGCCGGCGCACTCTCCGAGCGGTGCTCGGGGCTGCCAGGAATGGGAGGGAGAGAGACGTTGGGCGGCCGCGGTAAGCGTGTCTGTACAACAAACCCCTGTACGACAAACCCCTCCGCTCTTCCCCCTGGACGCCGCATGCTATGTACCTTCGCCTCCTCCCGACCCGCCACTCTTGATTTGCCAATAATCCATGCTTACATCCCTCTTGCACGTCGCCCTCGTCCAACATGATCGTACCCTGTGGACGGCACCACGCCGTCTGCTACGATTCTCGACAACTGCCACAACATCGTATGGTACCCGCTTTCAAGCTGGGTCGCAGCCTTCCCGCCACCTCCGAAGACCGTCCTCGACGTTGCACCCGTCCCGCCGGCACGACCCGCTGTTGCACCCGCGCAGATAAAGATCGCATTGCTCCTGATCTGAATCAGGTGCATTGACGACGCCGGACAGCGAGGACGTGGTCGAGAGCAACTCACGCCTGCCATCGGCGCGTCAAAGAATATCTCCCAGCCTGTTGTTGGACCAGCCATTGGCAACACGTCGGAGGCGCTGCGGCATGGCATACAGAACAGGCAAGTGCAGTCGAGCGTCTCCAGTCCTGGTGATGTGGTTGCGTCGTGCCAGATGCAGATGCCGCCGCTCTCTGTGGCAAGCTCGCCGTGTTCTGCATCCCCTTACGGCTACTACGAACCTGGTGTACTACATTCGCGAGCTGGTCCTATGCCATCGCCACCACAGCCTCTCACGCTCAGGATTCTTAGTCCGGCACTGTCACGTCCACCAACACACGTACACGCGCCGTCCGAAGACCAACGCGCCCAACCTGGCTCACCACTCAAACACGTCGCGCTCTCGCAAGTCGCGTCTTTGCAGACAAAGGAAGCCCCGAGGCTATCTTGTTCACATAGCACGGTCCAGTGCTCACGGCAGCTCGCGGGTGGAATGGTGCAGAGCTCTCCAAACCAGGAGGGCTGCCGAGAAGGGAGAAGGATGTATTTAGGAGACTGAGTACTCACATCTGTTGCCCTTTGTTGCCCTCTCCTGCACACGCACGGTGTGTGTCTCCTTCTGTGCATCCGCCTTTTCTCGACGTGTTCGCTCTCCTTCGGCCGCGTCTCTCCATCGCCCCACACCCACTTCCTCCGAACACGGCTGTACGTACACCTCTGCCTTTGTCTATCCCTGACGCGCCCACTCATCCCCCTCATCCCTCTCGACTTTTGACTTGTCCACCTCTCGCATCTCCGCCTCCGGGCCTCCAATTGCCCATGTCCACTTGCCCGCCCACCCGTCCACCTACCCACTCACTCGCCTACCAGCGCGCTCACCCGCAAACCCACGTCCACCCGCGCCTGACCCCGTACCCGCTGCCACGGGTGTACCCGGGCGGGTACACAGGTAGACCCGTGCTCTGCCCGGCGCGATCAAGGGCACGAAGGCTGCGAAGGGCGAGCACCTTGACCACACCGTCGCCATTTAGTACGTCCCCGCCGTCGGTGACTCCAATCAACGAGCACTGCTCAGAGATCTTCTGTCGTGGCCGCTCGACGGCCAACATCTTGAACGGGTGCGAGGTGTGTAACATGTGTCCCGGGAGATGAAACATGTCGCTGATGCTGCTTATGTTCCAGGACTCTGCTTCGCCAAGCTGCCCATCCTTGACCTGGCCATATCACTGAGCTGTTCATGGTGTGTCAAGTATCGCGACGTCTCCGCTGGCCAGATATCTCCCCGATGTACCTAGTAGTATCCCTTGGTCTCATAGATGCTTGTGATCACTACTTGGAATCACGTCTCCAGCACGTCTATGCTGGCTTCAACTGTATTATGTATGCTGGGCTGTAATGCCTAGACTAGCGATAAGTGTATGTACGATTGCAAAAGTCATATGCTAAGTGGGTAACACTATTAAGATCCTGTAGAGGTACTAGTATTGTAGAGGGTAAGTATCGTATCATTATGGACATTATGGACATTCACTCGACGAGTGGAGGCATTAGGGGATGGCCGGTCTGTATGTACTGGCCTGCAGGTTCCACCGAAGGGACACGCTATTACTCACCCAGCCAGGGGGCTTTGTCGCAGAACCACTTTCGGGCACAGATGTACTCAAATCCTGAGGTATTGCGAGGTCTCCGAGATATTCTGCTAAGTCGCCGGGAATTGACTGAACAAGGTCTGTACGCCATCACTGTGGCGAAGTGACTATGGCTAAGGCTCAGGGGGACATACCGGTATATGATTCAATTGAGCTGGGGATGATCGGATCCAGCACAGGGTCCTGGTACCAGCCACTTGGCCCGTAGTATGCCGTGCACGTTAGGGGCTGCAGCATCCCACGATGGTACCTCAGGATCAAAGGAAGGGTACACGGGGTTGACGTGTTGAAGAGGGTTGTCGCCCGCCAGAAGCTTGACCATCGAAGGAGGCAGTGGAAGTGGGTTGTTCGTCTGAGCAATCATCGGAAGAGACGGCAGCTCTGCCTGGGCCAACATCAACGGAGGCAGCTCGCTCGCCCAAGCTATCTGCAAAGAAGGTAGCGACTCGCTCAGCTGAGCGGCCATCGTAGGAGGCAGTAGATCGTTTGTCTGAGCGATCATCGGAGGAGATGGCACCTCGTTCGCCTGAGGGTTCTGCGAGGGAAGAGGTGGCTTGCTCGCCCGAACAATCTGCGAAGGAGGTACGAGTGGCTCGTCTGCCTGGGCCAACGGAGGTGGCTTGCTCGCCCAAGTGATCTGCGAAGGAGGCAGCTCATTTACGGCTGGTGGCGAGGCTGGCGGTGAATCATTCACCCGAGCGATCATCGGGGGAGGAGGAGGCTCACTCGGCGCCCGAGCATGAGAAGGAGGTGACGTATCGTTCGCCTGGGCGACATCGGAAATCGACGACAGCAGCTGGTTCGCCTGAGCGACAGTGGAAGGTAGGGACAAAATGGTGGTCTCGACGGACTCAGATGGAGTCGGAGGTTCGTTTGCCTCAGGCTCGGTATCAGCAGATGGCCGCGAAGGTCGGCCACTGTCTGGTCCCATGGGAAATGCAGAGGCTTGGCACTGGACCGACCAAGTGTTCCCAAATAGCGAGTGTAGTCGCCCCAGAGTGCATTCGGGGTGTTGAGGCATCGCTGCCAGATATCGGCATCCCCGCGCCCGAGATCGGCTCGAGCATCGTCATACCCTTTGCATCGCTTCTTCTGCCACTCGTACTTCGGCCAGGCGAGCGAACATGCAGATGCTCGACCGACTTGAGGAACCCTCTGCGACGTAAGGTTGTGAACCTTAATGAGCCCGTTGTAAATATCGGTGAAGGGCAAACTCTTCGGGAACGACAGGTCGTCTGAACCATACGACCTTGCCTTGAAACCGGTTGGGATCGTCGGCACGGAGAGGGTCACACTGGCTGGTGCTGGTACATCAGTGGTGGATGCCCCAGACGACATGGAGGGCTCAGGCGACCCTACAGAGGCTACTTACTAAACGACCCATCGACGACTCGGCACCCTCTGTGACCAGTTCTTCGTCGATGGTTGGCAGAGTGTTGCTGGGGATGTCGCCAGTCACACCAGAACGAAGGGCCCTCCAATCGGAAGAGAGCGAAGCTCGTGAGACCCTCGGGAAGTGCCCATCAGGCTCTGTGATACGACCAGGGCCAGGCGACGAGCAAGTACGGAGTGGGCTGGGAGCTTGTGGTGCGATTGCCGACTCGGAGTCCAGACGAGCACGCTTCGCAGATCCCGCCGAGTTCGATGACATTGGGAGCAGGTCATCGACAGTCGCAAAGGATCGCTTCCTGCGGAGGGCCTGCATGGCCTCGGACATACCGGGATAGTACTCCATCGGGTCGAAGTCGGGAGCAGCGAGCGAAGGGATCGTTCGGAGGAGGAGGCTCGTCTCACCCCCAGTGATTTGGCGATAGCTATCGGCTGCGATAATAGACCACTTATTCGTCTTCGGGTCGTAGATATGAACGAAGGGCGAGCTGGACTGGGGAGGACAGAGCATATCGCAGAAGGTGGGGTAGTCGCTCAGCCGGAACGCAGGGTGAGTTGTGACGTGAACCGAGGTGATCTCTACTGCCTCGGTCGCTGGCTACAATACAGGAATCAGTTTCGGTGAGATACTCGCAGACGACTGCCATGCTCACCTTCAACCACAGTGAGAGTCCAATGGAGTGTTGGATCTGCTTCTGGGCTTCGTGGATACTTGATTTCCTCTGCGCAGGGCCGATCTTGTCATAGGCTTGCTGACGAGCCGATAGCCATGGCTGTGGCATCTCGTGCCGTAATCGCAGTGGCTGTGCATACTGGGTTGGTCGGGTGTCAGGTGGACATTGGGGCGACCTGGCCTGAGATCCAAGTGGCGACTCAGAGGCAGCATTCAGTGACGCAGAGATGACAGGCTGGGATGGTGCAGGGTCGGAAGAGACAGGCTGGGAGGACGATGGTGTGTCGGACGAGTCGGACGAGTTGGCCTGACAGGATGGAAGCTCTAAGTCAGAACAGAAATGTACGAGACGATAAAACGATGCTAACTATCAATGCAGCTGGACCAGGCTGGACCAGTGGTTTAAATGGCTTGTTCATTTTGCGGATCGCATGGGGAGCACACCGAGGCGAGGGTGTACCCGAAGCGATCGCAGCCCGGGCCGCAGCCTGACAACAGTTTCGGCACTGCTCACGAGGGCACAGCTGATTTGCTGCACGAGAGCATTTGCCACACGAAACTGATCCACCCTGGATCCACCTGTACTCAGAAGCCCTGGTCAGTCAAGCCAACAATAACACATGTAAGTCGACTCACCCCGCCCCATCCGCCAACCTGAACTGCCGATCCTAGTATCGACCCCAACAACTCTGATACCGCCAAAGGAATATCGCGAAGCCGGAGATGTGATAGAATGCTGTGATAGAGTACGAAAACGTGTGGTACCCTGTCACTGACAGATGGGCCAGCCAAATCAGCTGACAGCGACGAACAGAGCCCAGAAAAGGTAGCTTACCGATGTTTTTGCTAGACTCAGCTGTAGTTTGAAGGGGAAAACCGAGTGAAGTCCTTAGTATGACAGACGAGGCGACGCGCACAGCGCAAACACATAAGAGAGTCGCCGGCACGGACAGTCGAGTCGTGCTGCAAAGGTCGGACACCTTATATATACCTGAGGGGACGACCGACGAAACTTTCGTTCAGAATACTCGGGGCGAAACTTTCACGCATGAGAGTGTCTAAACTGAAACTTTCAATCGCGTGTCGGCAAACTTGAAACTTTTGTCTCGGCGGACATTCCATTTTGAAACTTTCAATTTACCAGACTATTATCCTATTCGGAAAGTTTCAGACCGAAAGTTTCGGCATGAAAGTTTGCGTGAAACTTTCATTGAAACTTTCATTTTTGCGGCAGATTTCAACGTTCCCCATTTCTCCCTTCTATTTTCTGGTCATTGCCAAACCTATACATGTACACAGACGGGTATCGTAACATTGGTCAAAGCAAACCTTACGAAACGTGAATGCGACGACAGCAGAATAGCGATGAAAGCAACGACAGCAGAATAGCGATGAAAGCGACGATAGAACAGACGGACCGTGATTATGTATGTACGAGAAACAAAGCCAAGACATAAGCCACCGAAGCACCAGATGACAGGAAGTATCTCGTGCGCGTACGGATGTTACATGTACCCTCAGAGACATGGCCATCAACGTTTGGTCAACGTATGAGAGAGCCCGAGGACCGCCGCGATCAGTCACAGACTAGTGCGGGCGGCCGACGTCTACATCATGGAAGCACCCGCCCTGCGCTGGGCCGCCTTCCTCTGGTCCCTAGCCACACCCACAGTGTTCGAGCGCTGGCGGTCCTTCCCAGAGCATCGGCGCACGTCGGAAGTGGGAGGTCTCACAGGTGGCGACGGCAGTCGGAGAGGTGCATCCGCCTCGCCCATCTGGACGTCTGCGTCCACGCCAGAATCCGAGCTCGCTGTATCTCCTTCCACGCCCTGGTTTGCTCCTTCGCCTTGGTGGCGCGCGGAAAGCGCTTGTGCAAGCCTCGACGCGACTCCTTCGGATATTCGCACACGAAGTTCCGACGCGCACATTGGCTGCAAAAACAAGCCCAGCATCAGCATCAGCATCGCGCATCGACAGTCACACTGGAACTAGCAGACGAAGACTGTGAGTTGAGACTCACTTGCATCGCTGCTCCGCAGCGCCCGTGACAGGCCGGGGCCCGCATCCGATCTTGCGTACGCGGCAGAACAAGCAGGCCATGATGGGCTTCTTCTTGACGGGATCTTTCGCAGTGCCGGGCGACGTGAGCCTGAACATTTGCTGGCCCGGGTGCTCCGCGCCTTCCGGGAGCAGGATCTCGTCGAGCGACATCTGCGGCTGTGCGTTCGCGGGCGCGTCCGAAAGTTCGGGCGGTGTGAGCGAGTCCATCCAGCGCCGCTGCGGTCGAACGTCGTACCCGGGGGCGGGCAGGGGCTGCACGGGCGCGTCAAGCAAGGGGTAAGGGTAGTTGACCGGCGGAGGCGGGGAGGAGCGACTGGGCAGAGGGTGCTTCTTGGGGCGGCCGCGCCCGCGTCGGATCGGCTGTCCGTGTGAGCTCGAGACTTTCGGAGCACCGCCGGCTTTCTGCGACATGGAGTTGGCAGGCTGCACGCTCGGTGTTGCAGTCACAGCTTGGACAGTCTGACTGGCAGGAGTCTGACTCTGAGTTGGGTTCGCAGCAACATCTCCCGGGAAGGGGAGGTGGTCCATGATGGGGCGGCCTCGGTGCGAGGGGACCGTTGGCGCGGGTGGCTCAGGAGACTTCGTGACGGGAGTAACCGGTGTCATGGCGTTCTCGAGTGTGTAGGAGCGATTGTTGTGGATCGGCCTGGGCGGCATGGCTACGTAGTAATCTTGCTCGTACGGGTCCTCGTCGGGCGACTGCGGGGGCAAAGCGTAATACGCATACGGCTGCGTACGTACATGCGATCCGTCCTCAGCCATGTACGGAGTAGGCTATCAAAACATCAGCTGAGTGAGTAGCTGTAGAAACCGAAGAGACCTCACTGCAAAGCCGATAGCCGTGTCACTGGGAACATACTCGTACTCATCCTCGTTGAGCCCGAGGTTATCGTCAGTATAGTCACAACCACCGGACACGCCGGCGCCCTGATAAGAGGAATAGGAGTCGTATGCAGGCTCGGTCTTGACAAACGGTACGGCATCCGCCTCCTGGCCACACGGCCCGTATGTACTCAACGGGTGGCTGTTGCCTTCGATGTACTCCGGAGTCAGTGGTGCGCGAAAGACGGGCCGCTCACTGGTCGACCTCCGCCAGTCCATGTCTTCCTCTTTGATCTCCTGCTTGACGTTGGCAGGCACTGACTGAGGATGCTCGCCATGCGGCTGTGAGAGACGGAGGTTTCGTCTACTCGCACTGGGAGGGAACGGGCTGCCTGGCGGCTCGAACGTTGGTGGTCGCTCCGCGACCGAGTCGTAAGTGGGTCGTGAAGGTCGTGTGCTGGCGAGGAGCCGGCCTGAGATATACGGTCGGGTTGGCGAGGAGCCGCCGCGACACGTATACCGACGTGCACTAGCGAGGAGCTAGCGTGGCACGAGTCGTCGAGTCTTGGCGAGGAGCCGAGACGCGAGGAGCCGTGGACGTACGCGGAGGTGAGGTCCGCGAGGTGAAAGCGTGCCTGCAGCGAGGAGCCCAGGAGGCCAAGACGGCGAGGAGCCGCTCTTGGGGTAGGAGACAGCGAGGAGCTTCTCCTCAGAGCGGCGAGGAGCTCGCGCTGGGCGCCGAGGAGCGAGGAGCTCGCGCGGCTGGGGACTTACCTCCTGGTTCGGACGGTGCGGTATCGCACACGGACGAGTGTGGTAGGAGTTCAAGAAGGTCTGGCGTCTAATTGCTGGACGCGCGCGAGATGACTGCGAGCGCGCGCTTACGTAATTACAGTAAGAATACAAGATGTACTAATTAATCTAGGGACGCGGTACGAAAGCCTGCGGGTCGCGATTATCGAAGGTAGTCCTATATACGTTAGCGTACGCAGCCTTGATGCGCTCTACCGCATCCATAACAGTGCCCCCCATCGCGAGTCGCAGGTCTTGAGCGATGTCGTCCCGTAGGTTCCATTCGAGCATGAGCCGTCCGATTGCGAACCAGTGCCTCATGCGTACCACGTCGTCGTCACTGTCGAAGTAACGCGGCTCGTCGGCGGATGGATATGTTGTCGTTCCTTGTCCCCACGCTCGTCGAATACGGTCGCGTACTCCTGCCCAGATGGCCCCCCGCGCTGCGTCCGTCGTGGCCGCTTGGAGACTTGGTAGCCGCCTTGCCGCTAGTCGTTCGAAATTGTATCGAAACAAGAACGTCCGCAAACTCCAGATCTCGTTCTCCCTTTCGTTCGGGAGAGGGTTCCGGAACGGGTCGATGGCGCCGTCTGGTAAGGGACGAGCTGGATTGGTCCTAGCAGCTCTCACCAAGTTAGGAGGACCTCGGAGGTTAGACTTCCATTGACGGTGGTTCCGCAGAACCCAATCCTCCGGCTTCCTCTGCAGACGTAGAAGACAGGGTCCACGATTTTGCAGCCAAGTGATCGTGCTCAGGTACCCTTCGTCGCCCTCCGCTAGCAAGAGTTGGGGAGAGGGTAGCGGCGTCCCCGCGTCTTGAGGATAGACCGGCGCGGGACCCAGCTCGTCTTCTCCCTTTAGCCGGAGGACTGGCACGTTTCCGTCACGCTCGAAGGGATGGTGGAGGTATTCATCCACCTCGGCGGCGGAGTGCAGCGGAAGGCGGGTCCTTAGAGGGACTCCGGAGGGTAGGCTGACCGTGTGCAGCTCGTCAACGGTTGGGGCCGTCGGGGGAGTCGGGAGCGTGTGGGGGGTTGCTTCCGAGATCCGGCTCTCGAGGGGTAGACCCATGCGTTCGAATAACGAAGTCTTTGAGCGCTTTTCATCGGGACCCAGTTCTCCTTCTTCCAGAACAGGGATCTCTGGAGGATTCAGTCGAGAAAGGAGGCTCGAGGGCTCCAGCCTATCCAGCAGGGATCGACGGGGAGGAACCGGAATAGCTGACGCAAGTCGTTGTTCGAGGGGTAGCGAGGGCGTCAATGGCGGGGGAGTAGCGGGTCTCGTGGGGGCCCGTTGCTCAGTAGACGACGCGGGGCTTCGCGAACGCCTACTAGGCCCAGAGCTCCTTTCCCTCCCTCGTGTCGGCGCGTGAGGCGTCTCCTCCCTTCGATTGAATCGACGGCGGTCGTCGAAGTCAATCCTTTGACCCGGAGGAGGACGGTTCATCCCGCGGGGGGTGTATCGGACCGGGGAGAAATGCAGCCGCCGAGGCGATCGCCGGCGATCGGATTGTCGTTCCGCGAGACGGTCTCGGCGGGGGGAAGGAGAACGGGACCGTCGCCGGGAGGCGCGTTCCAATGGAGCGGGGGAACGTCCCCGACGCGGCGGGGGAGGCGACACGCGACGAGGAGGAGAGCGATGACGCGAGGGACGAGCGGGCAAGCGCGAAGGAGACGTTCGACGAAGAGGGGCAAGAGGAGTGATTGGAGGAGGCAGGAGGGACAGTCGTGACGACGGGGAAGCGCGTCGCTTACCCCGGTCCAGCTGACTCGAAGAGGCCGACGAGGAGGTGAGGGAAGGCTTCGTCGCAGACTCAACCCGCTTCGAAGGAGGCGGAGAACCAAGGACCATCGGGGAATCGACTCGGGGAGGAGGGGAAACGTCCATTCTCCTTCCCAGGGGAGAAGACAACCTCGGAGGCGACGAAAGAGGGGTAGGATCGGGGGCGGGCTGATTGACCCATCCTTCCTCTTCTGCGACGGAGGTGAGCGCGGCAATAGGACTACCGGCTAGCGGTCGAGCGGAGGGGACTGTCATGGGCAGAGACGGTCCGGCGACCGGGGCGGGTCGGCGAAGGCCACGGGATTTCTCCCAGTCGAAGTCCGAATCTTCGTCAGCGGACAGGAATTCCGCGGCGCGTTGCTTCTGGCGACGCGACGACTTCTTCGTTTTTTCGGGCGGAGGACCGTGCTCTTCCTCGTCCCAGGGTTCATTGGACAAACGTCCATCGACAGAATGGATCCGCAGGAGGAGTTGAGACGCTGCGGGACCTTCACGGCGGGAGTACCAGACGGGGATACCGAACCATACTAACCGCTTGATGAGGTCTTCGTCTGACCCTCGAACCCAACAACCGACGCCGACGAGGCTAGGAGATGGGGCAGCAAGACGCCCTTCGTCAAACGCTTTCTGGAGGTAGGAGCGGTACGCGTACGCCCTCAGCTCCAGTAAATGGCGCTGGATCGTCGCCACATGCTTGCGGGCCGTCTCGAGATTGGAGTCGATGTACTCGAACTGGTACCTAGCTTCCTTGACGTCCGCTGGTCGGAGGACCAGAGACTTGGGCGGGTCTCGATCTCTAGAGAGGAATCCCTCCGCCCGAAGGAGTTCCGCATCGTACAGGCCCGTCAAAGCTATGATGAAGTCCGAGTCGGACTTGCCCTTGCCGCTCTGGTTGTTGAGGATATGGAAGTTACCTCTCCGTCCATTCCTCTTGCAATCCAGAAGGACGTACGCAGGGTCGACTCCTTCCGCGCCAGGAGGTATCTCGTATATGAAGGGCAGATGGCCCCTGGCGCTGCTCCAATATTGCGGGTGGAATCCCGGCTCGAATATACCCCTCCTACCATCTGAGAGAACATCCTCGTGGTCCCGCGGGCCCGGCGGAGGGGAAGGGACGTAGTCGGCGTTGGGTGAGACGGCGTAGGACCCGTCCTCCAGAGCAGCCATAGCACGGACCGCCCGGTGAGCCGAATACAGCGGCCAGTTTTTATCCCTTACTTGCGGCCTCAAGGGAAGGACCTGGTAGTCCATAGGGACCCATAGGGAGGAGCGGAAACGTGGCAGTTCCCTAGTCGCTCTCGAAGGTCGGGACATGTCGACGCTCAGGAGGTTCGGAGTCAAACACTCTTGAGGGAGCACGAAGGAGAGGATAGAGAACGAGACGAAGTTCGGAATGTCGAACACCCGTCTGGATGAGGCGCAGAGGTTCGGAGCTTTCGAACACTCGCGAGTGGTAGTAAGAGAGGGAGGAGGTCGCGCGCTAAAGGCGCTGAGCTAGCTACCTCCGCGACGCGGTCACGTGGGGAGTGTTCCGTCGCGGATCGCGTACTACTCGCGATCGGAACTTCGCATAACTATGGTAATTCTAACTGTACAGTACGGGTCGTTGCTATATACGGGGTCTAATTGTCAGACAGGGGAACGGTCGAACGTTCGCGCTAGCGGGTCAAGTTATGGATCGCTTTGAATTCGCGAAGGATCTCGTACGCGTTGGCGAGATGCGAGGCGGGTTCCCAAGTGTCGTATACTGGACTGTATCCTTTCCAGCGTACAAGAAACTCGAGGCGATTGCTTCTTGACTTGTTCCTTCTCCACGCTACGATGCGTTCGACTTCGTATTCTTCCGCAGCCAAGATCTCCGAGTTGCGTGGGTCCGGCAGGACGGGGCGATTCACGCCCATTACGGATCCGTCGGATTCTTGGTATCTGCGAAGGTGCTCGATGTTGATGACCGGATTCATGGGATAGGTGTTGGGCATGGCGAGCTTGTACACAAGAGGGTTAACTTGCTCCTGAACCAGGAAAGGACCCAACATCTTTTGTACGAGCTTCTTTCCAGTGCCCTTGACGTCGACTAGTTCCAGCGAGTGCGGGTTGACTAGCACGCGGGAGCCCACTGGGAAGGTTTCCGGGCGACGGCCCTCATTGAACGTCCGAGCAGCTTGTTCTTGAGCCATGGCGATAGCGTCACGAGCCCTTTGTCGGTGGAGTTCCATACTCAAGACGAACTCGGTAGCTCTTTCGCTAACAAGCAACGGACGTTGCTCGTAGCGGTTAGTGCCGCCTATGAAGTCGGCCGACCCTTTTGGTTCGAATCCGTAGAGCAGGAAGTAAGGGGAATACCCGGTTGTTGAGTGAACGGATGAGTTGTACGCGTGGGCGAGGGCTGGGAGCCACTGGGACCATCCTTGTCGGTCTCCTTGGACGTAGGCTCGCAGCATGGTTTCCAATCGCTGGTTAACAATCTCCGTTTGGCCGTCGTGCTGAGGGTGATGGGAGGACGAGAGGGAGAGGTGAATTCTCAATTCTTCGGCGACTGATCTCCAGAATTCCGAAATCCATCGGCCGTCCCGATCGCTAATGATATGGTCCGGGATACCAAAGCGGAATATGACTTGCAGTACGAATAGGTGGGCGAATTCCACCGTATTCATAGTCCCTTGACAAGGAACGAAAAGGGCATATTTCGTGCATCGGTCGACCACCACGAATATGGCGTCGAATCCGTCCGAGAACGGCAAGCCCGTGATCAGGTCGAACGAAATCCATTCGAACGGTCGGTCGGGTACCGGGTTCGGTCTCAGGAATCCAGCTTTCGCCCGGTGGTCGGCTTTCGTCTTCTGACAAACGTCACAAGACATGGCGTAGTCCTTGACATCTTTCCGCAGGGTAGGCCAGAAGAACCTCGAGTTGATGCGCATAGCTAGCTTGGCGGGTCCTTCGTGTGCTGATTCATAAGGAGAGTCGTGAATCCTGGCAATGAGAGGGAATACTTCAGCTCGAGGGACGCAGAGTCTGGCAGGGTCCGAGCCCGTCCGCATGTATAACAATCCTGAGTCGTCCGTGAAGAAACATTGTCCCGCAAATTTCTGTAGACCTGGTTCTGATGCCTTCATCCACTTGATTTTGAAGAAAGCATCTTTGGCGTAGCTCTTCACGAACTTCTCGCGATATTCGTTACTAAGCTCAATCAGAGCAGTCGGTAGCGAGACATCTTCGGGTGGCCCGTAGAGAGTGCTCGGATTCGTTGTCGCGATAGCGGGCGGCTTGGGATCTTGTTCCGTGGTCGCGATGCCGTCTCGTTTCTTCTTAATAGGCACTACTGGGGGGCGCCGGTGTTCCTTGAATCTCGTAGAGACTGGAGCTGCTAGCTTATCTTCAGTGTTGGCGTCGTCTCGGGCCTCGTCGTAGTTCGGGTCTCTCGTGCAGATCGGAGAATCGATCATGCTCTGAGTATCCTCGCGGTCCGAGCAGATCGGTGCTTCGGTCATGCTCTGGGTATCCTCTTCACTCCACTTGTATTTGCCCCCCACGTCGAGGCCCGAGTCGTCGACGGGGGAGTTGCTGAAGGGTCCCCAAGATGGAGCGGCGTCGAGGACATCTTCCCAAGAGCGAATAATGGTCGCGGCTGCTGCCATCTTCACCGCCGGAGATCGTTCTGCAGCAGACTCGGCGGCCGCGGGTTTGACTTGGTCAGTAACAATTGGAATCGAGGGGTCGGACAGTGGTGAATCGTGAGCGGGAGGCTCTCTGGGGAGCCGCGATAGAGGATCGACGTTGGAATGAACTCGACCCGCTCGGTGTACGATGTCGAGATTAGGCAGGTAAGCCGCGAACACCGCCCCCCAGGCTGCTAGTCTGCGATTGGTGTTCTCATAAGTCCTGGCCCATTGGAGCGCTGCATGGTCGGTGACTAGAGTAACCTGTTCGCCTTCTATGAAAGGCTGGAAGCGGACAAGACCGTCCTTCGCCGCTAGAGCCTCTCGTTCGGTCGCTGAGTAATTCCGCTCAGCTGGTTTACAAGTTCGACTCCAATAGGCAATGACCCTCTCCACATGGACGGTCGTTTCGTCCAATGTGGAGGCCCATTGCCCTGGTGGGGGGCTATCGTCGAATTTGTTGGATATCCGTGAGGTGAGGCTGGGAACGGCGGATCCTTCTCCGAACGCTTTGTTCAACCGGTCGTAGGCTCGAGTGCCTTTGAGATCGCCTACTCGGATAGGTTGTACTTGCTGTAAGCAAGCTCCTAAAGCAATATCGGAGGCGTCCGTATACAACCGGTATGGATTGCCGGCCGCAGCATGAGCCAGGACCGGTGCGGATTGGAGAACGTCCTTCGCACGCTGCCATGCTGATTCGCACTCGGCCGTCCATTCCCACTTATGATCCTTCTTCAACAGCTCGAACAGGGGTGAGACGATGAAGGAATAGTAAGGGATGTAAGTGGAAAAGTAGACCGTCATGCCGAGGAACGTCTGCAGGTCGAGTACGCGTTTGGGGCGTGCTAATTCCTGAACGGCCCGTACCTTCTCGTGATGAGTGGAGAAGCCCAAGCGCGACACCTTTTGTCCAAGCAGTAGGATTGAGGTGTATCCGAAGTGACACTTAGGGGGGGAGAGTGTGATGCCAGAGGAGATAACGGCTTTAAGGACCTTGTCTAGGTGATCGATGTGCTCGTTCCAGGACCGCGAATACACGACGATATCGTCGATGTACACCAGAGAGAACAACCAAAGGTACGGGGCTAGAACTCCTTGCATCACACGCTGAAAAGCGGAAGGACCATTCCGCAATCCAAAAGGTAATCGTTTGAATTGGAACAGCCCGTGGTGCGTGCGGAAAGCAGTCTTTTCTCGATCGTTGTCGGCGACCATGAGTTGCGTGAATCCAGATAAGGCATCGAGAGAGGTGAGCACTTGCGCTCCGGACAGAGCTTGGAGGATTTCGTTTTGTCTGGGAATAGGGAATTCGTCCGGTACGGTGACAGCGTTGAGACGTCGGTAGTCTACGCATAATCGAGGTTTACCGTTTCGGTAGGCGATCAGTACGGGGGCCCCCCAAGGACTATTCGACGGCTCGATTACGTCGAGATTCAACCAGGCTTCGTGTTGCTTGTCGATAACCTCTCGTTTAGCTGGGGACGCAGCATACATGGGCAAGGATACAGGCCGCGCGTCCGGCTGGAGTTTGATTTCGACCTCGGTGGGGTTCTGACCCAGCCGTCCGTCGAAGGCAAAGGCCGCTTGGTTCACGCGTAGCATACGAATAAGTCGGTCGCGTTGCTCATCGGGCCATTCTGGGCCGATGTCCAGTAGTTTTTCCAACTCGCTTGACGGGTAGGTTTCCAAGTCGGGAAGCTCGGCGGTCTTGGGTCCCCATTGATCGTCGACGTCTTCGGACAAACCCGACGCATTATCATCCGCAGGGAGGGTATCAGAAGCTCCACGTATAAATGTCTGTACCGAAGCTGCATGAGCTAGCAACTCTGGAGTGGAGTCGGCGAAGTATCCTTCGGGTGCATGGAGTAGACCCAACGTCTCGCCCTCCCGGATCATATATGGTCGGTCCGTGGGGTTGGTCACTGGAACGTACAAATGACCGGTATCGATCATAGTAGGAGTCGTCAATAAGAAAGTCCCGTCCGATTGACCGAGTACAGTCTTTTCGATGAACCATTGCGATTGGGTGCCGAGAGGGAGTCGAATAGGCACCGGGCGACAAGAGTGCGGAGCTATTCGCACATCTTGTGCCGCTAATGCTGAAGGACGTTGGGTTTTGACGAGTTCTCTATGACGATCCGCTCGGCGTCGACGATGCGTTTTTGCGCGTACAAAACTGGAGTCGGCCGCTCTGACCACCACCTTGAGACTGGGCCTGTCCTTGCGTACTGAAGAGGACGCGGGGATCGAATACCCAGTGTTTCCTACTCGGATAGCAGAACCTTCCGTAACGCTGCGAGTAACGCTTAGCTCGTAGTTTACGTGGAAGTCTTCTCCTAGGAGTAGCGGAGCGGACATCCCTGGAACCACGTAACACTCGGCCGTCATTTTAAGGACATGACCTTGTTCCGTCTCGACGTATACTTGTGTCTGAATATACCCCGATATGCGGAACCCTCCAGTCAACTGGAATAAATTCATGCGGAGTCCTTGCTTGACCTTAGGGCGAGAGGCGGCCGGGAGCGATTCAAGGTATTCTTGAGAGATCAAAGAGATGTCGGCCCCCGAATCTGCTCGGCAGGTTACGGTAGGGTGTGACAAACATCCTAGACGCAATGGAAAAGACAAGGCCGCGACTCCTACTGTCGAGTGACCAGCAGGTGGATCGCGCACTCTAGCCAGGGGAACTATTAGAGGCTCGCTTGACTTCGGAGGAGCGCGGGCGACAGGGACGTGGTCGTCCACCGCAGCTGCGGTCCCAGCGAAGCGATCCGGGTGGCTCTCGTAATGAGAGGAGCCGTCTACTGATAACGCTTCCGCAATCATATCAACCAGAGAGCTGGTATGATCTCGTTTGGGAGAGTCAATCTCCTCGAGGATATGCGGGTGGTCGAGCGGCAAAGGATGCAAAGGGCGCGACGGGATTTCGTCGACGTCCTCGCAAGCTACTCTCAGGGAACGCTTCAATCTTGAAGAAGCTTCGAGCTGTTCCCCTTCAGCCCTGCGCACATCCGCCCACAAAGCGCTAGACAACCTGGCATTGCTCATGTTACTACAGATATAGGCGACAAACGCCTCCTCGTACTCCTCGTTCTCCTGGTCGTCGCAATCGTACTCAGAATTGATTAGTAGAGCCCTCCGTCCGACGTCGTATTCGTTCCAGTGAGGACAGTCCCGATCCCAATGGAAGGGGCTACCGCATACTCGACAATCTCCTGGGGGAGGGCGCTTGCTCTTGACGGAATCGTCTCGAGGGTATTTGTGACCAGCTGGAGGCGGCCTACGACTCGCTCCTCTCGTCGGACGAGACGAAGGAGTCCTCGACTGGATATTGAGAGCAAGGGCTTCGCGTGCGGCATCTCCATTCGCTGCAACCGGAACGGCGTTCTCGTTCACGGGCGCAGGAGCGAGAGAAGGGTCGTCTCCCTCATCGAGGTCGGAAGCTGCACTTCCAGGTAAGCCATCCGCCGCGAAAGCGCGTCGCGCCGTGGAGAAGTTCCGCGACTCGGGTTTCGATGCAGGAAGATGAAGTAGTTGTTCGTATTGCGAAGTGCGAGCGGGGGCCATAGACGCGAAAGCGATCAACTCGTCCGACTTGTCCGCTACTTTAGACATAAGGGCGGCGACTGTCTCGATGGAGTCGAGCGAGAGGACGGTGGACCATGTGGGAGGAGCGTTCTGCATCACCGCCGCTATCTCGAAGGCCGGGTTTTCCAACGCGCTGGTCAGATGGCGGTGGTACAGTAGCCTTCGGTCTACGAAATCCATAGGAAGTTCTTTGTCATGGCCGGGTTGGCGGAAGCGTTGACCGTCATACTGAGTTCGCAGAGAAACTTCAAACTTGTGCGTGAAGAACTGGAGCTTGATGCCTTCGTAAAGGTTCCACCAGTCGGACGAATACAGTTTCTGAGTTGGGAAGTCGAGAAGTTGCCACCAGCGCTCAGCACGACCAGTGAATTTGTCCGGGGCAGCCGCTCCAAGGTCTCGCGCTATAGAGTCGTTCTTCCGGGCCAGGTTATTCATCTTGTGCAGGTAGATGAGGATCGTCTTGTGACTGCCGTCCCATCCTGGTATTGAATTTCTCGTGATTTTCTGATCCAGTCTGAGGCCAACCTCCTTAGGCGCGGGGATCTGGTGGATGATGATAGTGGGCCGGTTATCCGGAGAGGATTCCGATGTGGTAGCTCCTCCACCAGGAGGCTCTCCTCCAGGCGGACCACCGTAAAACCGATCAGGGCGTCGTCGTCCGTAGGGATCCCTAGAGGAGGGGTGGTCGTTTCCGCTATTTCCGCCTCCACCTCCGCCTCCACCTCCTCCGTCCCCTCCGCCTCCTGGAGGGCCATTTGGTCCGGGAGGGCCGCCGGGTGGAGGACCTTCTCTTCCCCGGCTGGACTGACTCGAGTGCGAGGTACTCGGTGGGCGGGAATCGCCGCGTTTCTCGTCTTTTCGATTCGGAAAACTCGACGCAGGAGGGACATTTCCTCCATGCGTGGAATGACCGGAAGTACGAGATTCGTAGACGAACGTTCTCTTGCCGTCCGCGCTAGCCGACTGACGCGTTTGTTCGTAATAATGGCCAGCGTAATGAGGCGGAGCATCCCGTTGAGGAGAGCTCTGTCGAGAGGCAAGCGTCGGAGGTTGAGGTACTGAAGATGGTCGAGGAGCGGACGAAAGTCGAGAGGACGGGAAGACGGCGTCGCGCACTGTTTGCGCAGCCGCAGATTCAGGGAGAGCGACCGAATGCCCTCGCGGCCAGGGTGCGGAAGATCTTCGCTCGGAGGGACGCGGTTCAGGCTCGGCAGCTCCAGAATCATGAGCCCTCGAATCTCTTCGAGGATGAGGAGGTTCTTGGAATTGAACCTTTCTTCCCACATCTTCGACCACATGAGGAAGCGAGAAATCGGGGTTCGCGAGACTGGTCCGATGCGAGAAGCGAGGACGCGTGTCTACAGTAGGAGGGAATCGAACACTTCCTCCTGCTTTGGCGGGAGAGGAAGGTTCGGAGGAGACTGAGGAGAGCGCACGGGTTAGGTCCGATTCGACCCGCGCGGCCGAAGACGTCCGGGAGGGGGGCCCCGCGCTCTCTGCCATCGACACGGAAGCTCCATGTACCACGGGGGTTACAAGCAGAGAGGACGGAGGCCATTTGAACCGTTGATCGGGCGGAATTTGCAAGTTCGTTAGTTCCGAGTCGATTCCTTCCGCGTTTCCCAGACGCCTCAAGACGACCGCTTGATATTCGGGCGTCAGGTTTGAGAAGATGTCGGGGTGGTCGAGCCACTTGTCGATGACCATACGCTTGGAGTTCGAGGATCGGACGTGTTGACTGAAATCCGAGGCGGTAGACTTGACGGACTCAGGGTAGTTTGCTCCGTCGTGAAGGGCGCGTCGCTGGTGGATCAGCGTGATCGCCTTGGCCGCTCTGTACTGCACGACTCGGAAAGCGTCTGAAAGCAGCCCCCGCGATGCGGACGCCCGGAGGGCTCCCATGAGGGAATTGGCATGGTCGGTCTTCCATTGGCGGTGAGCGTCTTCCAGGCGTAGCATCTGGTTGACTAAAGACTCGAGCCCTTCCACTATGTAATTGATACGCAAGATGGCTCGAGCCTTGAGTCGATAACGAGCTTCCTTTCGCTCGAATTCGGCGGCGTCGATGACATCACGAGGATCCAGGTCTTCAGCGATGAAGACGTTTGCTTCCTCGAATAGAGTGCTGAAGTTTCCTAGAGCGTCCCGCGCGTTGAGGTCGTTGAAGATAGCTTGAGCTTCCGCGGGCTTGCGAAGGTGGACCTTGAATCTACCCGTCCCATCCATTAGATCCTTGAGGTGAACCTTGTCGACTGCGTCCTTAGCGGCTTGCATAGCTTCGTCCACCGAGACCGAAGGGTTCGACGGGGCCGAGTTATGGGAAGGATCGTTCGAGTTCCAAGGAGTCGACGTGGCCACCGGTTGGGGAACGTAGACAGGCATTCCGGAGTTGTTGACCTCCACGGGGCAAAACCAATTCGCGGGGGAAGGAGTGATAGGAGGCGACCGCCGGGCACTCCATCCGGGTGGTAACGCCGTCTGCGAGCTGCCGTCGGCCGGTCGAGGTCGAGGCGACTCGACGAAAGTTGACGGCTTGAGGTCGTGCGAGGGTTGAGCTCCCGTGGAGGAATCGTCGTCGAGACTCCCCGGGACGAGCATCGTCCGCGGGAAGTTGAGGGGAGCGACCGGATGGGGAGAGACCGAGGAGCGGAGACTTTCGCGCACTCGGTCTAGAGGGGGAAGGGAGGAAGTAATGGGCAACTTACGGGATCCTCCCGAGTCCTCTACGTCCTCTATAGATGCGACTTTACTTCGGGCCGTCCCCTCTGGAGTCGGAACGGAGATTTGTGTGAAAGGTGAAGCCGATCCCGAAGGGAGGGCTGACGAGGGGCGAGATGGCCGTGAGGCGTCGCCGAGAAATGAGGTGCCCGCCGCGGGGGTGCGCGCGGTCATAGCGGCGGGTCGAAGGGGAGACAGACGTAGAGGTTAAGGCCTACGAACCGATGGGGCAGTGGACCGTTCCCCTGAGTGTCCACCAATGTGAGAGACGGAGGTTTCGTCTACTCGCACTGGGAGGGAACGGGCTGCCTGGCGGCTCGAACGTTGGTGGTCGCTCCGCGACCGAGTCGTAAGTGGGTCGTGAAGGTCGTGTGCTGGCGAGGAGCCGGCCTGAGATATACGGTCGGGTTGGCGAGGAGCCGCCGCGACACGTATACCGACGTGCACTAGCGAGGAGCTAGCGTGGCACGAGTCGTCGAGTCTTGGCGAGGAGCCGAGACGCGAGGAGCCGTGGACGTACGCGGAGGTGAGGTCCGCGAGGTGAAAGCGTGCCTGCAGCGAGGAGCCCAGGAGGCCAAGACGGCGAGGAGCCGCTCTTGGGGTAGGAGACAGCGAGGAGCTTCTCCTCAGAGCGGCGAGGAGCTCGCGCTGGGCGCCGAGGAGCGAGGAGCTCGCGCGGCTGGGGACTTACCTCCTGGTTCGGACGGTGCGGTATCGCACACGGACGAGTGTGGTAGGAGTTCAAGAAGGTCTGGCGTCTAATTGCTGGACGCGCGCGAGATGACTGCGAGCGCGCGCTTACGTAATTACAGTAAGAATACAAGATGTACTAATTAATCTAGGGACGCGGTACGAAAGCCTGCGGGTCGCGATTATCGAAGGTAGTCCTATATACGTTAGCGTACGCAGCCTTGATGCGCTCTACCGCATCCATAACAGCGGCGTGGCGTAAGCATAGGAAGCCGCCCAGTACACCTGCCTGCCCGGCGCCATCGTTGAGTGCTCGTGCTGGGTGCCGTGATGATATAGTATCGTCTGAGAAGTCCATATCCACAACGCATTGCATTCATTAGACATGCCCGACGTAGTCTATAGGACAGGGAATATCACTCACGTATGGTGCTGGGTAGTTCGTCACAGGCACAGGCTCATGGCCCGCGCTCGCGATGGGCGAGCTAGATGCCGTATCAGGCGGGTGAGCAATCTCGCATTACGATGACTGCTCCGCAACACAGCCAGAACGCTTCGCGACGCACCGTTGGATTCCATCCACGCCGCTACCGTGGGACGCATACGAAACACCGTAATCAGGATTTTGGATGTGAGGCCAAGACCGAGCGTCCAGCCATGCGTGGGTGGCAGTGTACGTGTCAATTGTATCTCCTGGTCGACGACCGCTCGCTGTGTGCTGTGCAGGTCCTTGTGCTTGCAGGGCGTACGCGAGACTTGTGCTACCAGGGACGGGCACGGCGTGCAGGGCATGGTACATGGTTGGAGTCGGAGTTGGGTGGGCAGCGTACATGGTTGCTGATGGGTGCGATCAAAAGTGCGCGCGCAGAAGCAACTCCAGCAGCGACGGGCTCGCACCCCCGTGACAGCGGGGCAGATCAAATAGCGGGCGAATGGGCGGGTAGAATCAGGAAAGGGGGTATGTTTGAGGCGAATTCGGGCGCATTGCACGCGCACTTACCGCAACGCTGGGCAGACAGACCCGACAATAGGCAGACCTTGGCGCCCAGGACGGCTGCTCAGATCTACGAGAGATGTAGCATTTATTCCCTGCACGTAAGCGTATCACTGGCTATCAGTGGTATCATCGCCCGGGCGTCCGAATCTGTGGTACGCACTCGCCTGGTGCTGACATGGACAGTTGCCTCCCTGTCACTCTTTCCCACCGCTCGATTATCCTGCTGTGATCTAGGCGGTCGAGGTCGAGCTTGAGTCCTCTAAACTCAGATGAACGTGTGGGTGCCACATCCTGTCCACGAACTCGCCTGCATGCCTCATGGACCCTTAGGCTACTATAGACGGCAGATAGCCGGGCGACGCCATCGACCTGACGCATCTGCCTACCAGAAAAGGTTAGCGTACCAGCAGGCCATCGTACGAAGCGTACTAATTGAAAAGAACTCGCCGGCACATAGCGCGGCATCCCCAGGCGCTCGACCGTCGAGCCGACCCTCCTCCCGTGCAATTTCGCCCCTCCTTCTGTCATCGGTTACGTCAGGACAGCCAATCTACTGTCGGATTTAGTCCGTAGCGTATGGTGCGAATTTTTCTCCGAACTGGTTACTTACTGAGTATGTTCGCGCCTTGGGACACTGTGTCGCACAATTGCGCATGAAGAACGAAGGGTCTCTCCACCCGCTTGCGATCTTCTAGCGCACAGGATCTAGAAGCACAGGCTTCGCCCCAGTGCCAAGTAGCGCGTTCCCGGTGATCAACTATAGCATGTGCACATTTCAAACCGGGCTTGGCTCCGTGTCGACGAGCTTCCCAGCGGCGCACAAAGCCGACGCGATGACCGCGACTCGCTCGCTCGCGAATGGTCCCAGTACACCCTCAGGCCTCAGGCCATAGCTGTGCGTGCAGATGAATGGAAGCCGACGTAAACATCTGCAGTCGTATCGCCCAGGGACGGGCCTTGGCCACGTCAGCCCATCTCTTCTCGCCATTGTCCAGCTTGCGGCGGCGCCGCCCAATTTCCGTCCTTAGCAGCTGCGGCCGAGATCGCGTTTCACGAACAGAGCGGCGCTGCGAGGCTCCGATGGTGCGCGGATTCGAGTGTGGCGACACTAGTGCCATTGGCCCATTGCGTTATGCTCTGTGCCGGCCCAGGGCGCAGTGCGGTCTCGGATAGGAGCTCGCGCCGATTGAAGCTGACCTGGGGAGGGATCCGTAAGGCGGAGTCACTCAGCAGAACGGTACTGGTGAATTTATTTGGAATAACACCTACTGTAGCCGTACGTCTCTGGTCAGCAACGTCGACTCCGGGGATACAATCGATAACTCCTACCTGTACCTGCCGTCACACGAACAGCCACTGAAGGCCACGTCCGACTCGCCCTGTGAAGCACGGTTAGTAATCTTGCACGCGACTCGATTCGAGACTCGACTTACCGATGCTGTTCTCTGTCCCCAGGCCTCGTATTTATGCTTCGTTCGCGTCAGCACGGTGGGGCCCCGTTACCTCCCGGATTCGTGCGTGCGGTGTCCGCGGAAGCGAGCGCGCCGCTGCGCTGGCAGCGGCACCCCAGGCGCGTGTGTGCGCGTCGGATGTGCGCCGTTGCTCTGCAACATGAACAGTTTTGCGCCAGGATGTCTCGGGTGCACGCATCAATTGGAAGACCCGCCGCCGCCGCACACTTGACATTCGCCTCGAAGCGTGCATCCGCCTCGCGCGAGGGTAGTTGCGAGGAGGGCCTCTGCGGTAGGCAGGAATGGTACATGCACTCTCGACTGGCCTCCCGCTCGACGTAGAGGACGGCCGAGCCGATCATGCACAGCGACATCAGTGCAGTCCGGTTGCGAAACGCGTTGGGTGGACGGTGCGACGCGGCGCAGCGTCGTACGAGAGTGCGCAAACGCGTTCTTCCCTGTGGTGCCACAAGTTCACCGAGTACAGTACTTGCATCCAGCCCCGTCATGCAACTGAGCAATATTCATCTCGTCTTCCGCGAACTCAGAAGCCCTGCCTATCAACCTCAACGCGTCGTTTCTCGCACATAGCAGATGCTCTCCATCACATCGTGCTCGCGACGAGGTGAGTGGTCCTGTGGCGTTCCCCTGTACTGACGTTCCCTGTTTCCGTTCGTTGGCTACTGTGCGCGCGGTGAGCTGGGAGCTACGAAGCCGGATGATAGTGAGCGCGAGTCGAGGGGTTGAGCACCGTTGTCGCAGCCAGGGGCGTGCGTCGCTCGAATCTATACGCACCGACGTGTTGTTCGGGGTCGGCGGATACGGGTGGCGGATAGTGGCCGTTGGAGTCTGTGCAGCGGTGCAGCGGTGCAGACAAATGAGCACATCGAGCGCGATGCGCTTGAGGGTTGCGCTGTGTAGGTACAGAACACATGTACATACTGTAGCTACAATGAAAAGATTCGACATGCCGTCTTACCTTATGGAATGTCGGGATGAACGTGCGGACGTCGTGGCATCACAGTTTGTAGGTATGGACCGCGTGTACGCATAGGATTGCTGCAAATTGTCTACAGATGGTACGTCGCACAGGATGTGCCGCGCGACAACGACCTGAATCGACGCAGGCTGTAAAGCCACAGACAAGAGTGTCGTCTGCAGCGTAGAATAGCGAAGCGCACCGAGCGGGATGCGACGCTGTCCCCGTCTACATCCGGGTGTAGTGCATACACGCAGACACAGTGTCCCAACGTGTCCCGTGAGTCTCGAGGCGTTGACATATCTCGGGCTAGCACCGCCACCATTCCAGCATCCGCGTTATAAGTCCTCGTATGCTTTTGCTTCCCATTGGACAACCCAGGGTCATGTTGTTCTGCGGGAAGTATCCGCGAGCATCTGGCCTCATCGGATCAGCGCGTGTTACGTGGTCGCAAACGTGGTACACACCTACACGTCGTCACCCAATCCGCACGTTACTGTCGAGTTGCACAAGGAAGGTATGAGTCGTCGCCGCTCGACTGTAGTGAGAGCAGATCCACACCGTCGCGGTGGCTGCCGGGGCTATCGAGCTAAGCTTCGGAAGTCGACGTCGCCCCGAGCAGTATCGACGGACCTTAATTCCACCGGCGGAGATGCCACGGGTGACGGAGTGATGAGTCGTGGGCTGAGCAAATGAGGTACGCAAGACTCACTTCTTCGAAACGAGTAGAGATGTGGACTCTTGTACAAATGTACCGATCGTCGTGGAGGGCTCGAAAGTCTGGCGAACCTAGGCTGCCCCGAGATGACGGCTCCAAGACTTGCGTTTTGCAGATCGACACTGGCGAGCACGTCCACGCGAGCCAAACACGCAGTAGAAGCGCATCGACATCAGTAGCAAGAGACACGCCGGCGAGGTGATTCAGAGAGACGGAGAAGGAATGACAACGAAGGATAATTGTGCCGGACGTAGACCCACTCTCGCCGATGTCGTCTGCGGGTCTCTCGCCAGAGAGTCGATATGCAAAGCGGACTAGCCTCGAGCTCGTAGGGCCTATGGGAGCGAAGAGTTTGCCGTGTCAGCAGTCCACGAACGTGCGGCGGCGGCATGGCCACTCGAGCGATGCGTGGTAGAAACATGTACATATGGAATGTACACGCATCAGATCTTCGACAAAGCGGGCCTCCCGCACGTTGTGGATCGGCGCCGCGCAGGGTACAAGCAGACAATTTGATTCAGTGAACCAGTCGCCCAGTGAGCTAGGGTTAACGTGCTCATGATGGAGTGAGATAATGCAGCATGCTCGACGATGAGCAGTCAATACAATGGATATGTACGGTTGACGTTCATATCTCGCATGCGCAGCCCTCCGATCCAGATACAATGGGCCGGCCAGTCGAGTCAAAGCTCGAGCTGCGTATGTGAAGGTCGAACCGTGCAGCCGGACGCAGTGCAAGGAGCGGGCTATTGCAACGTACACACCAGGCTATCCCCCGCGGATTGCGCGACGGCATGCTTGGGACATGGTGTCGTCAGTACCTATCGCTGCTGCGGTTAGCACGCCGTCAGCCTTCTCGCGAATGTAGAAACGTGAACATTGACATTGTATTCAGCCTTCACTGAATACACATGTTGTGATCACCTTCGCCCGCTCAGGTCAATGCATATTTCTCGACTGTGAATACCTTTGTCTCGTGTTATTGAATAGCCCCTCACTCTGTACCCATGTATGGCCCGAAGCTAAGAAAGACCAACGCACGAACATCTTCCTCCGGCCAACCACGTCCGCGTAGCCGAGGTTGACCGCGAGTCACAGCATCTCTTCAACAACGAACTGCCCGTCCGTTGGCTCTTCCTCTTTGTGTGCGCGTTTCTCGTCCCCGTCTTCGCCGGACATGCCGCCGCAGTGTAAGCAGTCTTCTTCGTCTTGCTAGATCCGAGCGAGAAGCTCATCGCAGGCCAATCGTATGTTGAACGCGAGAGCGGTGATGGCAGGGAGGACTCTCGAGCCAGGTGCTGTCCTTCTGTGCGAGTGGTCAACGAAGACGCGCGCGATGAGGGCTCGTTCTGGAGTCAGCGACTCCCAGTACTCGTCTGCGGGCCATCAGGTGACTTCTAGGACAAGACACAATCCACTCACCTTCAGACCCAATGTTGTCGAAGATGTCCGCCCGCACAATGAACTCTCTGACCAATGTGTCCTCCGCGATTCTCCCCTCCACCAGTTCAAAAAAACTGGAGGTCGCCCCACACCCTCCCAGCGCGACGTCTACCCACGTCGCAATTGGCCGCCCAACCGCGGCACGCACATTATCGTCGAGATCGTCCAGCCCATTCCACACGATCGCTTCGCGCTGCGTGGCCATTAGCGCGCATGGGTGTGTATAGTCCATTTCGCCGGACTCTCTGGGTGTGCGTGGCTCGAGAACGTGGTAGTAGATGAGCTTGCGAACGACTGGGTGAGCACGTCCAGTACAACATCTTCAAAAGCCCGCTCACCGATGAGCTTGAGACTCCGGGTATTCTGAACGGACTGAGTGTGCGCTGCGGCGTCCGAGTGCAGTTTGTAGAGTGATGGAGTTCTGATGATTGGCGGTGGTCGCCTGCACCTGCTCGAGGACCTTGGGGATTGAAGTGGTGATTGTCTGGATGTCTGCCGGTGGTGGTGTACGTGCAGGCATAGTGAGAAGGGAGGTGTTGCGGTAAGAGAGATACACGTCCGAGGTGGAGTTTGGGCAAATGCAGAACGAAGAACGAAGTGTATTCGGCAGACTACGCCATTCAGCTGCACGTCGCGTCGATCACGTGACGGGAGCGCATGGGACACGCGGGTGGGCGTGGACACTGGGCAGTGGGGATGACGCCGAGCTCGCTCGCATAGGCCATGCGACGACCAAGCCGTCTGCCTTCGCGCATGCCGGCCTCGCCCTGTCCACATTGTCTCCCCTGTGCTCTCATCACTCCTTCCAGTACCTTCATTGGCCCCGCACCCGCCGTCGCTTGCTTCGTCTTCTCTTGCTCGAGTGCTCTAGAGCAACCTGAACGAACGCGGCGCGCAACGCGTAACCTTGCCTAACCTTGCCCGCGTCTCTCGCCCTCTTCCGCGCGTCCGGAAGTATGTGTCGCATAGGCCGGTGATAGGGACTCCAAGTTCGTTCCGAGGCTCAGCGCACGCTGGAGGCGGTCGCGTAGCATAACACCTTGGGGCTTCGGGTTGACATTCTCGGTGAGCAGACTCGTACTTGTTCGCTCTGATAGCTTGTCTTCCTCATTCTTCAGTCCGCACTGCACCCGCCGCGCGTAGCCCGAGAGTTCAGACGCAAAAAGTCCGGTCGTAGCGACCCAGAATCCGCTGGTGTACGCGCTCCTTCTGCCACTACTTGCAATACTCGATGTCGCCTCTCCCTGGCACCCTGAGGGGCCGCCTCCGATATCACCGCAGCTCGCCCATTCTGTGATATCCCCGCCGCCCCGCGCGACATCAGCCTCTCTGGTTGACTCGTGCCATGCACCGTAGTTCTCGCTCACGCCCTCTTGCACCGTCAGCCGACAACTCGGCTCAATTCACCGCTGGTCATCAAGGTCTTGGTCGCGGAGTCGAAGTCGTACGTACGCTAGGAAATGGGAGACGCCTCGCGAACTCTCACAGAGCTTGGGTACAGTCCTCTCAGTACGGTTTGTTTCCCCGTAGGCTCTCCCGGGCAACGCCTCTCGTCCGTGTTCGTGCACAGCTGCACCTGTCTTCCGCCCACGTCCGTCCCGTCTGTAGCGTTTGACTCCATACCTCCTTCCACACTCTCGCCTACTCCAGTCGGACGAGTCGCTCCCCTTCGCGGTACATGCCGCTCGTATTCACGACCTTTCATCCTCGCACTACCAACACCCTCTACTCCCCGGCCTAACTCTTCTCTCGCCGCGTCGCAGGTCCCAGCCACCCTGCGCTCACAGGCCCCTTCCGGATTCGTCGTAGCTCATTCGTTGTGCGCTATCGTGGCTGAAGGATGGCCCGGGTCGGTAGCCCCGCAGGTACGCTCCGTAAGTTGGCCGATGGTGCACCTCCGTTCCTTGCTGCAACAATCCACAGCCTCGCTGATCCGCAACGGTGGTCCTACTCGATAGGTTCCGGACGGCTCCTGGCTCTCAGCAAGTGTGCGTGCACCTATCTCGACCGTGTGATCCTCTAGTCGGGTACATTCAATTTCGCGCGCCCCTTTGCGCCAGTTTCGTGCTCTCTTGCTCGTCGCAACGGAACCAAGCGGCCTCCGCAGGCTACAGTCCCCGCCTCCAATGTCGCTGTCTCTGTATGCCTGCCCGTTCCGCGCGTTGGCCTATACCGGTGCCGTGGACCTTGGACCGAGGTACGCAACCTTCTACCCCGACTGAGTCCGCGTCGAAGGCATTATAAGTCCATCACGGGTGCGTCTCGTTAGTACTCTCGTCCCTTCCACGCGTCCGAGCATCGTTCCATCGCTCTGGCCTTCCGGTACGAGTCGCTGTAGTGTACAATATGTAGCTGTGTTCGTATTCCAGCAATCCATTGCGGTGTGTATGATCTTGTCCGAAGAGAGCCGCGTTCGCGTTCGCCAATCTGCCGTGTCCGTGCTCGTGTCCGTGCTCGTGCCACTAATCTGCGGATAGTTCTCCGGTCCCGTAGGGTACGCGCAGTGCTCGACGACTCGTCTGGACGCGTCATCTACTACGTCCGCGCGCGTCGGCGGTTCGTCCCTGGTAACCACGTCCGCGCGGCACCTACAGTTCGATTCCACGCTCATACTCTGACCTCTCCACTCAAGCGCAAACACACGGCTGCGTCGGGCGCAATCCTCCTGATTCAGCTGCAACGAATCAAGCACGCCGGGGGCCCACTGCTCATGTACGCCCTCAGCCGACGAGGTTGGAAAGACACGAGCTGGCCATTCTGGCCCGAGCTCAGTTGTCCGCGCGGTCGTTCCTCCGAGTCCCTCTCCCAGCGTCGCTGCTCGCTCCGTAGTGTACGTATTCGCCTCGCTCCTGTGCGCCCCATGGCCGTATCCATCGCCAACGCCTTGACCATTCATTCGCGCAAGCAGGATACATAGTGGAGGTGAGGGTAATCCAGGACATATGGGTCTTGTGGGCACTGGGCACGGCCAGCCGGCAACTTGTACCAATGTCGCTCCTGTCTCGGCTTGTATTTGTGCGCGTGTGCGCGTCCCATCCTCGCGTTCATCCGGTTCCTTGGGGCTCTCGGCACTCCACTCTTTGAATTCTCGCCCGACTTGCTCCCAAAACTGCACAAGGCCCGCTCGCTCGCTCCGACAAGGAACTGCGCCATGAAACGACAACAGACCGCCTATCGTGCCATGACCGTAACCTTTAACCCTCGGCTCCAATACCGCACCGTTCCTCTGTCCACTTAGCGACATTCTTGTCTCGTCCGGTAGATGTTCGTGCGCAGTCGTCTCTTCTGTTCGCCCATCTTGTGTCATAGCTCGCCCCGCGCCACTTGTCTCTGCGTCGCTCTTGCGTGCACCACGATCGCAATTCTTGCTGAAGTCCTCGTCGATCGCTCGCGCTAGTGGGACTCTCAAGGACGCTGCGGGTGGCCAGTCAGTACGTCTCGTTCCTGTCTCGTCTCGGAGGGGCCTGTATGCGCGGCGCGCTCGCCGCCCCTGCCACTCGTTATCCTTGGGCTGCGCGACCGGTTCCTTGCGCTTCGAGCTCTTTACTGACTCGATGCCAGAATACCTCAATCTTTACTCGTTCCCGCTGGCAAGCGTCCGCCTCGCGCTCCAGCAGTGGCCCTTCCAGCGCACCGTGACCCGCGAAACTCGCCGCTCGTCGCACGCTTTGGCTCCGCCCGCTATGGAACTGCTCCCCCGTGGGTTTGGTGACTCGAAGTGGTGATACAAACACGATGACTCGAGACGTCGGGATTGTTGCATGTAGCCAGTCGACAAGTCCTATCGCTCCTCCCTCGTCTCGTGGACGTTCGCGCGGGCTCGGCATTCCCTCCACCTGTCGTTCCAGTGTCTCGGATGCTCGCGCGGCCTTGCTCCCAGAACTGCGCGACCTGCACTCGTTCCTTCTGGCAGTAATCTGCGCCACCGGCCAGCGTTCGACATTCTTGCGCCAATTCTTCGTCCATTCTGCGACTGGTTCAACGGAGGCTGGGTGAGTGTTGACGGTACCGGTTCCCTTGCACCCTGCTGAATCTGGACACCGTCGCAGGGCACGCGTTCGCAGGTAACCGCTCGCGACGTGTGGACCCGAGACTCACTCTCCCAATCTTGTCTCATCCGCCCTCGACTTCGAACTAGGCCCGTCTATCGCTCGCACGGGTGAGACGCATGCCGGAGGCAGTGATAGTCTTGACGGGACGGGTCTTTGGGGCATCGTATACGGTGACTCGGTGAGTCTTGTCCCCTTGGTCCCGTTTCGTATGCGTGCGCGCGCGCTTGTCCCCGCCGTTCGTTGTTTCGATGCCGGGAACACTTGACCGACTTGCTGCCAGAACCGCGCTACCTCATCTTGTTCCTTCCAACAAGAGACCGCGCCGCAATCTAGTGCTGGCCATGCCGTCTCGTCGTGGCTCTTGAGACTCGAAATTTGCCCTACGCTGACGCCGCACCATCCACTACGTGACTGGATCAGTGGCTCGGTATGGGGCTGTTCTTGTGGGCGCATCAGGAAAAAGGACAATCCATTGTAGACTTACGTAGGTAAGATAGTGATCATAGTGGCATCACAAACCTCCCCTTTTATTACATGTGATAGCTCCAGCCCGCGGTTACATAGCACCCTGTAGCACGGCATAGCGGCCTCCTTACACTCCATAGTAACCTGTAGTATTACTGTCTGGTACTACACCACACCATAATCCAGCTATATAGACCATCATACTCATGGTGCTGGAACTGTAACAGCTGTTGCCACATTCATGAGCGGACCATACCCGTTCCTAACGGTACACCCGGGCTGCATATTCCCCGTCGTCAACGGAAACCCGACGGCGGCCGGCGTAACGGGTTTTGACGGCATCAGCCTGTCGGCCGACGTCTAGCCGGATTCATTGGAAATGCACCGGCCGACGGAGACGACAATGTCGCAGACCCACACATAACCACAGCCAGTGTCGCCCCATATTTGTTCGTCAACGGGCCGGTGATGTGGCCCAATATTGTCAATGCACCGGCCGGTGAAGTGTCCCAACGTTGCTAATGCACCGGCCGGTCCTGACGCATGTGTATACAAATCACACCGGGCCCTCGGAACATGCATGTCATACTATCATTTCCCTATAAATGATTGCGACTTTTACCACGTTCCGGCCGGTGATGGCAACCTGACTAACACAACATGTCGGCCGGCGAGACGCATCAAGGTCCTAAATCATCCGGTGGGCGGAAGCCTTGTACATGTAGAGCACTTTGACCACTGACCACCATATATAGTTGCATAACCATCGGCCGCTCGGAAGACCCATGTGTCATTCAAGCAAGGGCCGATCATTGAAATGACCGTCGAATTATCATCGGCTGATGGTGCCAAGTGCCGTTGAGCAAGTGAGTCCGGCACGTAATCACCGAAGCGGCCACCCCGTGTGTAACCAACCGGCCGGGCATGTTACCCTCCCATAAGTTACCGACTGACCAAACGTGAGTGAACCCAATGAGAACCGCTCGGCCGGGCTTTACCAAGT